CCAATGGACTTGCAACACATTTACTACTCGATCATCTGACGAGACAGTTGTCAACTTCAATTCTTCAAGATTCCCCCCAGAAGACGATCTCCGAGGACGTGGTAGCTGTCAGATGTCGCGCATTACCATGGTACCCGCAAACCTAGCGGTACATCGGCGCTCCACTCAGCTACTTCGCCACACCAACCCACCCACGCAACCGTATACCCCAATCAACCAACCAACTAGCCTTGGCTCAACTGCAATTGAACCCATGTAAACGCATGTTTGGTAAACTTAAAACTAGCCTCATAGTTTGTTGATCCATACGGCGGTGAGAAGGCAGCTTCATGATGTGGCGGGGTCCACTCCCATTTAGGAAGTTGCTGTATGGAGGTGTGGGTGGGTATTGCTTTTTGTCATTCCTCGCCTCGGTCCCGTCTCAACGTTGGTACATGTTAGCGAAGACATCCTTGAAAGCCGGGTGTCTGGGATTATTATTGAAGCGAAGAGCGAATTGGTGGTTTTCACACCGCTGGTTTTGTATGCGAAGTTTGTAGCGCGCGCGTTGTGTTGGTTGAGGGGTTTGGGATTGTGGGAAGGGAGCTGATGCCCCTCGTTTTTGGGAGATGATTGAATTTTTTTTTCTTTCAGCGTCTTGAAGTTTCGGGGGTGTTTCAGTGCTTCAGTGTCGCTCTTACACTTGATTGGAAGATGGATGATTTGACAAAGTCATATGTTAGTGTGTGGCTTTCGTGAGCATGTATGTCGACAACTGGTTCCAAGTGGGCTGAAAAGCCCAAGAATCGACGCAAGAAGACTTCCTTCTACACATGTAAGCATATTTTGTCGCGAGTCTTCCAATGCAGGCCTCTTCTTTGAGCGCATCGTCCGTTTCGTAATGACTTCATTCGGACAAAACTCTGTAACGTTGCGTGTTGCCATGAACGATGACGTATCGAAGGTTGTTAAACCATGCAGTCATCAAAGTTCCGTCTAACATTGTCTTTTGTTTGTTTGAGAATATTAAGTCTTGCAGTTATGCGAATCATGTGTTACTATGCGGCACCGTCGAAGTGCTTGATGTCGACCACCCTGAAGCCCTCTCGGACTTTTCTTAGAGGAACGACTAACTGTGATATCAGTGTGGTTTGGTATCTATTCTGTTTGCTTACCATTCGTCAGGTGTTAGCTGCGGTTGCTTGTGAAATATGGTGGCGCTGTCATTGCTTCCAATCTCCTATTTCCAGCCGTTATTGGCTTCTGGCAGTGAGTTCCAACACCATCAACTATCAAGACTTTCAACTTCTCACATGCCCAATCATCTCCTCGCATCTAAGTCTTCTTATCAGTTTCTATCAATAATCTTCCATCCCCCAAACATCCCCAACTCTGAATCCCACCAGAAAAGGATCCCCAGCATCCAGCAAGACCTGCCTATACCCTGTGATCCAACCCCTTCCCTTGACTCTTGTCAAAACCGCTTCGTACTCCCCAACTTTCGTCGTGCCCAGTATACTGCTTTGGAACTCCGTACCAATAATACTCCTATGCGTGAACTTCTCCCCAACCTTCAACAACCCCTTGGCATGCAACACGGCCAACCTTGCCGAAGTCCCCGTACCGCAAGGACTACGATCGAACCTACCTGGAGAAACGACAACAGTATTAACCGCAGTTTTCGTATCGTCCACCTCAGTCGTAAGCGGTGCAGTCCACTCGAATATACTAACACCCCTGATCCCCTCATTAAGCGGATGAACTGGCGTATAAGCCTTCTGAACCGCCTTAATAATCCTCTGCCCCCACTCCACCAATTTCCTACCATGTTTGTGCTCAATAGTAAGGCTAAGCGACTCAGCATCCACAAGCACGAACCACATACCACCCCACACGATATCCACTTCCACTTCGGTCCTATCCAGACCAGGTACAGCGAGTTTGTAACCAAGTTCGTATACAAACGACGGTACGTTGTCAAATTCAACACTTTTACACTTCCCCCCTTCACATTCAGCTCTCACGCGCACCAACCCCGCCGCCGTATCTAATACAACCGTCGTAACAGGTTCTCGCATTTCTAACCTGCCACTCTCCAACAACACGGTAGTAACACAAATTGTATTGCTCCCGCTCATAGTAGCATACTCGTCGCTTTCCAAGATAAGGAACCCAGCATCGGCGGAGGGGTCGCAAGGGGACAAGAGGAGGTTCATGCATTGGGAGACACGGCCGCGAGGTTCTTGCATGAGCATAAGCCGGTAGTGGTCTGCGTTGTCGCGGAAGTGACATAGTTTGGCGTACATGGTGGGAAGGTGGATGGGGTCAGGGATGCCGGAGGTTATTACGTCGCCGATTTCACCTTCGGCGTGAACTGTTGTTATGGAGATCTGGGGAGAGGGGTTTCCATCGTCGTTAGAGGATGGCATGGTGATGGCGGTTGGACGGTTAGAGATGTGTAACTGGTGAAGGTGTCAGACCATGTGCAGCTACGTTCAATTAGGGCATTGTCATGTTCTTACCGGTACTTGAGCAACTAGACGTTATTTGCTATCTGTTTCCTTCGATAGGACCTATTGATGATGCCGCGTAGTCAAGCTCTAGAAGAGGAGGAATTGATAAAAAGGACTCCTCCTATAGGACTATTCGAACAGACGTATCTCTTATTGCTCCAGAATGGAATGAAGTTACAAGTATGGCCTCGAGTTTACAGACCATCGCATTACAAACCGCACACGCCCTACATGTCGGAAGGCCGATCGTGGCCACTGACTAGCACCCATACCCCGCTTCATGAGGGGTCAAGCTTATCAACATGTCAAAAAGGAGCTGTATGCCTGATATTACAATGCGATGGCCAACTTCGTTCTATTAACATGAATGATACATGACAGTCAAATTATTATTAATATTCCAAGAAGCGATCCTTCATCCCTAGCTCTATAATATTACAAACATGGGCTTTGCTCCTCAAAGCAATACCGCTATACTCAAACTTTTCATGCAACGAGCGCAAAGAATGGTATATACACGCAGAACTGTTCGACTTGGTTCGCCGATGGAGATCGACCTGCGATCGCACAAGCACATATGCTCCTTGCACCTAAAATCTATTCGTAACGGCGTCTCAAAAAATTCACAAATATGCAATGTGCTTGAGTCAGAAGGATCATCTAGCGGACCTTCTTCGTCTCGGAAGCGTATGTGCGGTCGTTGTCGTCACCCTCGACTTCTTCGACCATCTTGTCGACGGCCTCAGCTTGCTTCTTCCACTCGTTTTGGCACATCTTGAGTTCCTTTTGAAAGAGCTCGTCGTTGGGCTTCCTGTAGCTTCCTCCAAGGCGGTCCCAGAGGGTTGTGTACTGTCCGTAGTTGTAGTTGAAGTACAGGTGGTGCATGGTGTGGCAGGCGGCACCGTTGATGATGGGAGAGTTGTGCGCGTACTCGCCGTCGTGGATCAGGACAGTCCAGATGTTGACGAAGACGAAGAGGAAGACGTATGCGAACTTGGATAGCGGGAAAATGAAGGGGAAGATGTGGTAGGGAAGGCCCTGAGCGTAGCCGTCGGCGGGATGGAATGCGTGCGAGGCGAAAGGAGTCGGCATGATCCACTTGTGGTGTGGCTTGTGGACGTACTTGTAGACACGGGGATGGTGCAGACCGCGGTGGATCCAGTAGATGGCCGAGTCGGTGAAGAGGAAGAAGAGGGGAAACTGAAGGTAGTTGTACCAGAGTCCCGGGCCCTGATCCACTGTGTCGTATAGCTTAGAGTATCCGCGGACCTCGAGCAGGAACCAGGGCACAGTAAAGATGGCCATGATGGGGAAGGCGATGTTGGCCTGCTTCATCTCGAGCTTGATCTGGTTCTTGAGGTATCGTGGATGGTTGAAGGTGGACTTGTCGAAGACGAGGAAGTACGAGGCGCCTGCGAAGACATAGTATACTAGTACACCGAAGAGCCTACATAAGTGTTAGGAAAGTTGAGCCTATGCGTCTGGGGCAGCGCATACCATGTGATGAGGTACAATGACAGAGCTTGTCGTCGCCAGTCGTCGCGGGACCATTGGCTCATATAGGCATACTTGGAGGGCTCAACGGAGAAGAACTGCGTCGAGGGCTCGTACTGCCAAGTCGCATGGGGAACTGCGAAACCGGTGGGTTCCTCTCTGATGCTCGAGAGGGTCGCATTGCCGACCAAGGACGACGTAGAAGCGGGAAGAAGGGTGGCATATAGAGGATCGAATAGGAACGTGTCTGCTAACTCAAGGACGACGTCCATGGCTGCTGTGGCTGGGGCGAGGGGATGTCTCGGGGGTCGGGATATTCAGGTACGGAAGGGCTGCGATTCGTGGTGTTTGGGATGAGTAGCAGGCGCATACAAAGCAGATAGGCTTCACCGTGTCGCACCAAAAAAGACAGGCGATAAAAGCAATCCAAAGAGCAATGCAAAGGTAGCAGAGTGTCTAGGGGAGTGTAAACGAGTGTGGGGAGGCGAATGCTCTGCTTCAAGTAAGTAGTAATAACGGGTCGCAGTGACTTGTCGGCAATAACAACTTTTCGGCGCGCCGAGTACAAGCGTCCCTGAACTTGAGGCACGCCAGGGTCCATATCAACCGCGTTTGTTCCTCAACGAGCTGCCTCTGTGCCAATCAAGAGTCGCAATCCAGCGACTAAAGCGGTTCACGTGACTTCGCATCATAATCTCGTGCGACGGAAATGAAGCATCCGCTCATTCCGGAGTGGACTGACAGCCTTACGGGGGACGTGCAGGGGCGGCCCCTTATCAGATCTTCTCACCCGATGCTCGGAGCATGCTCGGATGGCAACAGGACGGCTAACACGCCACTGTCGTGCTTACAAACCGTGATGTGATTGCGCGTTTTGTGGCATGGCTTTGTTTTAACTACTAGCAGCAGTGACTATTCATTGGTGGTATAGGAGCTTTCCATCTAGGTCATCCAATCAGAGCCCTGTCTGTACGACGTGAACGGCTGGTCGTCATTCATCTCTCGAATACAGAATTACTTCGCCACAATGCTGACAACATCCTCATCGCTCACTACATGTCCCAGACCCACCTTCTGTGGCACATGCCTAGCACTCGCGCCCCAGACCAAAGCATGTTTGAACGTCTCCTTTAGTGTCCGGTGCACCTGATCGCAGACATCTTCAATTGTGCTTCCGTGTCGTACGATCAGCGCCTCTGAGAAATCGGGGTCATTGCCCTTCCTCTTGGTGTACACCCTGATCAACCTCAACTCTTCCCAACACCTGTCCACAACGTCCTGAATACCGAGATCGAGCTCACAGCTCATGACGACCGTGTGTGGTTCACGTGCCAGTTCGTCCAAGTGAGGTAGACCAATGCTATCGATCTTGTTGTACACGTAGAGACATTTAATATACTTTCTGTGATCCTTCATGATGACGTCGATGAAGTCGTCAACTGTAGCGTCTTCGTCCCGGACAAGTACTTCGCAGTTTAGCATCTTGTAGTCTTTGAGGATGTTGTAGACCATCTTCTCGTCGAGATGCTTGGGTGGAACCTGAAAGTTGATCTTCATGCCGCCGGCCTTTTTAGGCTTGAGATAGATGTTTCTGTATGCCGGTCAATGTCTTGCTATGTTAGGCGGGGAGCCAACATCAACTTACGGTGGCTCGCGGTTCAGCCTGATACCCACAGCTTCCAGCTCGGCTTCTAGCAACCGCCTCTGCTCTGCTTTCTTCGTTGCATCAAGAATCATGCAGATGAGATCGCTCGTCTTCGCTGCACTGATGACTTGTCTTCCCCGTCCTTTGCCCTCTGCAGCACCCTCGATGATACCTGGCAAATCCAGGACCTGAATCTCGGCGCCGCCATACTCGAGTACACCGGGGATTGCTGTAAGGGTAGTGAAGGCGTACGATGCGGCCTCTGACTTTGTCTTCGTGACTCTGGAGAGGAAAGTAGACTTTCCTACCGAAGGAAAACCGACAAGTGCTATGCGCGCATCTCCAGATTTGGATACATCGAATCCGCTTCCTCCGCCACCACCTGCACCTCCTGCGGGCTCGAGGAGTTGTGCGCGAAGACGGGCTAGTTTTCTGTGATATTGTCAGTATAAGATGTTCTATGAACTATCGTAAATGCTGTACCCTTTCAATAGACCAAGATGGTAATCTATACTACTATGTCAGCACGTGATACAGTGTGCACCCAGCACCACCGGGCTGTAGAGTCAGATCTACGCAGACTTACTTGTAGCCTTATTCTCTGCGTAAAATTAGCTGAGAGCCTCATCATGGTAGTACTGTCACACTCACTCTGCGTGATACTCATCTCATGCTCAATCCTGGCGGGGCGTTAGTGCAAGGCCACATCAAAACTTCGGCGCTATCCCACTCTTTGATCTTCTCCGTAATGTTCACCATCTTGACGACTTATTCGCACTCTTTGCACTCGGATAGAGAGGGACTGGGGTGAGGATACGGTATCGCACTTTGTGGCGGCTGCAGTCCGGCAATATCACGATGGTAAAGGTTTGGTGTTGCAGCGCCCGCAGCCTAGCGCTATTACTCTTCAAGCTTAGCGCATCTACTAGCCACTGCAAGATGCAGTGCGTCATCTAAGACCATCAGCATTTTTTGCGCCACGCTTGTTTGTCTGGTGGTTGCAAGTGCTTGGTTTCTTTTATTTATTCCCTATGTCGTTTGTTTCTTACCTGTGTGCTGCTTTCCATTTCTTACTACCAGCATGTTGTTCAAATCCTCAGATCCTTGGCCGCAGTCGCATCACGACTTGTTAGATCACTACCACGCAAAGTACGACAAAGCTATCGCATCTGGGGAATATCAACCTTTTCTGTATCCATGGGGAACAATCGGTGCACTTGTCGTCATCATATATCTTCTTATCCCACATCAGAATCGGCCATGGCTTAAGAAATGTCGATACTTGGCGTTTGCGTGGCTTATGGGCTTCGCCTTATACAGTAACCTATACACAAGGACGAGAGCTGTAGCGCCAGCTTTGGGAATCGGTCTAATCAATGCATGGAGCGTGGCATGGGTAGGAGCAATCATAGTATGCAACGATGCACAAACAGACTTTATGAGGATTGAGAGGACGGAAGGCGTTTTCGGGTCAGATACGAATCAGCCAAAAGAGAAGGACCGACAGAATGGTAGTGCTGGAACCAAAGAAGAAGAGATTAAACATGCTGCAAAAGGCGACGTTGTCAACGGTTCAGTCGGGCCAAGAGACCGCCACGGCCAATTCGCATGGCAACCTTACCCGCTCAGGCCCTTTATCGAGCGTCTGGACTGGGTCTTCGACATATTTTGCAACTTCCGTGGTATGGGCTGGAACTGGCGAACTTCGGCTCTCCCTCCACCACCCAAATTCATCCAGGAGCAACTCCACGCCAACTCAGGCGACGTTGTGCCAAAGCACTCGTACAAGATCCACGCTGGACAAGTAAAGCTCTACGCGGACCGGAAAGAGCTGCTAAGGAGCAACGCGTGGACATTTGTGAAAGGTTACTTTATCATAGACGCATTGAAGACGGCCATGATGTGGGATCCCTATTTCTGGGGCTACGTGGATAGGGCGCCACCAACATACCTTCCTTCCATCCTTAGGAATAGTGTGGTCCTAACGCACATATACCACCTGACCCTCTCCATGCTTGCCATCAAATGGGCGCTTCAAACCATCTTCTCCCTAGGGCCGCTCTTCTTCTGCGGTCTGCTCTCGCCCTCGCTCCTCGGGGCACGCGCAGAATCCTGGATGTACCCCGAAACCTGGGCGTCGTATAGCGTTGTTCTAGATAAAGGGTTAGCTGGATGGTGGAGTAACTGGTGGCACCAAACCTTCCGATTCGCATTCCAGGAACCAAGCCGCAAGCTTGTTGAGGTGTTTGGTATGGATAAGAAAAGTCCTGCAGCCAAAGCATTACAACTCTTCATCGCTTTCTTCCTGAGCGGCTTCATACATGGTAGTGGGAGCTACACTTGCGCTGGCGAGACCCGGCCACTTCGAGGACCAATGGCTTTCTTTCTCCTCCAAGCGCTCGGTATCTTCGCTGAAGTCAGCCTAACGCAAGTCGCAAAATCGGCTGGCCTAGGTCGCAACCTACCTAGTTGGCTGAAGAGAAGCTTTACCTTTTTGTACGTCCATGTCTGGTTCTACTTCACAGCCCATCTTCTTTGCGACGACTTTGCGCAAGGCGGTGTCTGGCTCTTCGAGCCGGTTCCTGTTTCTCTGTTCCGAGGTCTAGGATTTGGCCCTGATGCAAGAGATGGGTGGTGGTGCTGGGGTGGACAACTGGTACGATGGCATAGCGGAGATACGTGGTGGACGACAGGTGTTGCATTTTAGAGGTTCATGTATTCGATGATTCGCAGGTTTTGTATCGCATAGCGTCTGGTATGTTCGAGAGGTGTTGTATACACCATTGATAAGTCAGTAGATTCTGGTGGAACGTAGAACAAGATCAAACAGGAGATTCTATTCTCTGTCAAGGAAAAGCTCCGTTTCCGCTTCCACAGTCACTGCCAAACCCGATTGCCTTGAGTTGCGTGTTCAACCAACCCCCAATTCTCGATTTCACAAGTCGCCTCCGTCTGCCAACGCACCATCATTTCTCTCCATGAACATGTTCTTATCCCTACACTCCCTGAAATCCAGGAACCACCGCACACGACGACAACAATAACAACGCACAACTGTTACAGAAGACCCCAACCACCTTTCGTTCCCCTTGACCCGACTTACTCCAATCCAGATCATGGAATTCAACTTCTCCCCGACAGAGATTATGTTCAACATGACTTGGCGCACCCTCTCCCACACCGCCGTACCCACCATGTTACCCGCCTCATCGCTCGACACCAACGGTCTAATACCACGGTCATTCTGTCCACAAGTATACGACAGAGTGAAGAAGAACGTAACAGACATGCAAGAAGAAGCTCAGTTCGCGGCATGGTACTGGATCGTATCTCCCTCTCAATCCCAGGATGATGTTGAGAGGAAGTTAGTAGGCTGGCATCCATGTTTTACTCTCCCTACAAACCGGTAAGACTATTCTTGACTCCCTTTTCACCATGACTGCTACGAGTAAACATGTAAAAGATGGCATTCTTTCTCCACAACAAAAAAACAAAAGTCGATACTGACTTATTTCCAACAGACGCATCGTAGTCTGCAACGTTAATTTCAACGTCATTGCCACTCTGGAACCCCTTATGAATCGCAGAAGATCGAGTTCTTCTCCTGCTAATAGCCATGACCGACGGTCAAGCAGCGACGGTGCCCGTCGGATGAGCTCGGTGCGAGAAGAAAGTAAGAACGATGACAGTACAGCTGATGTAGCCAGCGAGAGGACAAGGAGGGGCTCTAATTCACATACAAGGCCTCCGATGGTGAGTAAGTGAAGGCTTGGATGGTAAAATGGTTGGAGTCTCTTGCTATCAAGGACAAGATGAATTCAAAGAAAAAAGTGTCCTTTGGATGTGTGAGTATTACCCAGCGACCAAAATGCAAAGAAGTGGATATAAAGTCCGCTGAGCTGTGCTTCCAGAGCAAGGAATTGAGTTGCTGCCTTGTTTGGTCAAAAAGATACCAATATCCTACAACAATGCCGACGACTTCCACATCATCCACATGCACTAAAATACACTCTTGTCACTGAGCACAGCATACCATAATATCCAGGACCTACCTCGGTCAGCCCTGAGTCTCTACCCTGCCCTGCCCTGCCTTAGATGAGTATGTAAACCTTCCGAGTCATTACATTACCCCAACACGTCATGACACCTGAAACGCATAAACTCCTCAGGGTGCATCCATGCAGTCGAAAACAATAACAACAACGGCGGCGCCGAAATGAAGGTGTCAATGCATGAAATGGCAAGGCTGAAGCGAATGTCGAGTCAGTTGCCTTGCAACACCAGGAAGGCACAAGCCTTTCAAGTTCTGCAGAAAATCTACGAGAAAGGTAAGATGGAATGACATGGACATGTAGTAATATGCATGTGTAACAATAATGACGATAGTGATGATTAATGAGTATATTTGCTTACGCCACAGACAGGGCATCTATCAGGCACTAGACCGACAAACAAAAAAAGGTCGCAATACGGTATCGCGATAGGAATACGGCAGCAGGGTATCGGAAGGAAAATCGGAGGAAATCGATCGCGCAAAAACAAACAACCGCGATGCAGGGAAATGGAGCAAAAAGAAACATTATGACTTGTGTTGCGTCGCCGCACATGTGTACTGTATGTCGTGACACGAGAAAAGACGAGAAAAGAAAAGAGAAGAAACAACAAAATGCCCACCCAATCAAGACCCAAGGCCACAAAACTCCTCAACGACCGGTGCTGATGCCGCTAAACCCTTGATATCGTTCCTGAACTGTTATCCTTGTTTTGTCTCGTCATATGCTATATGTGTGTATGTAGGTATTATGACTGCGCTTCGATGACGGGTGGTTGAGAATTCACCTGTAATGTAGGTGTAATGGGGTATGGGAGATATTGCTCGTGCTGCTGCTGCTGCTGCTGTGAGGCTTCGTTGGGGTGGTTTTCTTCTTGCGTGTGCGGCCGTGTGCCGGTGTCGGGGCCAAGATGAGGGTCTGGTATTTGTACGTCGAGCTGCGCGAATTTGTTAGTCAGACCCTGCGCCCAATGTTCCGGAATACGTACTGTCAGGTAACCGGTCCGCCGTAATGGGATAATTTTGACTGCTTCTTTTGCACCAATGTCTCGGTTCCAGTCCTCGATCCAGCGCTCCAGGTCTGCTAATTGCTTCTTCACGCCTGTGAGCCCCGCATCTTCCCAGAGCCAAAAGGTAGCGATGCCAAGGACGGTGTCGAGGCAGGCGCGGAAGGTGAATGGATCAAAGGCGTCAGTTAGTGTATCATTGATCTTCTTGATCAGGATGCGAAAGTCGTCTTCGGTGATGAGTGGGTCCAATATCTCGGGGTACAGGTTGGCGAATGTCGGGGCCAGGTCGCCCTTCATCATCCAGTCGCGCTTTATACGGATGATGCGCGTCGTGTTGTACAGCTCGGAATCGAGTGGCACATGGGGGTTCGTATGGGGAAAGCAGGGATGCGAGGGGCCCCACGGGAACTCTGACGCAGCATCGCCGTCGTCGTCACCTCTTGAGCCTAGCGAGGTCCGTTGCGAGCCTGGCAGGGAGACGCGCGACATCATGCCAGGCTGCTGGTTGCGCCCAGCTTCGACGTCCTTGTCGGCATGGGGCGCGGGCGACACACTGTCTCTGGGATTCGCAGCAGAAGCCATGACGGGCCCTGGGGTGGGCGGCTGCGTGGGCGGCTGGCTTCTTCGATCACGCGGAAGGCCGATGCTGGTGCGACCGCTGATGCTGTCCTCGCAGGTGGAACGTTGGACAGCGAGGGAACTCGACACAGGGCTCTGCCGACTTAGGCGTCGCTCTGGAAGCGAAAGCAGAGGGTACTCGTCGCGGCCTTCCTCTGTGGCGCCGGGGTCCCTTTCGATGGGGAGGTTCGGGTAGTATTCTTCGCGCGGCGCAGTTCGCAGGGGCTGGTATAATACGCCCGACGGTGTAGTTGTTGATGTTGTCGGGGGCGGATTCTCGATCTGGAGGGTGCGTGGAGACGAGTTGACGGGGTTCCAGAGACGCGAGGCGGGCAGGCGCGGCGGGCCCTGGTAGAGCGAGCGCAGATTGAGGTTGAAGATGCGATTCGTCAGCGACCAGCGGGCAGGCACTGGCGACGCAGGAGGCGGCGGGTAAGCAGCGGCGGGCGAGCGTGAAGTCGTCGTGGTGACGGTGAACGGGGTGTGCTGGCGAGTGGTGAAATCCTTAGGGGTCCCAAGTGGTCCATGCTCACTGCATTGGGCCTGCAGCGACTGCCGGTCAACAAAGGCAGGGCGATGCGGTGATGTCACGGCGATGGTGACGGTGAAAGCTGAGCTGGTAGTGCTGGAACAGGTGCTGGCAGTGTTGTCGCCAGTATCGTGGGCAGTCGTTACTGCTGGTGGTGGTGGTGGTGGTGGTGGTGGAGTGTCAATGTCTCACAGTGGTAGCAGCGACAGAGACGGGCCATGGATATAAACTTTGGACATGCATCAGGAAAAAACTCGCTACAAGATGCGGGTGCTTCCTTCTTGTACAAAACACGCGCACGACACATGGACACACGCAGGCCTGCCAGATCCGCCCTCCGCCCTCCGCCTCGTCCGGCGCAACTTGGGCACCACCTAGACATGGCTCACGCAACAAGGCGCTCCAGTGCAGCTCCCATGCTTCCCCGGCGCGACATACCTGGATTTGTGGCTTGTGCTGCCCTGATGACTGCCATGACTGCCATGACTGCCCTGCCGAATAATGGTGACCCCTGCAGCTTCAGCCTTGAGTGACCTGTGTGCCTGCATTAAGCCCTGCAGCGACCGACCCCAACACTAAGTGGTACCATGATTGGCATTGATTGCCCTACAACCCTCGTCATTATATCGCACTGACAACCGCTTAATCCCACCCAGCATTGGCTGCCTTGTTAATCCAACGTGGCCCTGTTCGTCCATGTTGCCTACCAGACGTTGGAGACGTGGCGGGCACACCCAGGCCGTTAGCAACCGTCCGCTGTCGCTGCCTGTGACGTTGGCTCCAAGGTTAGCAGCCATGTTTCACGACGCACAATAATGTGTCTAGACTCTAGAGCAGAGCTATTCTCAGCTACCCTATTCCATATCCACTAGTCCACCTCGGCTCGTCCACGACCCAGCGACCATCGTCATCGGCTTCGTCTTCGTCTTCGTCGTCGTGTCGATTTTCCTGACGTCTGCATGACCATCTCACACACCCGACTGCCACTTTATGCTCGTCTCTCATCACAACCCCGGTCTGCGCCATCAATGCCTCCCCTGCCCATCTCACCATCTCACCCATGAGTAGCGAATAAGCCCTTCAATTACCCACCAGACAAGCCACATCCCACCCCCGGCGCCGTCAGCTCTTCCCAAATCCGTGTCGCCGGATCGCCCACTTGCTTGCATCGAGACAGGTTCGTCCGTGTTCAACCCTTAGCTTCATTGCCTGAACATCCCACTTGCCCCCTTTTCACACGCTGTTCCGATACTAACCCACGAATGATGTCAGTGGGTGTCAGTGCAGTGCCTACAGAACCAAGTCTGGCTCTTGTTGCTGCTGCTGCTGCTGCTGCTGCTGCTGCTGGTTGCCGGGTGGAGAAGTCCACGCCGAAGCATCGTTTGTGAATTGCGAGACGTGTGGCTGCGGCACAGCTCTTAGCCTGCATCCAGCCTCACTTTTCCCGACTCCAAGGATCGTCGCAGTGCTGACGCCGAATCCCATTCCGATCCCACACCTAACACGTCCCCTGCTATTGACAATCTATAGAGCACACACTGATCATCACAAAATTCTGCCCATGTGCTTGTTCATATGCTATGGTATTGGTATAGCGCCATAACTTGTATAAAACACAAAATCCTCCCCCTCGTGCAAAATGGTATATCAATGGTATATGTACGTCCAAAACACATCTTTCATGTGCATCCCTATCCGTCGTCATGACATGACCTAGTCGCAATGCTCAAAGCCTTCGCATAAATCCATACTACACATGCCGAAAAATTCGTACGAGCCCGCCGGCTCCAAACGCTCGCGTATTCAAAAGGAGATATTCACTTTCAAGTGTGTCGGTTGGCATTCGCCTGCATCTTCCTCATCGCCTCTCGGTGTGCGTCCATCATCTGGCCGCTGCGCATCATGCTGTCCATCTGACTAGCACGCTGTTGTTGCATCAACTCGCGCTGTTGCTTCTCCATGTCCTTTTGTCTTCTTTCCATCATCAACGCTGCGCGCTGCTGCTCTGCCATGTGAGCGGCATTTTGCGGCGGTGCAATATCGCGCATGGTATCGCGCCAGCCTGCGTAGAGTTGTTCGCGCTTCTGTTCCGATTGAGCGCTGCTGTTCGCACGCTTAGGTTGGTGCGAGTCGAAGCCTGCTGGTGCACCCTTGGTGGCCCATGCCTTCTTCTGCCATTTCTGTGAGGCCGAAGGTGGTGTTTTGCCTGGCGATCTCAGAGATGACTGATGAGTAAGAGTGGGCGACAACAGTTGCTGCTGCTGGAGCAGTTGACGACGTTGTGCCAGCGTCATCTCTTCTTCCTCCTCATGTTGTGACAAAAGGTTCGGCGATGAGGATTGAGGAGTTAGTGCTAGAGCTGATGCTCGGTTCTTGATAAGACTCTCGCGCTTGCTCAGCAGTGTGTTGCTGGGCAGAGGCGAAAGAGTATCGAGCCTTGCGGCAGAGCTAGATCGAGAGAGCATGCCGGGAGATGCGATGGAAGGTGAATGCGTCAAGGAACGCTGGTTGACCAGTGACTCCTGAGAGAAAGTGGAAGTGTTCCGTCGTAGTGCGTTGCTGCTGTTCCGTTGCATCCTGCTGCCAGTTGACATCCTTCGCGAGTCACGCTTGTTTCCAAATAGATCTGCCGCTAGCTCTTCGCTAACAGGTGTAGGCTTCTCCTCTAATCCGTTTGCCAGCATGATCCCAGGGGATGAAGGCCGGAACATGTCTTCGTAGTCCGGCTTGTCGGCAGCTTCTAGGTGCTTCGCCCATTCGTTCGTACGGTAGGATAGGGCGACTTTGGACAATTTCTCTGGCAGGACATTCTCTGCAAGACTGTCAACCTGAGAACCACCTTGCTCCAGCTGTGAACCTTGGGATAACGCCTCGGACTGATTCGACTTGGAGCATTGTTCACTGCTGGCTTTGGAGCTGGATGTGCCCTTACCAGCCCCGACTACCGAGTCCTGCTTGGTTGGGTGCTTGTTGTGCGACTGTTTTGTCTTAGGATCGGTACTGGTAGTAAGGGATGTTGGTGCTGCATTGCCATTTGATGACTTCTTCCTGGAAGGTACTGTGTCGGAATCTTGTCTCTTGAGTCCAGGCCTTGCAAGTGCATCATCGTGCTCGGTTCCGATCGGTGACGGTAGTGGGGATAGATTGCGAGAGGATAGCGCGTCGAGATCATCGTCCAAAGTGGCGGCAAGAGACGAGGCACGGTCATCTTCGTCAGGTCTCGATCCCATCATAGCCTCCTGTGACAAGACCATATCCCTAGAAATGCGTTGCCTCATTGCAGACACATCGGACACGCGCTTTGACAGACGCCGAGACTCTTCGGCTTCGAGGCCGGACTCGGGGAGAGCAGATACAGAGGCATTGTCGTCGTCGTCGCTACGTGCATCTTCTTCGCAGGGAATCTTGAATGGAAGTGGAACGACCGATGGAGGTGGTAGTGGAACTGAAGGGCGTAGGCTGTTGCTCTTGGCTAGAGTGGGCCTCGATCCATTTTCCGGAGCCGCTGGCAAGGCTTTCTCGTTCTCAGGCGTATGAATTCCAAGTGCATTTTCCGTCGTAGGGGTTTCCGGCCCGATTTGTTCGATACCATCGTCATTCGGAACGCCTACTGTGACGCTCGCTCCGGGATTCGGGCTGTTGCTGGCTGATCGCATTACTCCGTTGTTTGGTACGTTGAGCCTTTCCGCGCTGTCGTTTCCATAAACCTCCTTCTCCTCAATGTGCGTAGAGCCTTTTGGACTTGAAACAGAAGATCGGACGCTGGTCTCAGGTGCGCCCTTTCCACCATATGCAGCCTCCCATTGAGCACGTTCTTTCTGGAAGTTGTCTTCAACCTTGCGACCTTGTTCCTCCTCTTCACGATCCTGGTCCTGCTGTCTCTCAAGCTGTTGAGCAGCGGTCTTTTCACGATGTTGTTTGACTAGCTTCCAAACGCGCATCTGGGAGACAATACCAACTACTGCAATGATGACAACACCAGCCAGCTCGGCTTTCATGTTCTTGGTGACCGGATAGGTGTTAGTGTTAAGAGGGAAGATGTCGTCGTTGAGGTCTGTAAGCGTTAGCAATAGCCTGCAGGAATCTTGCGATTACTCACTCCAGAGATAAAGCCAGAACTCCTTCCAGCCAGAACCGGCCAGACAGTCGATACCAAGAATGGTAGCGGTGGCACCCGAGAAGGCGATCGATGCGATGAGACCGTAAGTACGGGTGTAGTGACTGAAAGCGAGCGAGTAGCCTCCAGCTGACATGCAGCCAATGAAGATTGCACGGCCGGTTCCCGAAGTGATCAGGCCACCGTCCTTGACACTAAGGAACCACATGCTCAGGCAAAAGCCACCAAGTAGACAGCCAAAGCCTTCGGTAATGTCTGAGAAGACCAACGACAGGATGCCGAAGATTACTCCAGTGAAGAAGGCCGCCACGAAGAAAGCTCCTTGAATGGCATCGGTGACGGGCGGGTTCATCAAGTATATGATCAACACAGTAACGGCGAGAGCTGTCAGATAGGCCGCAGACCCGAACACATATACCCTTGTACTGGTTAGTCTACGTTAGATGATGAGTACTGATATGCATACCATTTGTTCTTGATACCGACGATCGCATATCCTAACCCGGAAAGTAGTAATAGTACTCCAGTGATTCCCATAGCAGGGGTAAGCTTCGGGTGAATAGGCAGTGGGTCTGCTGGGTCCGCGGAGTCGTTCTCTGGACCTGGTGTTAGCTTCATCTCGTCACAGCCGACATGATATAGCTCACTCTCAGGGTCTGATGGCGTGGGCCTATCAGATGGAGTCGTGGTAGGAACATCGTTGGTAGTGCTCGGTGCTGGTGCCTCTGATGGCTTGACTGAGGGTGCTGGTTTCGATGAAGTGCGGTCGGGCTCGACTCGTGATGAGCTTAGTCCCGATGGTGTGGGTGTGGCAGCGGGCTGTCGAGAAGCACTGTCCTGGCTCTCAGGTGTTGATTCCGCGGAAGGACTATCATTCTGTCTACGGACTGCAGCATGAGGAGCTGCTACTGCTAGTTGCAGACATAGAATAAGGGCCAGACAGAGGATAAGATAGTTACAGTAGAAGCGCATGGCGACTGTGTAGAGTAGGTGTGTCTAGCACAGTAAGTCAATTGCCATGGAGAAATTACGATTACGGTTGGAGGTTGCGGTGGACAGTCCCTGCGAAGATGCTAGATAGGGAAAGCGCGACTCCTGATATGGTGCAAAGGTGCCCACGAAGATGACGCACGCGCAAAGATTGAAGAAAGAGCAAGTAAACTCGCGGGAAGGACTGTTTCAAAGACCGAGCGAGAGCCGATTACTAGTAGTAATAAAGAGCGAATAGAAAGGAATGTGGTAGGCACGAACGGCCAATACGCGAAGCTGATAATGCAGAAGAAATGTAGGAAACAGGTAGTGAATGGTGTTGGCGCACCTGGGCATATATCGTACGACAGAAGCCGTGGGTCGGTCAGCGGCAGCACGCCTGGCTAGGTGATCGACGACTCCTCCCGCGGGTTGCAAAAAAGCGAGAATGCTTAGCGAGCAGGGGCCTGTTCCTGCAATAAGGAAAAAGCATAGCCATAGAGCCTGGCGGCGTCAGAACGGACGGGCTTTTTTGGGATGACCCATACTGCAACCGGTGTGGTGTGGCCCTTGGAAAGTCTGAATTTAAGATTGCAATGTTAGCCACAGCCATTCTAACGTTTTCCGAGCAACGCCTTCTAGCCACCTAGGGTAAAACAAGTATAGTTTGCTATCCAATTGTCCTAATCCAGCGTTGACACCTGAGGGGAGTTCGGACGGTACGCCATGCCAGGACGCCATGCAAAAGACACAACGATGAGGCGTTCAACAGTGCCGAATCCCGTCGACAATACGATCGGGAGGCTTGAGCTGTGAGTCCGACATGCGAGACGTACATATGCGAGATGAGTTGTGATGACTCCAGCCAAACAAGCATTGGACGCTGTCATCCAGTGAGAGGTTGATGAAGGAGAACGCGTCGTGAGCAGAGGTGCAGCCATTGGTAGGGCCGCAAACTCCGTAGGCAGGGATCGTGCTACGCATTCATGCATAAGCTGCCGCAGGGTGCATAAAGACCCTCCATAACGGAGCTCCTCACATAATCAACGTTGAGACTCAGCCGTAGTACAGCCGCAAGGTTCAAGCCTCAAAGTCTCGATAATTGTAAGATCTTTCATTTTTCTTCAGCTGAGGACACTTTGCTTCTAGATCGAATCAAAGATATAACATCGCGTTGTCCGAAGAGGGGCGATGACGACCTTGGGTTCAACTGGTACGGCAATTCCTGCAACCGAAGATGCGACTCCTGCAACCGAAGATGTCCGCGGTACTAGATCTGCAGGCAGCCGTGCGCAGTGCCGGCGATCCAGTTCTGACGAACTTTCGCGTGGGAATCGTCTCCGTGCTCCCCCTCCCTGACGTTAACACTAGCGACTCGATCAACCTGCCAACCTCCTTGTCACTAGTTCCATCGACTCTACAGACAGTTTTCACAGCTGTAATGTGAGTCCAACAGATCTGACATCTGCTCGCGCCCTACTTGCCGAATCATCGCACCGTCATCTCTGTTTCATATATGTCGTCGCACAGATTCTACTTGGATCTTTAACACAGAAAGGCTGGGGTTTGCACGTTCTTCCAAAACCATAGTGGGTCCGTTAAGATTGCCAATACAGGCAAAAAGCTTTCAAGTATGAGGCGCAGGTATTTCCGCAAGTTACACGATTGAGTCTCGATTGCCATCTTATTTTACGCACAAGATTAATATTTTGAAAAGAATGCAGTGGTAGATACAGCGGACATGCAGATCGTGGCACAGTGAAGGTGGGTATATATCGATGTTGATCGCGTTGCGAGAGCTCAGCGCTAACAGTTTCTAGCACATGGCGTCGCTTACCCTTGGTTTGAGCTCGATCAAAGATACGTGCGAACGACTTCAGAACACCGTTTTAACCGAAGGCTCCTACCATTTCGGCAGCGAGCTGCGCATACGTGCTCACGGGCGTGTTCATCCGTCCACTAAACATAAGCTGTCCACCGCTCCGAAACCCGCTGCCACACCACCCTCCTCGCTCTGGTCACCTTTGGTGCGGAGAAGATATCCAGCCTCCCAATTCTCCAATATTTCGCCCTTTTTCTCAGCTCCACTTCCATTCCTCCACAGACATACACCATATACTCCAAGTTCGCAAATGACGCCACCCCTTTGTAATTCACCGTTCCGAAGAATGGCATTTGTCAGTGGAGGCGGCTCGATCATCTCCATCAGAATGTACGCCGGCCAATGGGTTTCGGGCAACTTCTGTAGGAATGGTGGAATGGCCTTCCGGTAGATGTTGTTTCCGCCTCCTTCTCGTTGAGGTTTCAGCACATACTTTGTGGCCGACGAGGCCTCTGTCGCAAGCTTCTTTGCTTCTTCGCCAGCCTCGCTATTATCGAGCGGGTAGATTGGGGCAAAGGTTTCCAGCACACGTGAAGCGACCTTTTCATCGGGAAGGAATCGCTTGAGGTGCGGCGAATGTGGTGTAGCAAGCACTTGCTGAACCTTCTTGCAGCCAGCGAGCTGTGTCATGACGCTCGGACACTTGATGGCACGGCTTTTTTCAAGCTGAACACGGGCATCCCAGTCTTCATCTTTTGTGTAATCATCCGGTGAGTACCCTGCTCGGAAGTAAATGGTCGTTACCTCGTATGATTTCGAGGGCGAATTTGGTGGTGTATAGACCAAGGTACGGTCTGTGTCGAGCTGTGTGTGAGACAATGTCTCGCCGAACGATAATCGGAAGGCGCGGACCCCATTCTCTTCAAGCAAGGCGTATTCGAGATGTCTCTGATCAAACACGTTCCTCTCCGGGTCTTGTACAATGAACAACACACAGAGAGGACGTTTAGTGCGCGAAGATCCGTATGCCTTGTGTGCAGCAGCGAGGCCCTTTGCCAAGGAAGAAGCAGATTGGCTCTGTCGCAAAGCCTCGTGCTTTATAATGGACAGTGTCGAGTCTGGGTAAGCGTCGACGGTGAGTAGGTATTTATGTAATGCGGAAACTTGGGAGGATAGCCCGCCAAACGAGGATGCAATAGTGTTGAACTCGACCTGTTTCAGGCCGGATGACGGATTGGACTGCGAAGGGTCTTGATGTACCATGTAGTCTGAGCGGAAAAGTCCCAAGGAGAGGTCTTGCACGTAGCCTTCCTTCTTGACTTCAAGATGGGTCTGCCATAGCTTTGCAACGAAGTCGTCAACACGTACAAGCTCCTCTACAATGCTCTTCAGCCATGACTCGTCTCTAGCAATGGCTGAGTACAACTCGTTGTAAGCCTTTTGTATGGAAAGTCCCTGCTCGAAGCAGGAGCGTGGGAACAAGCTTGGAAACAAAGTGACTGGTGCTGTGCTTGCGAGTACCCCAGACGGATCCTGCGATGGCTGGACGAATGACGGAGCCGGGCGAACCGCTAGGCCATGAGCTATCGACCAGTCCTTGAGATTGGACAGCAAATACTGCTCCTCCTGTTTAGACAACTCCGGTGGGTAATCGGTATGCGAAATGTGATTCATGATGGCTGAGCGGATTCGGTTGTTGTCGAAAGAGCAAACGGATCAAGTACGAAAGACTTACAAATGCTATCCGCGCTAGAGCAATTGCCTCATCCTGCCCCGCCGACGCCCGAGATGCACCGATTGACACTAGTCACATATTACAATACGTCTCGGGCTTCTATTCAACATGGTAACGCCCGTTGCTCTCTGCTTCCATTCTGGACTGTGATAACATTTGGTTATGTTTGCCCCTCATCGCGTGATCCAGTGATAGCGCGCGCATGCCTTGGTGGCCGCCCCACCTCCCACGCGCTGCCCAATCCACTCCAGGGCTGCTTTGCGCATCCCAAACATGCTCGCAGCCTTCACTGTCGCAGCTTTCCTACCACATTTTGAAGCGTCGCGAAGACTCGGAAACTCACACCAGTCCTGCTCGAACACCTGAGAAATGCTCGTTAGCGATCCGTGGTTGTGGACAGTGGATGAGCTCGTTGCAGAAACATGCCACTCAGACGTGCTGTATAAAGCTGGAGGTTACTCCGCTGCACATACTCCCGACCCTGCGACGCTCGAAAGACAGATTCGTAGTCGCCAATTGACAGGTAAAAGATTTCTCACCGCCCTCGACGAATTCTCACTTGTGGGGAGGAACGATCTCAATATACCTAGTTTGGGTCAACGAGTGGCACTGATGTCAGTTGTCGAGTTACTTCGACATCGATCCTATCTGTACAAACAGCGCGCAGCCACTGCGGGTGTTGATTCACTTGTCATAAACAGCACAGACCCTTCGCCATCTGTACGTTCAACTGGAATCTCCGACCATGTTGCCGTTGCAGAAGAAGCAGGTAGCAAGCGGCGGAAGATCACCCATCTTTCAACAGCGCCACTGCGCAATGTGCCTTCAGATTCTCAAGCACCCTCAAATACGGCAACCATCACACCTTCGCAGCGAGAAGTATCCAATATCGACGACTATAGTTATTTGTTAAGATGGCAAAACGTTGCTGGGGGTGACCAGATCATAGACTCACCTGACGCGGACGATCTGGAAGATGAGGACAATGCCGGGCTGGGGGACGCAGCCGAGGAGGATCCGCAATCAGTTGAGGATCAGCAAGACGATGTAGTCGAAGAATCGAATAAGAGGACCAAACTGACCCAGGACGAGATTGTTGAGATCATCAACGAGCGAATCGAGTTTTACACAAATTCTTGGAAACCGAACAAAGGCGCTGCCCGTGGCGAAGAGGTGGACCACGATCCGGAAACCATGTGGAACGAGGCTAAAGCGAAAGGAGAGCGAGAGGCGCTTGCACAGACGTATGAGACAGATCACGAATATTTCAGTCAAAGACTAGACAGGCTGTGTGAAGAAATTTTAAAGTTTCCAGGAAGCAATGCGGTAAGCTACCATACCTTTGCCATTGTATGAGTATCATAACCTGACAGTGATCATTGTAGGAGCAGGTACGGCGACAATGCAGCAACCTCGAAGTCACCGTCAACTCTATGGAGCTAGCGGTTTGGTTGCGTGATATATACAAATTGGAACCCGTCAACGAAAGCGACGAAGAGCACATATTGAGCAACCAAGGCATTGGTACTACGGGCGATCGACTAAGACTACGACAAAGCATAAAGGCTCCCCAAGTCAAGCAGGCCAATGAGATCATTGACCTAGGTTCACCATCAGGGTCATCAGATATTGATGACAGAAACGTATCGCCTTTTAACAACGACATCGGGGCTGCAGCTAATCCAATTGAAGTCGAGTTCAACAACTGGACACGATCATCTACACGAGACTCAGTCATCGCTGACAGCGTAGAGCCAGTCGTATACGCACACCCAGGGCTTCTTGAACCAGACGGCGGCGATTTGCCCACACATACACCTATTAATCATGGAGATGAACCTGAGAGCTCTTCAATCGCTACAGTTCGCCGCTGGAAATGGGGAGATCTAATCGAACATCTCGACCGCAAGCGCGTTGTCTCCAAGACCATCCTGGAACTGAGATTCGACGACCGCGAAGTGATCCGTAGTCGAATTCGACTTGTTGGCAAGATCAGTCTTATCAAAGAGGTGAGAGCATGCATCGACATGTTATGCAAGGGAGAGACAAAACTGCAAGGCGTCCTTCCTCGAGACATGCCCAAAATCCTCACGTTCACCAAGCTGTTTCTGTCGTGGTGGTTTTGCAGCAATTACTCCCATGGGCTCGAAGCATCGAAGAAAGACCTTGAAGAGCTAAAGGAATGTATGGATAGCGGAGCCGCCGAGACTAGCACCTTCTACGACTATGTGAATACGATAATGGGAACGACTTTTAGTGAACAAGCTCTACAACATCCTGACCAGCCATCTCAGGCCGAGATCATCGAAATATCGGACGATGACTGAATCGGCGGCCGCTTGAACATGCGGCACGTTTTTTGCAACTGCTTGTTCTCTAGGAAGGGCCGTTTGCAGTAAGGTCTAGGCCTTAGGCCTGACGAACTGCTTATGAAATGTTGGCATATGGAGAAATGCCGAAGTGTGAAATTATCGAACCACGTGCGGCTTACTTCGGCAAGGCTTTCTAGTCTCGTACTGTACGCTAACGAAGAAGCGCAACTGAGGACAAGCCGAGGCATGTAAACGAAGGCTTTGGAGAGATGTGCTATCCAAACTGATGGACCGCAGATCCCCCTGGGCTTGCAGAGATCAACCTCACGAAAGGGAACGGTGGCGGCTCCGAGATAAGTGGTTGAGGCCAGGTCGCCGGGCAAAAGGCGGGGTACGCTAAGACCACAGACTACTACTGTACGGTGCAGGTAGTTGCAGTTCAGATGTTGTACGATTGAGTTGGAAAACCAAAAAACCTCTCCCTAAGATATGTACAGGAATTGTAACTTGGTACATAACGTGGAGTTGTGTTGTATGGATTGTGAAGGGTCTGACAGCGCTACATCCCAGGTCTTGTCAGGGCACAAGGCGGGCGAGACCCTGGACCTCTCATACGCGTATATACAAGCCATGGAACTATCCGAGTATTTACTCTCCGGAGTACCGTACCGCTGAGTGAGATGGCGTCGGCAGCGTTGAAAGCTAATATATATGAACCAATCATGACGAGTCCATTTGATGCCGATGCCCGGCATACTAGATTCCGCGCTATTACCGCATGTAATTCATGTAGTACATCTTTGACACATTTTCAAACCGTCCCTCTCTCTCGCACTCATCCTCACCCCAATTCACCTGCACACCTACCACATACACTGAAACCCCCACACACGCCACGCATTTGACAACATGGAGGCTCTTTTGCGCCAGTCCAAGTCCATGTGCCCGTTCCTTCACAAGACGTCACCCGCCACTCTACGCTCCCTCTCTACCACCACCGCCGCCGCTGCGCGCCATGAAGTTTCCCCCGGCGCCGGAAGCATGTCAAACCTCCAGGTCCTCGCTCGTCGCTGCCCCATCATGGGCAAGGCGCTCGCCGTCCAGAGCTCCCGTAATGGCAACAACGCTCTTGCCGGCGCTTTCGGCGGTGTGCGGGCTTACCACACCCGCGTGAACCGAGCCAGGCTACACACGACGGCCTCCAAGGAGGCTCAGGCTGTTGATATCGAGAGCCTGAGGGGCAAGCAGGGTATGAGATTCCCTACCAAGCCGAAATATAGCACTTTCAGTATGGCGGAAATAGTAGAGTATAGGCTAACACGGCGGCAGGTCCACCATTCCCGCACGCAGCTTTGAAGCCTGTGAATGCTAAGCCCTCCAATGTCGCATCTTCATCCGCCCCACGAGCCGCCACATTCGACTACGAAGGCTTCTACCACAATGAGCTGGACAAGAAGCACAAGGACAAGTCCTACCGCTATTTCAACAACATCAATCGATTGGCCAAAGAATTCCCGCGCGCCCACAAGGAATCTCCCGAGGACAAAGTGACAGTCTGGTGCTCCAACGACTACCTGGGCATGGGCCGCAACCCGCACGTGCTCAAGTCGATGCACGAGACCCTGGACAACTACGGAGCTGGCGCTGGAGGCACCAGGAACATCTCCGGACACAACCAACACGCTGTAGCATTGGAGGACACGGTTGCAAAGCTCCATTCCAAGGAGGCTGCGCTTGTCTTTTCATCGTGCTACGTAGCGAACGATGCGACTCTTGCGACTCTCGGAAGCAAATTGCCCAACTGCGTCATTCTCTCTGACAGCTTGAACCACGCCTCTATGATTCAGGGTATCCGTCATTCAGGTGCGAAGAAGATGGTATTCAAGCACAACGATGTCGCAGACCTTGAGGCGAAGCTGCAGTCAATTCCTGCGGAATACCCCAAGATCATTGCATTCGAGAGTGTGTACAGCATGTGCGGCTCCATTGGACCAATCGAAGAAATCTGTGACCTTGCCGAAAAGTACGGTGCCATTACCTTTCTGGACGAAGTCCATGCTGTAGGCATGTACGGACCACACGGCGCTGGTGTGGCTGAACATCTCGACTACGAGGCACACAAGGCAGGCCGACCCCAGGGTACGATCCAGGACCGTGTAGACATCATCACTGGTACACTCGGAAAGGCCTACGGCTGCGTTGGCGGCTACATTGCTGGCTCTACTAAGCTTGTCGACACCATCCGATCGCTCGCTCCTGGATTTATCTTCACTACTTCGCTTCCACCAGCGACTATGGCAGGTGCCAAGACAGCCATCGAATACCAGGCTAACTACCAGGGTGACCGACGCCTGCAACAACTCCATACTCGTGCGGTCAAGGATGCTCTGAGCGAGAAGAACATTCCTGTTATCCCTAACCCTAGCCACATTATACCCGTGCTTGTCGGAAACGCCGAGGTGGCCAGGAAGGCGTCTGACCTGCTCCTTGAGGACTGGGGCATCTACGTCCAGGCCATCAACTACCCCACTGTTCCTGTAGGTCAAGAGCGACTACGCATCACGCCTACCCCAGGTCATATCCGGGAGTATCGCGATCACCTGGTCGAGGCCGTTGATGCCGTCTGGAACCAATTGGGAATCAAGCGCACAAGCGAATGGGCAGCTGAGGGCGGCTTCATTGGCGTCGGCGAGGCTGGCAAAGAGGAGGTAGCTCCTCTCTGGACGGACGAGCAGCTTGGCCTGACCGATGTTATCAATGAGATGAAGGCTGGCCAGGGCGCGACTGGCGTGCTAGAGGCTGTGCTTGAGCACGAGCGCAAGGCTACCGCACAGGCCGTTGCTGCTGCTGCTTAGACATGGGCGTCAAGTAGTTGGTGATGAGGTCTGGTCGCTCGTTTTGTTATTTGAGACCTATGTAGTTTGAGAGAGCGTTGATAGCGCATCGAAATTTACTCATGATTCGTCCGCGCAAACATATGTTCATAATGCAGTACTGTCATGCTAGAAACTTGTAGTCTCTATTGTACCTTGGGTGTATACCTAACTATTCTTCGTCTTGAGTGAATGGGAGAGAAATTTGTCTTTCTATTGTCATATACTGCTTAATGCGGCCTGGTGAAAGGGAAGGTGGACGCCTGAGGAATGCACGGCCGCAACGTTAGGTTCACGTCAGCCATTGCGCTAGTGACAGCTCCCAGGGTTTGAGCCTCACGAAATCGAGACACGCTCCATCATCAACCGCGCCCGCCGCAACGCGACTCTACCATTTGGCGCTGCCAAACCCCATCAAGTCGCCGCCTAATCCAGTCTCTACCATAATTGTTGACTGCAGAGCGCGAATATTCAACCACCCCCCTCCCTAACACCTCGACGAGCAACCACCGCATGCTCCCCACGCATTTCATCAACTCTTTGCTCGCGCCGGTCTCTCGATCGTAAGAGGGTACCATCATGCCTCCTCCACCCAAGCGAAAGCGACCCGAGCGCACTTACTCACAGGATGACGACCGCACTGGACGACCGTCGCCGCATCGCCCGCAGAACCTCGGATTCGCGCATAATCAACAACAGCAAGCCAACAGTCCGCGCGGCGGCGGCGGCGGCGGTGGCGGTAGGCGGCAGAGCAGAAACAACGGACGTGGCGGTGGTTCCAGTGTTCCCCAGAGTCCTAACAATGTCTCACATGCATCGCCGACCGCCATGTCTCCGCCCGCAAATACATTTCCATTGACTCGGCCGTCTCAAGCCACACCGTCCACCCCAGCGCCAGCGCCCTCACAACCTTCGACGCCTTCTATAACGCGCGAGGCCCCCGAGAGCAATGAGTATCTAACGCCAGACCGCGTCGCTCACTGGAATGGCGAAGCACGCGACGCTGTGGTCAAGGCTGCTGTGGCTGCTCAAGGCGCCGGCGACGTGCTCACCCTCTCAGTCATATTCCACGAGATTATCGAGGCGTCTATGGGCCAGCTACTGGATGCCGGCGAGCTGGGATCAATAGTACGCGACATCACATCCGCCCCGGCCGACGAGCAGGTGGACTCTGTATCGACATTCCTCGACACTCTGAGTTCGCTCACGCAAGATGAAGGCAAGCAGGCACTTGTAAGACAAATGCTTGTCGCGACAGACATCAACGTGTCGCGCATGCGAGCCGAGCTGGAAAACGATCTCTTGAAGTCCTTGGGCCTAGTCCGCGACAGCTTCTCCAAGATGGCTGTTCGCAAAGCCACCCACGCCCTATACCGACAGTCCAACTACAACCTCTTGCGCGAAGAGACCGAGGGCTACTCGAAGCTCATGACCGAATACTTCACTACCGTGAATAGCGAACCGCCCTCGCAGGAAGTCGTCAGCGAAACCTGGCAACGAGTAAACGCTCTCATTGGCGCATTCGATCTGGACATTGGCAGGGTTCTCGACGTGACACTGGATGTGTTTGCCAACCTCCTAGTCAAGCACGGAAGGTTTTTCGTCAAGATGCTAAGGTCGAGCGCATGGTGGCCTGAGCTACGCGGTTTCGATAACGTCAGATGGGAGGAGCCTGAGGTACCGACGCTTCCCCTTTGGGCACGACCTGATGCGAAGCAGTGGTATTATACCGATGAAGAGAAGGACGAACAGTTGCGGCTGCGAGAGTCGCGCGATCGCAAATTTTGGCAGCGAGTTGGTGAATTGGGCGACCGGGCCGGCATCCAGGCATTCTTTGAACTTGGAGGCCGTCGCATCATTGCGAACAACCGGCAACCCGATCAGACATTACGTGCCGAAGGTGCGCCGCTATCGAAGCAGCAGGCAGCTCGGAAATGGGCTGATGAGTGGATGGAGCAAACCAAGACACTCCCTCCGTCAGGAAATGACATCGCCGCTCAACTACTTGGCTTCAAGCTCCAGTTCTACGCATCAGATGTTCGCGATGCCACTGACGAACTTCCCGATAACCTCATGTACCTGATTGCACTCTTGGTCAAGATCGGTTTCATTTCTATTCTGGACCTTTATCCCCACTTATATCCACTAGAGGCAGACATGGGTGCACACAAAGACAAGCTCCTTAAGGCCAAGAAGGAAAAGGAGGAAAGTGAAAGAGGCGCAGTCGTGAATGCGCTAACAATGGCTGGTGCGCTTCCCGATGAGACACCTGGTCCGCCAGCTGTTTCTCGCCTTCGAGATGCCGAAACCAGATCCAAATCGGATACTGGACGAAGCACGCCTGCTAGATCCGATGAGCCCACGGACAAGAAGAAAGCTTTGCCTGAGCCCAAGGACCAGAAGTTCACGCTTTTAAAGAGTCTGCTGTGCATCGGCGCGCTGCCAGAAGCTCTGTTCATTCTCGGGCGGCATCCCTGGTTCCTCGACGTTTACCCTGAGCTGCTGGACCTCATCTTCCGCCTCGCACACCACTCTCTGAGCAAGGTTTACGAGGAATCCAAGCCTCCGTCGGTCGAGGAGCCCGTCATCTCTACCAAAGGGTGTGCCAACCGTGGTCTTCTGAGGCCAAGCGACTACGTTCCTCGACGAACTCTCCGATGGGCCAAGCCGGACAGGAAAGATCAAGACGGCGGAATCGACTACAAGTTCTATTGGGAAGACTGGGTTGACAACGTTCCCGTGTGTCAAGAGGTGGATGATGTGATCAAACTTTGCACCAGTCTCCTAGGCTTGGTGGGACCAGAGTGCGGCAAGGACAGCGTCCTCCTAACCAAGATCATACGTATTGGCAAGAAGAATCTAGTCGACGATCCTTCCGAATCCAACCGAAAGCGATGGGTCAACTTCTCAGCAACCTTCATTGCCCCTGCGATTACGTTTACAGGCAGAAACCCTGGAGTTATTAACGAGGCCTGGGATCTGTTCAGACACTTCGACACAGCCACTCGATATACCATCTATCAGCAATGGTTTAACGGAATGCTTAAGCCCGTGATCAAGACAGCTTTCAGCCAAGTCGAGGTGGAAACTAGGAAGACCCTGAGTCGTATTTCCGCTACCAACACGAAAGAGTACGGTCGTAAGATCGCCAAGATCTCGTATGCTAGCCCAGGAATTGTGTTCAGAACAACAGTCAAGCAGTTGGTCAACTACCCCAACATGATCACTGCGTTAGTGGAGTGCAGCCGATACCTCACCTTGCTGGGATATGATGTCCTAACCTGGACGCTGGTCACATACCTTCTCAACCCCGACAAAGGATCGCAACAGGACGATGGTATGCTGTCTGCACCGTGGCTGAAGAACATTGCTACGTTTGTTGGCAAAGCTTACGCAAGATACCACTTAATGGATCCTGTTCCCGTTCTACAGCTCACCACGCATCAGCTCTTGACTGCCGAAGGCGAGCTATATATGCTGGACGTTCTTGAACAAATCGTCAAGTCCATGGGTGGCATTAGCGTCAGTGGATCTGTGTCGGAATCGGTGACTCTGGCGCTTTGTGCAGGACCTGCGCTCCGTACGTTTACCTTGCAGTATCGTTTAGCGGACAACCGTGCCCACGCTGCTTCTTCAGCGAGACGTCTAGTCAGATGCTTAAAGGAGACGGGTCTGGGACCACAGATTCTTATCGCGCTGGCGCAACACGTGGAAGCCTACGTTCACCGCGATGATCAGCTGGAAGTACCCGACAAGCCTGTACTCTTCAATGTCGACAAGTTGCGCTCCGACATGCTTCAATACCTGGAGCTCCTCCGAACATTCCTTTCTGTGGACGACTTCGACGCTCTTTTCCCTTCGTTGGTAGAGATGATCGCGGATTACCATGTCCAGCCGGATGTCGCTTTTACCATCGCTCGTGCGAGCATAGCAGCCAAGGCTAATACTTTCCGGGCTGAGCAACGCTCGAAGCTAGTTTCCGATACGCAGACGAATGGCGATATTGCCATGAGTGGCGTGGAGGAGACACTAGTTGTAAATGAAGCCCAGACTGACGCTACGCCCACTGAGACATCCAAAGCGACCGAGGATGTGGAAATGAAAGATTCCGTTCCTTCTGCGACTGGAGCTCGTTCGGATAAGCCTTCCTTGCCCGATGTACCAAACCCAGAGATTGAAAGCTTGGCGAGCCAACTCAAACAGCAGCTACCCGACACCTTCGGCAACCATCCTTGTGTGTCCTACTACGTCGCTTTCTGGCAGTTGTCTCTGATAGACGTTGTCGTCGATGCTGATGGCATTAATCAGCAATATAAGGATTCTATCGAAACCTTGGAACGACAGCTGCCTGCTCCTGTGCCCGAGCGCCGTGGCTACCGACCCAACGTACCCAAAGCTGATTCGGACGCAGTGAAAGCTCTTAAGGAAAACATAGCCAGGGTCAAGGAAGAACAACAGGTTGTCACGAAAAACCATGCTATGACGCAAGAGAGTTTGCGGGTCGAGTTGCGCCGATGGTTCGAAGGCGTTCCAATGATGGGGCCACAGTGCGACGCCTTGCATAATGCTGTACTCCAAGATTGCTTCATCCCTCGCAGTCGCATATCTCAAGAAGACGCACAATATGCGTTCTCTATGCTCATATTCATGCACAGCTCAGGCGTGCCAGGGTTCCGCATGAGCAGACTACTCGATATGCTCTTCAACGCAAACAGGCTTACGTCCATCATCAGCATGTACACCGAAGCAGAATCGTCATCTTTCGGGCGTTTCCTCGGCGGCATCTTGCGTGAGTTGCAAGTCTGGCAGGAGAACAAGGACGATGCTTTCGTCAAGAATGCTCATGGTCCGGAAAAGAATCTCCCTGGCTTCGGTAGAGGCTACGATGGGGAGCGGAACGTAACAAGCTTCTTCACGTACGACCAGTTTTGCATGGTCTTATTCAAGTGGCACAAGGCACTTGCAGCTGCGCTTAAGACATGCCTGGAGAGTGGCAACTACATGCAAATGCGTAATTCAATCAACGTCCTTCACGCGCTGGGTACCAATTTCCCTAAAGTCACGAGCATGGGCACAGAGCTAAAGGAGATGGTTGTACGTTTGAAGCAGGGAGAGGAGAGACAAGATCTTATGAGGTCGTTGGAATCTGTGCTTGGTCCCATCCTCAAAGGAGAGAAGTTCTGGCAGGAGGACCATGTCTTCCGCAACGTGAGTTCATCCGCATCGCCACGCACACGGCAGCGAACTAATGCGCCTTAGGTACCGGCACCCACACCCGTGCCTGGAAGCACGACGAACGGAAGCGACAAAGCTGCTACGGAGAAGGGCAAAACTCCACAGTCACAGGATACGAAACTCGACGCGGCTGCACCTGCTTTCAAGCCAAAGCCCGAAACGTAAGTTCACGAATTTTCCCGACATTATCAACAGTGAAACTGATCGGCATTTTCCAGAAACGGTACCCCAGCACGAGAGCCAAACGACAACAGGTCAAAGCACAATAGTGCAACGCCCGCGCCTTCTTCAAGGGACAGAGAATCGTTCAAGCCAACGCCGAAATCGTCCGACAGTAGGCCTTCCACCCCATCGCAACAAGAGACCAGCTCTGGCAGACCTACACCGAAGCCAGGTCCTCCAATGCATCACTCATCTGTTCCACTGCGACCAGATAGCAGAAACGCACCAGGACAGAATACTCCAGCTGGCAGACCATCGCACGCACTGCCATCGCGACCAGACTCACAACCGAGAAATCGACAACCGGAACGCCCTATCATTGATCGCACGCCCGAAAGTACGCACGGTAGATACGACAGTCGAGGACCCCCTGGCGACTACGGCCGACTTGATCGCTCGGCAGATGCTGGACGTCTGCGGGATGCTTCGCCTGGTCGACGCGCGCGACCTCTACCTGGTGGCAGAACTCCGGAAAGGGTACCTTCAGCCGCCGAGCATCGCGAATGGTCTGGCAGAGAACGTGATTACGATGATCGGGCCATGCGAGGACCCCCACGAGATGCGCGAGCGCCAGCAGTACGACCGCCCACTTGGGATCCACGAGACCCTAGAGATGTGAGAGATCAACGTGAGCGCTCCGACCCTCGAGGTCATGCTACGCCTGCTACAATGGAGCCTCGGCGGATGCCTTCCACTTCTTCACTAGCCAATGAATACCGGCGAGATGGTCCACCAGCCAATGCCCCATATGCTGCAGAACAGAACGAAAGACCACCGCGACTTCCAACGGTGCCGATCCCAACCAAGGAAGAGCCTACAGTCAACCCAGCGCGTGCTGCCTTGATCAACCAAGCAGAGCATGGTAGGCACATGCCATCGAGATCTGATCGTGACAACCGTGGCGAGCGAGATTCTCGCCTGGACTCTCCTCGCCATAGCGATGACAGACGTGGTGAAGACCGTCGAGTCGAAGAGCGCCCGCCTGTTGGTTATCATGGTCGGAACGATGTGCCACGGGAACTTCGGGAAGAGCGTCCCCAGATGCCACCTTCTGGTGGTAGAGACCGCCGGGACGATCCAGGAGCCAGCGCTCCAACCGGTCCGCGTGGTGGGCGCAATGAAGCCGCTGCGACGTCTCGGGCGTCGAGGGAGATGTTCCAGCCTACACCTGGACCACGTGCGCAGGATCCTAATTATGGCAGACTGAACCAGCCTTCAGAACCGGCGCCACCATCAGGTCCGCGCAGTGATCGGCCACATGCACCGTCGCAGCCTTCCACGCCGAGTGCACCTACTGGTCCTGCAGCGTCACTACCAGCAGGAATCCATCCTAGTAGACTCGTTAATATCGAAGGTAGAGCACCAAGCGGGCCACCACTTCAGACCAATGTACCGAACGCTCCAAGCGGTCCGCGTGGTAACAACCGCGGTCCCCAAGGTCCTGTTCCTTCATCGCCAGTTGGCCCACGACCTCCAACTGGTCCCGGAGGACCCAGGAATGCCGGCAACCCACTACGTGCTATCAATAACGTATTGACTGGAAACACGCCTGGCGATCGATTAAGCGAGCGCAACGCACCTTCTTCTAACCCCCCGGTGCGTGGTCGCGGTGCTACTCGCGCCAATGGTCCCATGGAAGGATCAGGTGGTATGACAAGCCCAATGCCACCGCCGTCGCTTGACTCAACACCCAATCGCATGGAGAATCAGCACCCGAGAAGCAGCAGGAGCGATGATGTACCAAGCAGAATGGAGGGTGCTCCACAAGAAGAAGGCCGCTCAGAGTCCCGCAGCCACCGACACCGATCAGGACGCGAGCGTTCACCCGATCGATCCGACCGCCGTCCCGACGAGCGGAGTAGCCGCACTGCTCCTTCTGAGCGCGCAGAGGGTGAGCGTGGCTCTGACCGAGACCGCGGCGGACGCGAGAAGCGAGGCAGCGACAGGGGAAACAGCCATCGGGAACGCGAACGAGACGGCGAATCGAGATCAGGACGGGAGCCTCGTGAAAGCAGCAGACGCGAGCGTGGCTCTCGCGACGACGGACGAGCTTCAGGAGGAAGGGATGAACGCGATAGGAGGAGCCGTGGTGGCGGAGGCAGCGGAGGAGACGAAGGCCGCAAGAGGGGTCGCGATCCACAGGACCAAGGCCATGGAGAAACGAAGAGGAGGCGTTAGGAACGCCCAGAGCGCCCTATGACTTGACGCGGAAGAGGGAAGCAAATCGACATTTCGAACAACAACAATAACTTAACCTTTTCTTTCTACTATAATTCGACTTTGGGAACTGGAAATTGCATTGCGCGGCGTTTGTCTTTTGATCATGCCCAGGGTTATTTGAGGCATTTTACGATACCCCGAGGACGAACAACTTTTTTCTGAGTCTTGTGTTCTCGAGCGAAAGAAAAACCGCAGCAAAAGAGTATGCATCATTACGGTGTTTGTTTGGCTGTGTATTAACCGGATTGGAGGCCCGGTTGTAGTCTTTTTATGTCTTTGTTCATCTTCTTTAGCTTTATTTGTACTATCATCACTGAGGAAGGAAAGACGAAGAGATGCGATTGCTAGTATAGACTTTGCGAGCGCGATATCAAACGAAATGAACTGGAATGGAATGTCCGAACTCTCTTCTCGTCAGATGTAGTGCTGGTGAAAAGCAGAACACACTGTTAATATCGTCCATCTTACATACATCTACCTCTATAGTACTTCCTCAACACCCCTTCCAAACCGCAAGAAATCTGTCTTTCCAACTCGGAAGCCGCATCCCCGACCCCTGTCACTCTGTGCATTACCCAAACTGCGCCGCAATGTAAAAACTCCAGACCCTGCTACTCCTGCAGACGGGCGGAAAATTGCGGCTCTGGACTGGACGGCAAAATCACCGTGACTTGAGGATATCTGTTAGGTTCGGGGCCTTGCATTCCAATAAACCCGGTGAATTGGTTTAACGGTTCTCGGCGACAACAGTCCGTGAGCTGTACGCAAGGAGATGCGTTTGGCCCTAGTTAAGAGGTACATAAACACGATATCTGCCCATGCACGTTATGTGGATACTTTGTAGATTCGCATGGTGCAGGAGATGTTGCTGAGATGGGTATGGTAGGTTCATGGAAGAGGGCATGTGTATATAAAGGAACCACGCATAGGAAAAAAGAGATGAGTTAGTTGGTTTTGAAGTTGAGTTCAAGATGGTATCGTCATTCGTTCAATTGCTGCTTAGCGCTCTTGCAGCTACTGGTATTTCCGCTGTACACCTCAAAGCACCGCTGAATCAGACGTATGACTACATCATCGTTGGAGGAGGTACTTCGGGTCTTACGGTCGCGAATAGACTGACGGAGAACGGAAAATGTGAGCCATAATTCTCTCTTCAAGATAGCCACCAGAAACCATTCCATGACACATCCACATAGATACTGTCCTCGTCGTCGAATACGGCCCGCTAAACAACGACCCACGTATCCTCCTCCCAGCCGACACACTAAACTTCGACCCATCGCGCTTCTATAACTTTACTCTCGTTCCCAACGCCGGACTCAACAATGTTTCCCGTAATGTCCTAGCTGGCGCCCTAGTTGGTGGCGGAAGTGCCGTAAATGGCATGTTCTTTGACCGTGGCAGTGCAGCCGACTACGATGCATGGGAAACCCTTGGAAACAAAGGCTGGGGCTTCAAAGACCTACTCCCTTACTTTAAGAAATCCGTCACCTTTACGCCACCAAGTAAGGAGAGTGCGGAAAAGTACAATTATACGTGGGACGAAGAGGCGGCGTATGGTGGGCATGGCGAGATACAAGTTTCCTTCCCGCCGTACCAGTTTCCCGGTCAGGATCCTGTGTGGAATGCGTGGAAGGAGATGGGTGTGGAGAAGCCCAAGGAAGCTGCTGCAGGGAATGCAATTGGAGCGATTATGGCGCCAAGTGCGTTGGATCCGGTGACAAGGACGAGGAGTTATGCTAGGACTGCGCATTATGATCGGTATGCACAGAGGCGGAACTATCATCTCTTGACTGGTTACCAGGCTACCGAGATTCTTTTCAAAGAAAGTGGTGAGCTGGAGGCTGAGGGTCTACATATCGTCAAGGTGGGAAGTACTGAGGAGACCGTGGTAAAAGCGAGGAAGGAGGTTATTGTTGCAGCAGGTGCACTTTGGACACCCTGGTTGCTTCAGCGCAGCGGTGTTGGTCCCAAAAGCATCCTCGAAAAGGCGGGTATCAAAGTCAAGAAACATCTGCCAGGCGTGGGCGCAAACTTTCAAGACCATCCCCTCGGAGGCGGTGTCTGGAACTGGACAAACAACCCATACACGCCCGCCCAAGGGGATCTAACAACCAACCAGACCTTGTACGCGGAAGCCGAGAAAGAGTATATACAGACGCGCGAAGGCCCTCTCACAGTATCTCGAGGTAGCCAAGCTGCCTTCCTACCCCTCAAGACCCTCGACCTGGAAGGCTGGCAAACACTTGTTGATGCCGTCGCAGCTCAAGACCCCACTCCCTACCTCCCAGACCAGTACGAAGAAACGCTCATAGCAGGTGCCAAAGCAGTACAAAAGGTCACCGCCGACCTTCTCGGACGCGAAGATGCTGCAACCTATGAAGTCATTTTCGGCGAAGGGCCCGTAGGAAGTGCAGTATTAATGCGTCCCCTGAGCCGCGGCACCGTGAATATTGATCCAGCGAACCTCTCATCAGGCCCAGTCCTTGACTGGCGTACCTTCTCCAATCCCCTGGATATCAAAGCTGCCGTTCGGATTGTACGCTTCTCCCGGCGCTTCAACGCTCTCTCTTCTTTCTCTGGTCTCGACCCCGTTGAACTCACACCTGGTCTCAACGTTACGAGCGAGGCCGCCATTGAGAAACATCTGCGCGCTACAACGGCACCGACATTCGCTCACCCGGCGGGTACTGCATCTATGCTTCCGGAAGAACATGGCGGTGTTGTGGGTACGGATCTGAAGGTTCATGGCGTTAGGAAATTGAGTGTAGTTGATGCCAGTGTGATTCCGTATTTACCGGCGACGCATCTCTGTACGACAGTTTATGCTATTGCGGAGAAGGCGGCGGATGCTATTAAGGCGAGGACGGGATGGAATGAGTAGTGGATTGGTGTGATGTATGATGTAATTGGCGACCGGTCATGTAAAGGTCATAGCTGATGTGCTGCTCCCTGATCACACAATGTGGATTATTTCGAAATCTTGATGCAGATCCCCATCAACGACAAAAGAATTGTAAGAGTTGTTGCTCGGGAAGAGATCCACATTTTCAACCTTCATCAAGCCAATCCTGCGATACTCTTGTCTATCGGCGTTGGTCGGGGTTAGAGCAAGAGCCAACATCCTGCGGCTTCCATCATGCTGCTTCCACACGAGGCAGGGCATGCACCAACACTCAAATCTGTTGACTGAAGTTGATGACTACAAACAGTCTTGTCAGTGGTATCATCCCCTGCTGAACAGCAATTGGTGACTGTTTGGCAATGTCGATATCGTTCGGACACATCCTCATAGATACTCAATAAATCGAGATACACTGATCCAACATAAGACTCCGTGAATAGGTCGACCGCGGAGACATTCCTAAGATCTTTAGCTCCAATGACAAGGAAGGCCAGATTTGCCGAACGCGGTACCAACACCATCTGCAATCGTGCGCATACAGTCAGTCTAGCGAATGTAATGCAACCGAAGGCAGCAAGGGCTCCTGGCCGATGTGAGACTTCCAGACCTAGAAGCTGTATTCCCTCTTCTGGTAAGTGATCCTGGCGGCACCAGGTGCCACGGTAAACCAAATTTTTGCTACGCACAGAAGCCCAGGACGAAGTTGGCGCAAGGTAATCTAAGAATTCTCCGTCGTTGGACGCCCCATCATCTTTGAGAAAAGAACTAGCCAACCAGCATAGGCCAGCCTGTAAATCTTCTTTCCACAATCCAGCGGCATAGGTGAGATTGTAGTTCTTTTGCATGAGGCTTGCCAAGCCTGCGACTGCAAGTAGTTTGTCAGAATAGACACTTAATGTCCTCCGATTGTATCTGCCAACCATGCCATACCATATATCGAAGTGACAATCTGAAGTCATACCTGAGGAAGATGATGCCTTGTCGAAGAGGTCTGGACATCGTAATATCAATCGCACTATATCGATTGGACCTTTTCCCATCATTCTTGAGTATTCTCTGTCGTTACCATCTGGATCTGAAGCATGCATACACGGATCATATTCACCCCTGAAGTCACTTATACAACACCATTCAACCGTGTCAGGTCCAAAAGTCAGTAAGCATCCTGACAACACCTCCTCTTGGAGGACCCATCCTCTTGTGTGAAGAGCACTGGGATGAAGCCTATTCGGAGATGAAACCGATGTAGCCACAGGATTACGGAGATGTTTGCTGGTGCCCCGTTCCAGCGTCACTCGATTGTTACAGGTCTTGATCGCTCGAGCGTCGCGTTTAAAGAAGAGACCCGAATCAGTGTCTGGACCGTTCGCTGCAAAGATGGTTAACGTTGACTGTAGATAGATGTTTCCCATCACAGCCATTTCGTTTCGTACATCGTCTGGATCGTCCTGAACGATGCACAAAGCGTCTATCCACAGGAATCGATATCCAAGAGCCCTGGTAACTTTCAAAGCGTCTCTAAATGTTTTAGGCATTGAATCGTCGACTGGTAGCTCTTGTTTGAACTGCTCGTATGATCCTGATCCTTTTTTGCAAAGCAGTTTCTTTCCTTGGCCCCAGAAATAACTCAGTGTTAGATGGTTTGCTCTTATTCCTGCCATTTCTATGATGCGTGCTTGCCCATGGGTGTCAATGTCAATAACTCGGGTGGGTAGTAGCGGTGGTGTTTGGGAAGACACTTCCTTCATGCAATGACGGTGTGTTTTTTGGCAGTTCTCGAGCCAAATCTTTATCAAATTCAGGTTATAGTCAGATCCCGTGTGGCTGTCGACGGCAACACCGATTGGGTCATGTTGCTTTTCAGGCTGCAGTGAAAGAACGCAGGAACGATCAAGTATGGTGCTTAATTCGCCTGTATTCTAGATCAGTTGAAACCGTAGCTCACGCTCATATGACATACCAGAGACAGGTCTCCCTAGAGTAAGTAAATGCGAAGTCTCCCCATAGTATGAACGCATTAGGAACGGTGCGTAATTATGTATTTCGTAGTGCTCGTCTCGCCGAGGCTTCCATTCCATGGCGAGAAGAATGGGTGTGGCTCCATAATCGTTATGGTGACGCGCATGAGTAGGTTCGGTGCGTTCAAATAGTCGAAACCAGAAAGGCGCACACATTCGGCATCAACTGCTAGCTGAGAGTTCCAATGCTCTTTTGGAAGGCTGATGTATGCTTATAAATGTATGATCAGTACATAAAGAGTAATGTGGATAACTGCTACTCGGAAGATGGACCCCCTTTGCAGGTGAAAAAACGAGGTTTTGACAAAAGTGGCATAGCATTGCATAGATTGATGCTGAACCGGTGTTTTGACTAGACGCACATCTAGTGATGAAAATTAGTTCGGGCGTACAGTGATAGAACAGCGAAGGACATTGCTGGGTGGTTGATGGGGGTATGCCAAGGGGGCTGTGTAGACCTAATCAGGCAGCTACGAACGTCGTGCGCAGCAGTAGGCAGCCTCGCCTACATTATATGAAAAACGGCATATAAACCCAGAAGACTCGTGCCCATAATAAAAAGAAGGTGCAAATCAGTCTCGTTGTAAAGCTTATCGAGGATTTTTCTGGCTGACCCTCGATATAGGCGTAGGATACCATTGCACCTTCCAAAAGTCTTCTGCCGCCTCTCCAAGACTACAACGGGACAGCACTTGGGCAAGGACAAATACCAATGATATCATGTTCGGTGGTTTTGCCTCGTGGGATAACTGTTGACCACCACACACCCAATCCATGCTACGTCTCTGCCCAGGAATATGGGAAAGAGTATCCCGCGTCGAATCTTACCTGTTCTTCTATGTCAAATTATGTCGCTACACCATAAGACGACTTAACCCAAAGTTGGAAAGAATGTGAGTTCATGCATTGGTATTGCTTGTTCTTTGCCTTTCAAGGCCGTGGAATCTATGGGGTATCATGTTCGTCAGTCATTGACTTGGCCGTATCATATGTCGCTCTTTGCAACCTGCTGTCCATACCAGGACATGCTCTCCTTCGCTTACTCCTGACCCCAAGTATCATCATCGCCAATCTCTCCAATAATCTCCACGCCCTGCTCTTCCTGGAAGGCGACCTGCTTATTCTTTCCTCTCTTCTTCTTCCCCTTGCCATTCTCTTTGTTCGTTCCGTCACCCAACGGGTTACCGTCTGCATCAATCCCGGCAATTTCACGTTGTCGTTTTCTCTCTTGGGCCTCTGCTTGTGCCGCAGCTATTTTCGCTCTGAACTCCGCCTCTTCTTCGGCCATCTGGCGTTTGATCTCATCTGCATCTGCGAAAGACTCTTCTGTCTTTTCGGACTTTTCTAAAAATTTATCCCATCCGCCATGATTTATCTCGCATCGTCCTTGAAGAGCTTCCCTAATACCGTCAGGGTTTTCGCGCTCCTCGCGGGTGAACTTGGTTTTGATGGAGCGCCGAGTGAACCCTGGGAACATCTGAGATATCATCTGAAAGTCTGTACCGAAAGACTTGAGGCCCTCATAAAACTGTGCTGTGAGATCCGGGGTCCAACGTCGTCCTTGGCCAGGGAGGAGGAATTCGTTGGGAAAGCGCTTGTTGTTCTTCATGAAGCTGCGGGTTGTGAGGCGTGCAGTGATGTCTTGGTCTTCAGTGACAACCATTTCGTTGATAAGGCGGTCTGCGTCGCCCTCTCGATCGATGACCCCAGAGTCAGGTACTACTTCCATGACGCCGTCTGCATTCAACCGCAATCTGGGACCCTGTTCAACTTGTGCAACCGCCAGCCGTGCCCCTGCTTCAGCGAGCTCTCTGTCAGCCTTTTCCTGTTCCGCTTTTGACGTCACATGCTTGTTATCTTCCTCCCTCCGGCGTTGCTTGACTGCATCCCAATCAATGGTACGCATCTGCTTCTCACGCGCAGAAAGTTTTCCAATGCGAACAGTCCGAGCTGCGAGAGAATCCATATAGGTGACATCGGGGTCGATGGTCTGGTCTTCAGCATCGGATGGAGTGGGCTCCCGCGGTGGTCTTCCCTTTCGTTTCTTTTCCTTCCTTGTGCCTTCCTCGCCCTCAATGCCATCGACTTCTTCGCCTTCTGGAGTGGCCTTCCTCCTTCTCTTTGGTTTCGGCTTGCGGCGCACGGCTGCTGCCACGATCTCATCGGCTATGCGTCCAACCTCTTCTTCCGTGCCCTGGACGACCTCGCTGCTCAGGGCTCCCTTGGACTTTCTTGGCTTTTTGGCTTTCTTCGGTGGGGCTGGTGCTTCTTCGCCATCCTGCGTGGTGGGGTCTGTAGCCTTTTTCTTCGCACGGGGTTTGGCGGTAGCTCGCTTCCGAGTGGGCTGAGCCTCTTCCTCGTCTCCATCTTCCTGTTCAACGTGGTCTGCATCCGGATCCGTTGTGATGTTCTTCTTTCCTCGTGGCTTCGGTGGCTGGCGAGGCTTTTGGGTTGGCGTCGTAGCTACTGTCTCCTCTTCACCCTCTGGAGGGTGGTTTACCGCTGCCCATGGAAGCGTCCTCCTCTTCCGCGGTTGTGGAAGGGCCTGAGCATCCGCGGTAGGGGGTGCGAGGTTCGGATCGATGTTTTGTTCGTTGATGTCGTTTGCTGGTGCCGGCGCATTGACAGCGATTGTGACGTTGACCTCCGGTTGTTGTTGTTGTGGACTTGTCTCTGTTTCTTGTTGCGCCAACTGTGACGGAGCCGCATCATCGCCTCCACCCAAAGCGACATCTTGGCTTGCAGGTGTACCCAACTGTACAGGCGGTTCTATACGGCGCCTCTTGGGCGATCTACCACCCTCGCCCACATCCTCCAAGTATTGGGTGGTGAGACCCGATTCCGTCGAAGACTGTACAGCATGGTGAGATTCCCTGTCGGCTCGCGTCTGAGTCTCTGTATTTGTGGGTGCTGGAGTGGGGAGGGGCTCGGTGGGGGTGGGGGTTGGGGTCGGTTGTGAAGGCGCTGTTGAAGATTCGGCTGTGCTTGTAGCGGCTTGGGGAGTAGTCTCTACGGTAGGCTCCTGAGTCGCGGCTGGTGTGGGTAGTTGTACGGTGGCCGCGGGTTCAGTGGTCGGCGTCCTCGAGGGCGAGGGCTCGGTTTGCGAAGTTTGCGATTGTGCAGTCGTCGCTGGAGCCTCGGGCGCAGAAGGCGTGGGGGTTGGGGCAGCAGTAGCAGCAGCGCCAGGTCTTCTTCGTGCGGCTTTGGGTGCAAACTTCTTGCCCGTCGTGTTCTCTAACCACGGCTTAGCACAGTCGGCGCCTCTACATGGGACGACTCACTGTTAATGAAGGAACTGAAAGTTGCCGCAGGTTTGGGCGCAGGCGCAGGCGCTTTGTCGCCACCCGAAGCAGGTGGCTGATTAGGGACCTCCTCAGCAGACATGGTATGTCAGCACTCGTCCAAGCCAGAATATGGCTGCTATCAATCTTTCTCACATTGGGTGGGGAACGAAGCGGACGGAGCATGGTCGCGTCTGGAGACACAGACCACGTCCTAGCGCGACACTAGCTCTTGGCAGCCCAGCCAGCAGCTAACGAACTCTCTTCGCTCGACTCTCCTCGCCCACCCTCTGGCCTCACACGACACCCGACCTCCTTCCGCTTCTCTTCGCCCGCCCGTCTCCTACCTGACTTCTATCCGCTCCTTCATCTCCTTTAATGATCTGATAGCGCGCGCGTCTTCGCTGCCCTATCAACGAAACCCGTGTCTCCTCGATGAGGCTCGAAGCCAGGACCGTCGCACCCCCATCGCTTGACGCTGTCAAGATGGAGGACCGAAAACGGCCCATCGCCGACGACGCTGCTCCTCCCGCTAAGAGGCAAGCCGTGACTGTCAACGGTGCTCGCTCCCACCCAGACGCTGACTTGCCGTGGAAAGATGACATCGAGGTTCGCCCCCCGATTACCACCCGCCATCCTCCCACGCCCACGGCGCATACACTCGCTGACTCTACGAATCTACAGTCGTTCCAAAAAGATGCCATCCTCAGGCAGATGCGCGAGTTCAAACGCGAGAAGGCTACCGTCGAATCACAACTAAACGAGTTGGAAGGCCGTTCCAAGTACCACGATGACCACCTACGGATAATTGACGCTTGGTTTGATCAGGTCAGTACACCCTTGGAATTTGATTGAGGTGATGCTAATTGCTGCTTAGCTTATCGATGAGATCAAACTCCTGGGCGCTGAGAAACTACCTGCATCATCAGGCGATGCCGAAGCTACTCAGTCCGTGCCCGCTGCGCTTTTGTGCGAGGACAACCAGACCTTCAAGAAACACCTGTCTGATCGCAAAGAGAAGATACTTGCATCCCTTACCGAACTCTTTGCGAGATATCCCGCCAGCAGCCCTGAGGTTGCGACTCTCCAACAGAAGCTGTCAGAACTCTTGGTCACTGAAAAAGATCATGTTGTGCGACTGCAACGCGTCACTACCGAGAAGGAACAATTATCTGACCGGCTCGACACTGCTACTCATCGTTATCTGGTTGCCGAGAAGAAGCTCGATCGGTTGAAGAGCGCCCAAGTTCAGAAACTCGAGCAGTCAGCAGTTGGCACCAGTGCTTCTGTAAAAGAAGAGACTCCATCTGCCAGCAACGGAACAGAAGCCGTCAATGGTACTTCACCAGGGCCGATCAGTGAAGAGTTGGAAACAGCGAAGAACCAGGCTCTAGCTGAGGCAGCGAAGAGGAAAGAACAGCTTGAGCAGATCGAGCAGGAGAACAAGAAGCTCACCGAGGAGGTTTCGGCATTGAAAGTGAAACTCACAGGCCTTTCGGACGATGATTATGCAAAGACCGATCTCTTCAAGGCCATCAAGAACCAACATGAAGACGTGATCAAGCGAATCAATAATCTGGAAGCCACCAACATCACTTTGCGGGAAGAAGCACAGAAATTCCAGGCCGAGCGAACGGCGTACAGGATCAAAGTGGATGATGAGGTTCGCGCTAGTTTGGCAGACAGTGCAAGCCACGTTTCGCAAGCGGAAGCGAACTGTGCTCGCATTCGAAACGCCCGGGACGAACTCGTTACCAAGAATAACGTCTTGGAGGCCAGCCACAAAGATTCCAAGGAGTCCATTGAACAGTCGAAACAGCTCGCGAGCGCATGCGACAGCCGTATCGCTGCACTGGAATCCGAATGCGAGCGACTGCGACTGCAAATCGCGGAACAGCAGAGCTCAGAAGGCCAAGAAACCTCTGGGCTGGACGACTTGACACCAGAGCAGTTGCGCAATAAGATCTCCAAGCTCGAGAGCCAATGCAAGATTCTGGGCAACGAACTCCCGTCTATGGAGTCGGCATGGAAGAAGGCGCAGGCGATTGCAAGCAAGAAGATCACCGACATCGCTGCTTGGGAAGAAAACATTGCCAAGGCACATGCCGACAAAGCCAAGGCGGACCAGAAGTTCTTCGCAGCCATGAAGACCAAAGGAGAATTAGAGCAGCAAACTCGCATTCTCCGCGCCCAAGCCACCAAAGCCACCGAAGTAGTGGCGCAGCTGAAAGAGGCGGATTCCCTAAGCCGGTCACTCGTGGATAAACTGGAGAAGCAGTGTGCGGAAATGCGATCACAAATGGACGACCTTTCAACCCAGCACCGCCAGCTGCAACAAAAGGTCAGCGAGAACGCCATCACTTCCGAAGGCCACGTCAGCCAGATTGCGGAGCTCAAGAAGGTTGTCGAAGCCAAGGATGCGACATGTCTTGCGGCAAAGCACGCTCAACGCGAATCGGAAACTGAGCGAGACAAGTTGGCTGCTCAAGTTACCGGATTGGAGAAGCAAGTGCAGATTTACAAGAAGAAGAGCACTGCCAACCAGAGCTCTGAAGTGTCGACGATGGAGCTTTTGATTCAGTGCCAGATCTGCAAGAGCAAACTCAAGAACACGGTCATCAAGACGTGCGGGCATATGTTCTGCGACCAATGCGTACAAGATCGACTCACCAACCGCGCGAGAAAGTGCCCGAATTGCGGCAAGGCCTTTGGCAGCAACGACACGATGCGGGTGCATCTATGAGAACTTTTCAAGCTGGATACCCTTTTCATATTCTCTGCATTTTGCCACATGTACATCACCTGCATTTCCTTCAATACCTTTTTTACAAGTTTACAATATCCTTGAAGGCGAATCTTGAGGCCAAGCACGAAGCAGTGCCTGGGATACGTTGGTGTTTTGCGGATGGCTTTTAGCCAATTTCATGGCGTTGGTGTTCGGCAGCGCAAGGGCGCAAGACAATGTACGATCATAGTTGCGGTACATGTTCAGACGACATGTGTTAGCGTGTTTTACTAGATTGACGGAGTTTGTCTCTCGGTTGGCTGGCGATGTTTTCATGGATGGAGTTAGATAAATCCCGTGGGCTCTGCGGAGCTCGGTCACCGGAGTGACCCAAGGAGAAAATGCAAATCCAGATACTATCCATGTACTATTTGTGCCATATGGTGACCGATATAGTCTTTGACTCACACATGAAGATGGGCGGCCACCTTCGGCCGGTACACTAGCCAAAGCGTTGAGTACCAGCCAACCATGTACGAGCCGTTCGTTTCAAAGGGGAAGTAAGACCAGGTGTAGGGTCTGTGAGAGTAGGGATGTAGGGCTGGGGTCGCAGGGCTATGACGTTCGGAACGCGTTCCTCGCCGTTGCCCCACGCGACAGGCTACTGTAAACACCCTTGACGATGACTATTATAATCACTACCACGACGTATATCAAGCCCTCTTCAGACCTCACTTTTCAACACAAACTACAACATCTCCAACCTGCCAAACGCTCCTACAGACAATCAAATCTGAAGCTTTTGAGCCAATATACGCGCTTTTACAACTGCAACTACTTTACAATAATGGCCTCCAACATCCTCACCCCTCGCGACACCAACGCGCAAGTCAAGCCTGTGTCTTCACCAGGGAAAGGATTGGAAAACAAGGACACCAAGAGCCTTGACTATCATCGTCAAGTTCTGCAGTCGCGTCTTGGCAGCGAACCGTGAGTTATCCTGCACATACATTCCGCCACACTTAGCATTGCTGACGATGTATTAGAGAGCAGAAGTTTGTTTCGCCGTCGGATGAAATCATGAGCCCCGCTACACAGAAGTTGAAGGCTTTCAAGACCAAGCACGCCATGAAGAAGTAAGTCGCTTTGCAACTGCATATATACGAACAAGGAACGTGAGTTAACGTACTTGTAGGTCGAAGCCACAGACGCTATTTAAGAAGACAAGCTCGAAGAACTTCGAGTCGAGCAAGGGCAGCAGTACACTGATGTTCGCCGATATTCCCAAGAGCAATGCAAAGGAAGAGAGCGCTTAATCAGGATGTTACAGTCGCGCTCACCCAGCGGGTGAAGCATTGGTTTTCTTCTTTGGCGCAACGGCTTCATGTATACCCCTTCTGTGGCTTTGATGCCGGCTGCTTTGAAGTGCCTTTGGATCAGCTGGTCTTTCTGGAGTTCTGGATACGGGTAAATGATTACGACCATCATGACTACATATTTTGATGAGATGAGATGAAATACAACGACGTCAAGATACGTGACTATATTCAGACTAGACTTGATTATGCATGTGTAAAGACTATGCATGCGCCCGGATGGATACTCGTCTATGTTCGGAAATGTCGCCGAGCCGCAGGTTGTACCCTACTCTAGCCGCATCTTCGTTCCGACTCACACGATGACACGACCGTCTTCAGATCAACAAGCTTTACAAGACGAGATAGAAGATCTCGAAAGACGTTTATACGATGCGAAAGCCCGACTGAATCAAGACAATGTCACTGCGGCACCCTCGTCGCCAGCGAATGACGCAGGTCCGTTATCGCGACATGCCTGCCACCACAGCTGTTAACATGCGCAGCACTGCACGCCCTCCTGCTGCTCGCAGACTCTGCCCTACCACTCGGTTCATTTGCCTTCAGCAGTGGATTGGAATCGTACCTCGCGCATCACAAGCCGTCGGCGCCGTCGGCATCACAGTTACCCGCGTTCCACACCTTCCTCCGCTTATCGCTATCAACCCTCGCAAGCACATCGCTCCCGTACGTCCTAGCAGGCTATCGCAACCCAGAAGACATCGAGACTTTGGACAATGACATGGACGCGAGCACACCATGTACTGTTGCGCGACGGGCGAGCATAGCACAAGGACGGGCGTTACTTGCTGTTTGGGATCGAAGCTTTCGGACGCAATACAACACGCCCAAGGACCATGCATCTCGAGATGCTATGAACGGATCCATGAGTAGTGAAGTTGCTATCAAAGCGCTAACGTCATTTTCCGCTGCCCTACGTGCTTCGGAACACATCAACGTGCATCTCGCGCCGCTTTGGGGACTTGTTACGAGCATTCTGGCTGTTCCGCTGCAACAAGCCGCATACTTGTTCCTCTTCTCGCACGCGCGGACTGTAGTGAGTGCGGCTGTGAGAGCGAGTGTTATGGGGCCGTACCAAGCGCAAGCGGTACTGGCAAGCGCGGAGTTACAGGATAGAATACGAGGGCTGGTCGATGAGGGGTGGGACAAAACAGTAGAAGATGCGGGGCAGAGTGTGCCGGTCATGGATCTTTGGGTTGGAAGACACGAGAAGCTATATTCGAGGATTTTCAATTCATGAAGACCTATCTAACAAGCAATTCGGAAGGCTCAGCGATGCATATGTATATGCGCGTACGGATACGGGTACTACCACAAGCTTCCGTAAGATGTAGGTCTCCTAACTCTTGGGATGAATCGATGCACCAAGCTTTGCATCCGTAAGTTGGATTAAATCTATGAGGTTGATGGTGTTGAGCAAAACGTTCATTTCAGCCACTCGTTGTCCCATTATCACCTCGTGCGCCCTTGATTCGCGCATGGAGAGCTCAGCTTACAGCACGTGACTGCCACGCCCCATCGGCACGGTAAGGCAACGACGATAAGAAAGATGTCTTGACATGTTTGCTCTTCTGCAATGAGTCGCTTTCCCAACTGATGATACCCTTGGAGGGACTTCCATTTCACTTTCCACTGGAACCTTCTAAATATTCCTAGTGCTAGCGGCACCATGTTCCTTACGTCTCTCAACAAGTGGCTTTCAGCTACCACTTTTCTTAGCCCTTTCAATCATGCACCACAATCCCTGCTTCTTGATTCCACCGCCAAGTTCTCATGGATCCGACGCTTCGCCTCGGTAGGCGATTCTTACTCCGCCGGTCTCGGTTCAGGAGACCGTCTTGACTGGCTCTGTTCGCGATATGCACAGTCCTACCCGAACATCCTCCACACCTCTCTTCTCGGTGATAACCCCAATCGAACACATCAGTTCCTTGCCTGTTCCGGCGCCACAAGTACCGAGGTCCTCGAGAAGCAGATCCCTGTTTTGCAGGACAACCTAGACTTGCTCACCATGTCCGCCGGCGGGAACGATATCGGGCTAACACCCATACTAAGTAATTGTGTTTACCAGTTCTACATGTCAGCCGAGGACTCCTGTCGACGAGCGATCGATGAAGCACGGGCGAGGATCGCGAATGAAACAGAACTTTATCATAACGCTACACTGCTCATTGAAGCTGCGAAACCGAAGATGAACCAAGAGTATGGCGTCATCTACTACACTGGCTACGCAGGGTTCTTCGGCACCGACGACGAAATATGCGATAACGTTACCTGGGCAGTATGGAAAGACGTGGAGTGGACGAAACAGTATCTCAAGCGCGAACTCAGAAGGGAGTTGAACGACATGGTCCACTCTGTCAATACCATCCTGCACAAAGCCGTGAGCGACGCTGGTCCAAACGTCCGTTTCATCGACTACGACGTACACATCTCTGCAGCACACGGCCGATACTGCGAAAAAGATGTCCAAGAACCCGATCCCAATCGTCTCGGCCTTGTATTTTACGAGTGGAACACTGTCGATATAGGCGAGAACCAGACTGCGCTGCAGAATCACACTGGCGATGATGTACCGAAACACTCGTTCCAAGGTGGCATTGCGAGGGATATCAATAAGGCACTTGAGGGACATCCGGATTGGACGTTTGATCCTGATAAGGGGTTTGTGAATAAGACGGGAATAGGAGGAGTTAAGGGAGAAGGGTGGTTGGGCGATTCGATTCATTGGTTGCTGCCGGACAGTTATAAGAGAGTTTTCCATCTGAGGCCAAAGGGGCATCTCATAGTAGCGAATTTGGTAGTTGAAGATTTGGAGAGAGAGGGGCCTGGGAAAGCAAAGGTAGATGGAGAGGCCGAAGAACTCTAACCCTATTCTTCTGGGACTTGAACACCAACAGGCCATTGGCACACCTCTTCCTCTTCTAACGATCCATCCCACTCCCAATCTACAGTCTCCTCTAAAGACCTCTTTCCAAACTTGATGATCCTATCCCTAGCATTCATCAAGCACTCTCCCAGCAGATTCTCTCCCCAGAACTCTCGATAGAGGTCAGCTTCGTCAGCTTTATACCCAATCCCCCAAATCCTGTCCCTTCGACCCGCTTCCGCTAATTCTCTGCCTTGTGTTCCTAACAACAAGCTCCTCATATGTCTGTTCCCACCTCCCTTTCCATTTCCACATCCATCCGTGTACTTGTACCAATTCCCGACTCTAGCAACCCGATTCTTAACTTGTCCCCACTGGTGAAAATTGAAGTTCTTGACTTTCTGACCGTGTTTCTTCTGCGTTTTTGGATCTGGAGTAGAGAGAATGAGGCGGGCAGTATTGGCATCGGAGAAATAGAGGGCTTTGCAAAACATGTAGGATTGTTCGGCGCAGGTGAAGGATATGGATGGGTTGGATGAGGTGGTGATGGTGGCGTAGGTAGACAAAATAGTTGATGGTGTGGGTGGGGGCGGAGAGGGTTCTATGTTGGGAGGTTTTGATGAAGGAGACGATTGTGTTGGAGGCGGTGGTGGTGAAGGTGCCATGTCGACGAGCCATTGTAGTGATGCGACAGGTACACTGAATGGACTTATATGCCATTGGCAAAATACACCATATGGCTTTTCTTTGGGCATGTAGAAAAATACTGTTCCCTGCTCTTGTTCTCCCTCTGCATCTACCGTCTTCTTTGGAGGTCGGCCTGCGAGATGGGGTTTGCGCTTTCCCATCGTGATAGGCAAGGATGTCTTCGTGTTGTTCTTTGTATTTTGAGCAGAGAGAACAAGGGAGTGTGTGTTGTTTGAGAAAGATGTGCTAGAGGATCTGGCGATGAGTTGTAAGCTAGTAGTACCATGGTTTAGGAAGGGCGTAAGGGCGACCTACCATATTTTGATCTATCTGAAAATACTTGGTGGAGACGTTGTAATCAAGGACCATGTAGCAACCTTGTTTTGATAGCGCAGAGGATACTATGGTCATTACCTTGTCAAATACTTTATCGTCCAGTTCAGTCCATTTTGCGACAAGTGAGACAGCTACTTTCAGCCTCATCTCAGAATTTAATTTCAAGCAAACTTCCAATTTTATTTATCTGAAAATCCATTCTATCCAAATGCAGAGTAATATGAATGAACCACCCCACGACCTAGAATCCAATTCTCAACCTCTCTTCCTAAAATCCTCGCCAATCTTCCTAAATAACTTTGCGAAACTCCCTCTTGTCTCCCAGATTGGCAACAAACAACTAATCGCACTACTAGCAAACACCCAAATAAAGCTGACCACCACCCATCCGGTGAAGAAGCCCTTGGAGAAGATGTAATGTGAGAAGAACATGGGCATGGGAAGCAGGAAGTCAAGAATGAAGGTTAACACGAACGCGGAAATGCAGGCGAGTTTGAAGGCGCGGCGTAGTGTCGAAGGGTCGTCTTCTTCTTCTGTCGTAGGCGCGAGATGAGGCGGCAGCTCCGCTACGGCTGCCTCGGGTTGCGTCGTGGCGTCTGTCGCGATCTTCTTCTCGCCAGAGTCGGAGAGTTCGGGTGTAGAAGCATCTCTAGGTGTTGAAGCGATGTCTTGGTTCACGCCATCAGTCACCACGGCGTTAATAGCACGAGTGATCTCCCAATCGAAATTGTCTGGCTTGATCAAGGTGATTGTGGTCGTTACGATAAGTCCGGTCATGATGGCTGCCAAGTTACCGGCTAAGGTGGGATAGGACATGCCCGTAGTCTCCACAGTGATTTCACCGTAGTAGCTCTTCGCTGTTGCTAGCCATGCAGTGAGACCTGCGGCAAGGCCGGAGAGACAGCCAGATATAGCGCCAACTTTGGTTTGCTTTCGCCATGTTATGGCGAAGGCGGTTGGGAAGACGGCACCGCCGATCAGGAGGCCCATGACACTTCAACATGTTAGTAACGAGTAACGAAACGATATCGGAATGGGAGAAGACTTGCAGGAATAACCACCCAAGGTCGATTGAAGCCGCATTCCAGATGCAAGCAAATACAGACATGATCAATCCGAATGCGCAAATCATGAGGTGCGAAACGAAGACCAGCTGCTTCGGCGAGGCTTTGGGCGAGATGTAGGCCTTGTAAACGTCGAAAGTTAGGAGCGAGGAGACGGCGATGAGTTCTGCAGATGCGCATGATGTGACTGCCATAAAGAGAACCACCAGCAATGCAACGGCACCTCCTTGCCCCATCAACGTCTCCGCAGCAAAGGCAGCGGCCAGGCCTGATGAGATCTGCCCCGAGGTAGGTACCTCAGGATATGTAGGGAATCGTGGGTTGTCCGTGAGCGCCACAGCCGCGAGACCAAGCGTCGTTGAAAAGCCAAAGGGAATGGCGAACCAGGCGATTCCTCCTAGCAGATAAGCGCGTACGGCAGTCGATGGCTTCGAAGCGATTGCACGCTGCCAGTAGGCTTGATCAAGGAACACAGTTCCGGACCCAGAGCAAAGTTGGATGACACCGAAGATCAAACCAAAGTTTGACTTCAAGGTAACGTATGAACCGTTATGGTTTCCTTCGATCGGGCGCTGGGTTCCAGCTTTCTTGAGCAACTCGTACATTTCGCTGGGTGAGCCGATCAGAGGACTGACAGCGTACGCGTTGAACATGAAGTAGAGGATGATGATCATGAGGATCAAGGTATGGCTGTAGTCGCAGATAAAAGTCGCTCGTAGACCACCAAGAATAACATATGCACAGACACCTATCCCTGTTAGCACCCCTTCAACATAAACTTCTCAAACTGTACTTACCCACCGGAATCAAAAATACAGCAGCATAAACTGGCATACCCGTCAAGCTCGTAACAACCGCACTACCACCCAGCAAAAGCTGACTGCCTACCAAAATATTCGTCACAAAGGCAAACACCATAAACACCAGGTGCGCCACAGTTCCATATCTTGCTTTCACAATCTCAAGGTACGTATGACATCTCGGCGCGTTTTGTTTGACCTTGCATGCCAGGATCGAGAACATGAGAATCTGAACTGTAGCTCCAGCTGCGTACCAAAACGGCCCTGCGACACCGTATTGGTAGGCTACCGTGGAGGACTGGAGCAAAGTGGCAGCCCAGGTCCATGCCGAGACGATACCAGATGCGATGAGACCGGGTTTGACGGAGCGAGAGGCAGTGTTGAACTCTTCGGATGATTGGGTTGAGTAGCGGGTATATCTGTTTTGGAGCCAGGAGATTCCCATCATGAGGAAGGCGAAGAAGAAGCCGATTCCCACGACGACGCCTACATGTGTTAATTGTGAGTATTAAATAGGATTAGGATAGACATACCATAGCCGGCTCCTACTGGGAGAGGTACCTTTGTCGTGTCTGCCATATTCAAAGCTACAACGAATTGATGTGAAAGATGGAGATCCTCCAGTCTTCCGTTCCCAGGAGATGGATTATATTAACATATGCTTTAAAGCCGTTCTGACTCCAAATACTGGGCAGGGTTCTCATTGATACTGCCGCGATGGTCAAGGAGTAGTTCGCCGCCTACGGCGTTTCCGCGGCGATTGCACGACATGATACTGAGCACCCATTGGCGTGATAGGCAAGACGTGTTGCAGGATAGTAAGTGCAGCGACGATCCAACGGTACGACATGGGCACCTCGTGCGATAAGCCAGGGCTAAGTAACCTCCGCATGTAATGACCCATGACGAATAGTATGTACACTCCATTAGCCCAGCTGCGACGTCCTCAGGCTGTGTAGAACGCTTTCAAAGCGACGATGTCTCCGATAACCCTTGGTCAAGTTGAGATAAGAAACATACTAGTGGTAGACCAGCCGCTGACAGATGCTTGTTGCTAAGGCCGTGATGTCATGTTTAGGGCAAGGAAGTAGCTGCTGAAAGCGGCAGAGGATGTACGTAGAACGGTTGATAAACCCCTTGCTCGGTTAGCAATCTACCCCGCGAACGACGAATCACCGGGGTGAGGAGTTGGAGAGACCTAACAACTCCAATTGGAGTCACGATAAGGTAGATTTGGAGATTGTGAAACTCCTTGCTGTTCCTCGTGAAGATGGGCGATAGGTTGTGTTTGGTATACATCCCATTACTTCGCCGGGGGTAATTTCCTCGGAACCCCAGCACCAGCCGTAGCCACGGCCAAAAGCCATGTCGTAGGCCATAGCCAGCCTGTAACCGGATATTCCGTACTCTCGTTTAGATGTATACTAAACAAACTACCAACCACGTTATGAAACCATGCTATAGCGTCAGCCATCCAGAAGCTTCTCACAGCTTGGCTCTCTACTGTATCTCGTCTGGTGAACCATATCACTCTTAAGATGAAAGTTGTAATTTCGGCAGTAAGTAGAACCAGCCCGTGTACAGTGCTCCACTTTCTGCCGTCGCGGATTGCCCACAATGGTATTTGAATGGTGATAAGCGTACCCAAACCCGCAGCTACAATGCCCAGCCACGTAACCCAGACCTGAGGCGCAGCGAACGGACCAAAACCAAGCGTAGACCGAAGAGGATATTTAGCAATAAGAACAGCCAGACTGATAAGTCCAGAAGCGACTTGATAGCACCAATCCTGCTCTACGCCACCTCTAAAACTCTTCCATGCCGACGTTGACTTTAGACATACACATCCTCTCGGCTGCGGAGAGTTAGACCGAGAGCGAGCTTCGAAGTGAGCGAGACGTTGAACAGGATAGCCCCATGCAGCTGAACTAGGCCCACTAACAGGTTTAGGATCTGCAACCGCAGACGCAGTGACGGCTACCCAAGTGCCACACGTCGAACCGAGCGAGACTAGACAGGCGATGAGACATCCGGAGACCAGTGAAGCCATGTAATCTCCGAAGCGGTGGCCCCATACACGTACGTCGCATGCTCTCTCGTAGAAGACACATTCCTTGAGTGTTTTGGCCATCGCAGCAGAAATCTCATCTTCAGTAGCCGCGTTGTTGAGTTCCTCCAGGAATTCAATGTACAAACATCCGGACCATGGAGTATCCTCGAGCTTATAATGAGCCGCAGCTAACAATTCGCCGTACGAAAAGCCAGCGCAATGACCAAAGACTTTGATAAATTGATCGCAGCTGATCCATGCTGGCCTCCCACCCCCTTCCCAAGTATCGGCGGAAACATATAACTTCTTCAACTCAGGCGTTCGTTTTCCAGTGATCTTGGAGATATCCGGCATCTCGACGGCGTTGGTTTTTTCTGCGATGCATAGCCTCAACTTTTCATATATCTTTCGCATTTCCTTCTCATCGTTCTTGCAGCTCTCACAACGCTCCAATAGCTCCTTAGCCTCATCATCCTCAAGCCCATTGACGATTTGATAGAAAGCTGCCGCTGCTACCAGCCACATGCCTTTATCCCTGAAACCAGATCGGACTTGCATAGCCTTTCGACTCTCCTCGGACAGATCTCCGAGCGCCGCCACGTACTTCTCAAGCAGACGCGTTCGGTTGAGGATCGGAACAGTCTTCTCAGTCCGGCGGACTTTATCCCCAACAACCCTGACCTGCCAAGCAGTCCTTTGACTTGTGCCCTTCTTCCTCGTGAAAGTGATCCCCTTGATCTTTGCATCTCTCTTCTTCCTCGGTCCGTATGCAAGATCTCTCGCAAGATTTTCCGCTCCGAATCCCGCTGTCCGTCTCCGGTGTGGAAGATTGTCCTTGTCGGAAGCAATAGCATAGTAGCATACTACAGCGATGCTGGCTAGACCACTGGGATATTGTGTGAGATCTGAGACGGGTGCTTGGGCTGAAACCAGGGGGATGAGGATGAACAAGAGGAATGCGCGTGTGTGGGTGGTTATCAGTTTGTAAACGAGGCTGATGCAAGTGTGTATGTGTTGGCTCTTAATTGCGAGAGGCCACCACGGCGTCTTCTTCGCATCATTAGGAGAGGGCATGTTCAGCTATCAGCCTAAATTCTGAGAAAATCGACAGACTCTGCAATTCAAACGGTAATGTTGTGGGTTTCATACCAGGCTGAAGATGCGAAGGCTGCCAAGACCACATGGCGTTCATTTGGGGGCTGACCTAACTGCAAAGCAACAATGATTAGAAAGTACGGGTGCACTAGCTATGATCGGTGTGCTCGGCCGATGTTTTTTTATCTTCACTGTAGTCGCCGTACGATAGGGTGGCCATGCGGATAACTACGTATGAACCTGAGATATCGTTTTTTGAATCCAGTTGTTCCTGGCGGTATAGTGGCTGTTCGGTATATACCGACTGGCCAGGATCCCACAACGCCGCATAATGCCGCTGAAATACAGATGGTATACCGCCCCGCCCATTCTCTCATGTCTTCGCCCCCGCAGTCCGGATCTGGAATGTAGCACCGGGCAATGCAGCACTCTCCGCCGTGACCGTCGCTTGTATGCCCAAGCTTGCAAGACAGCCTCTTATCAGGCCAGCTGGGAAGTACAGGAATGGCTGGACCCTGGCCTGACTGTTCGCATCCCGTCCCAGCGCTACGTCGCCTGTTTGTGCTACTAGTGCTGCTTGCATAGCGGCATCGTATTTCTTGGTATCGAATGACATGCGGCCGAGGGGTTTGAATGTATTGTCCGTGAGGACGTAGATGCCACGGTGGTTGGTCTTGAGATTATCAATCTGCTTTCTGAAGAGGAGCGTCCAGAGGTCTTTGCATAGGAATTTTATGCAGTCGAGAGGTGTTGTCGGTCGAGGTGCATCTCGGGAGAATCTGTGCCGAATGTTAGCAATGATCTCGAGCGCCCGAGTAAGACTTGAGGGGCAGACGTACCGTTCAACAACACCCAATCCCACCCTATACCCCAAGTTCTCTAGTCGATGAAATACAGCTTCTCTTGCTTCTTCTTCATCGACCGTTGCAGTGCCTCCTCCACCCACCGGCCCACCATCCGTCCCTCTTGCTGTGCCTGCTGCTGTGCTTGACGCGTCATTGCTAGTGCCTGATAATCGCTTTGGCTTTGTGGCCGACGACCCATGTATCCACTCCTCTTCTCGTGCGGCGAGATCGGCTGTTATGCGGTATGCCATGGGTACGAGCTCTATGAGTAGGAGATCAAGACATGATGTATTCACTAGTGAGAACGTGGGGTCGACGTAGGATGTGGAGGGTTCGTTGGGCGCGGAAGGATTGGTTTGCGCCATTTTGTAGAGCGGTTTGTGTGTTTATGCCCTCAGACGAGTTACGGGGTAGCTTGGTCCACGGATGGTGGTAGGAGTCGGTTTGTGCGCGATGAAGATGCGCGCGCTTCGATGTAGTGCGGGTTGCAGCGGCGGGCTGGATATATACGGTATTTCAACTTTCGCCGATGTTTAGCGTTAGTTGTCAGGCCAAGGGTGTGTAGTTGCAGCTTGAGGCGGAGTGTAGAGTCTATTGGGGTGTGTTGGTGTTGGTGTTGGAGTCTAGACGTGCGTTGCTTAGAGCCGCGGTCGATCCCGTTACAAGGGTGCACGATGTCATGGGCTCGACAAGCCATGACTTCCCGTCAACATCACCACATGTCATGGTTAGTAGTCAGGAAAGCGATGCCCACATAATGATGCACATCACTTTGATAGTTCATGGTATGGTATCGTCAAATCATTCATATTTTTGCTCAGATCGGCGTAGATTCATGCACGTTCCGAGACATGTTCTCATAGTGTCATCTCTCATTCGCTTCATGGCGGCTTACAGTCTATCTGCGGACGGCGCACATGAGCTTGCGGTCAAGCGCTACCGACATCTGAGTACACTCACTTGGCAGGAGGGTTCGCGACGAACTCGACGCCCTTGCTGATGTTGCCCTTCAGGCCATCGTAGCAGGCCTGGAGGAGCTTCTTCTCTTGGTCGTTGGCGCTGCTAACGACGTCGATGGCCTTCTCGGCACCGCCGGGCTATGAAGAGAATCAGCTTTGTTACGGACGCAAGCAGGGGGTGAAGATTTTGGCGTCTACTTACACCAAGCTCAATAGGTACGGAGAAGAAGTCAAGACCGGTGGCCTTGGCAATGGCATCTCCGCCCTGGACACCAGGGAGGTAGACATAGCTGGGCTCGACGATGCCCTTCTCGCCCTTGGAGGCCTTGATGACCTTCTCGGCGAAACTGTCCGTGGTTAGCTGGAGCACGTAAGGGTTGGCGGATGGAGCCTACCGGTATCCGGCGTAAGCCATGGAAAGAGTGGCTGAACCAGCGCCCTCCTTTGCCTTGACGACCTCGTCACCACCGAACTGAACACGGTTGACAAGAGCATCCAACTTGTCAGCTGGGATGTTGACACTTGGCTTTGACTGGCTGAAAAGAGGAACGATGGTCTCTCCCGAGTGACCACCAATGACGGGGATGTTCAGGTTTCCGGGGTTCTTCTCGCCGGTGATCTCAGCAACGAAGGTCTCGGCACGGACGACATCCAGGGTGGTGACACCGAACAGCCTCTTGGGGTCGAAGACGCCTGCCTTCTTGAGGACCTCGGCGGCAATGGGGACGGTCGAGTTGACGGGGTTGGAGATGACAAGGACAAACGCCTTGGGGCAGTACTTGGCAACACCCTCGATGAGACCCTGTACGATACCAGCGTTGATCTTGAAGAGATCATCACGGGTCATACCCGGCTTGCCTGAGCACCCATTAGCTTCTGGCTATCACAGTAATAGTATAGGTCCGACATACGAGGAATACCGGCAGGAATGACAACAACGTCAGCGCCGGTCAGGGCGTTTTGAAGACCATCGTCCTTGGGCAAGAAACCTGTGACAGTCTATCCACCTTCAGTATCTTCGTGTATATGCGGGGCTAGAGCTAGCTCATACTGCTGGGGTCGAGATGTGCGAGAGATCGGCAGCGACACCTGGTGTGTTTACGACATCGTAGAGGGCGAGCTCAGTTACGTGTTGGCAGGACTTGAGGAGCAGAGAGAGGGGCTGTCGAGAACAAGTCAGTACCAGCTGCAATGTGGGGATGCAAGTCCTTGCGGTACTCTCGGGCTCGTACCTGTCCAATGCCTCCTGCAGCTCCGGCTACTACGGCTTTGACCATTGTGATAGAAGTTGTTGAAAAGATGGGGTTGTTGTAAAGGTGGTCGCTGAGAAGAGGGAGTGAGAGGGGAATTGAAGAGTCGGTGAGAGAAAAGAAAGCAGGAGGTGGCTTGGAGTAAAGTAGGTAGGAGCTGCACACCACGCGCCCGTTCTGTTGGATCCAGGAAGGTGGGGTGGGTGGGAGCACGGGCCAGGCGCGGGGTACCGGCGGGAATATGTCTGGGATACGCTTCAAGCTAATGGCAGTCTAATGCTCTCCCGTGCAGTCTGGCTAATTAGCTTTCTGACACTTTTAGTTTCGTGGGTGCTTGTTGAGGTCTTGGTAGAGAAATTCAGCCTCACATCCAGAAATGGTTGAGTTGATATATTGGATCTTGGAGCGCATCTTCATACTTCCCCCGTGACAGCCAAGCACGCAACCATGAGCCTCGGTGTCTCGAGGGATCGGAACAGGTCGGATGTCCGCTAGTTGAATGCAGGTACAGACCCATAGGCTGGAGAAGATGGTTTGTTAGCCCGCGTACGGTAAGTAGTAGTTCGGCCGCTTATGAAAGTATGGGAAGCCTTGCGTCGAATAACAAATAGTCTCTGAGTTGCCGATCATCGACAACAGCAATTCACTCACCCGGCTCGTTAGATGCTAGAGTGTCTGGGTACCATCTCTTCGTGCATAGATCTTCAGGACATGATGTGATGTGGATCTTGAACCCTGGCTGACCGAGGTCATGTTCAGCCAGTCTAGTTGCCGGAGCGGATCGGGATGCTGCTAACGACGTTTCCACTTCCGCGCCGAGGCCGCGAATGCACGCTTCACTGTACTGTTGATGAATGAACATGACGATTGTAGGAGCTAGCTGTTACTCTATCAAAGGATATCTGCTTGTGAGGCTGCCGCAAAGTAGCCGATCCGCGGCCGTTCCGAAACACTACACCTAAACGCCATATCAAATTCTGTCATAGAGAAGCCTAAGAGCCCATCTGAACATAGTCTGCTCTTAGTTATTCCTCCATGGAGCGGGATATCCCGAGCAAAAATACTTGCTCGATTCTAATTATCGGCATCGACCCGCTCGCCTTGTGCGTCATCGTCAGGATCAGCCTCTCCATAGCGACCATAGCCCTGTGGATCGCCCGCATTTGGGTCAGGCCCGCGTTGGCCAACTGTGTACATCTGCGGTTGCTGACCCATGGGGTATCCAGTGTAGACATTGGGATCGAACATGGGCTGTTGCGCATAGGCTCGGGGATCGCCTTGCACCGGGCCTGGGTACATGGGAGGTTGCTGGTAATCCTCCTGCTGTGCTAGATGCTGGGGCATACCGTAGTCTGGCGGAGCCATGGAATGCTGAGCGTGTACCGGCTGGGGCATTCCACCGGGAGGTACAACTGCTGCGGACGATTGGACAGCTGCGTTCTGTCCTGCGCTCCTCTTGTGAGGATGAGCCTCTTCGCGGGGGACGATGTCTATGAGGAAATCGAACATGTCCGACTTTGACAGGGCCGATGCGATATCGGAGCGTTGAAGAGTGCGACGTTTGTTTTCCTCTGCATGGATCCAGGCGCGCATGGTAAGCTCGGTGATGAAGATGTCACAACCTTTGGCGAAAAGGATCGGAGCTTCGGCTGAGATCATCTTGACCTCGGGATCGGCCTTCATGACCTTCTTGATCCGAGCAAGTGGGAGCTGGTGGAGCTTGTAGTCATGTTCGTCCGTCTCGAGCTTCGTGACCTGTTGCTGCCAGTATGTGTTCAGGATGTCGCGGTAGTTACCGGTAAGTCCTTGGTTGACCTATAGTCGTCAGCTTGTGTGGTCGTGGCCATGACGGAACTAAGCGCGTACGTTCTGCCAGGAACCGGTGAACAGCTGCGGATCCGGAGCGTGGTTTTGCGCGGCAATCTGGACCAAACATCAGCGGCTAGAAGTAGGCAGGAGGCGCGGATGCGCAAAGACAACATACGGCTGCAGACGCGCCTGCGATGTAGAGTTAGCACAGGACCTCATTGTGAATGCGACAGCCAGAGCCGCGTCGCGTGAGATGCGGCTCAGGACAGACAGACTTACCATAGTGGCCGCCTTGCTGAGGATCGTAGAGAGGGTTGCCCTGCTGGCCATCGTATTTGCGAGGGGCGGCTTGCTGAGGCTGCTGGCGCATCTTCTGCTGGCCGTGACCCTGGAGGTTGACTTGATCCATGGCTTGGGGCTGGGTTGCGCAAGTGTTACGCGGTGGACAGGGTCTGCGTCAGTCCGAGGCGGGTCTGGATGACAATAGCTGTTCCTAGGTCGCGGGATGGTGCAGAGAGGGACGCGCGACACCCAATGGCTGCTCAAGGTCTCGTGGTGGGCGTGTTGTGAGAGGAAGGCGAGGTCGTGATTCCGTCAAAGGTGCGGTCTGAGTGGCCGGGCCCAGGTGGGCGGGGCAGGCGTAGGTACCTGTCTTTTGCGGCGCGAGGGCGTTGCTGTGTGCGGCCTGCCATGGTGAATGAGCATTACTCTGTATTATTCCATTGCACCAACTCTCATGAGGTTGGATCAAGGGCGCGACTGACCTATGCTCCGGTTCGACGAATCAAATTCCAGCACGAGAATATGTTCGCGAAGTTGATGCTTGGTTGGTGGGTTTCCAACGAGTCAACGAACCACAGCTAAGCAAGGGCCCCAACGTTACTCAGGTACGCGGAGAATTATGTAGAGATGCTGGCGAAGGGGAGCTGCAGTATAGGGCAGGTGCAAGTTTGACTCGATGTTCTGACGTAGTATCTCTCATGCTAGAGCCTCTTTCACAGAAGAAGACGCTGCGATCGCCATTCCAGCCATGCTTATATGCGTAATATGCACGTCGCACCACATTTCTTTACAAGGCCCGACAGGGTGACAGCACAGTAGCGACGCAATGTTCCTGCCGCCCCCGTCACAATTCAATCTCCATGCGGCGCAAGACTCGAGCCCATCGTAGCCCATGCCTAGACGGGCACAGGCTACTAGGGCAGCACACTTCACATCGAGGCACCACGCTAGAGAGCCGAACATCATCCCGCCCCAGCTGGAGAGGAGCATGGGGGACATGAGCGCCATTGGTCAGGACGGCGCTTTTTGATTGGCCTCGTAGACACCGGGCCATGCCAGCGATGAGTTGTTCATCATTCGATTCTTTCGAGCGCGCCAGAATATGCGAGCACGCGTCATAAGACAATATGTCAAACGCTGACGGCACAGGAGTGAAGCTGACTTGAACGCTTCATCAAGGGGGCTTGACGTGGCGGATGCGAACGATCGGAGCAAGTTTGAGCGCTGTAGAAGATGCCGAGAAAGCAGGGTAGCACTAGCATAGCAGCACAAGTGGAGATGTTCCAACCCCAACTGCACTGAAATGCGCATGACGATGCGAGACTGCGCGAACGGGACTTCGGTCGGAGCGCAACGCAGTCGAAACGGTTAGCGCTGCCGAAGTGGCCAGTGCGTCCGAGCTTCTCAAAAAGTTCGACTTTGAATTTTCCCACTGCTTTTCCCTGTCAACGCCAACATGGAGTTGCCAACGCACCAGCCGCTCCTCGCTGAGGACACCGATGAGGATCTCTCGGATGAGCAAATACGGGAGCTGCTTAATGAAGCTGCTGTCCGCATGCGCGCAAAGGCAGCCACTGCGCCGCCCGCGAGCAAGTCGGATGCTCCGTTCAGGCTGCCCAAGCTGCTGCCCGGCCATATTGCCGATACTTACGAGAAGACTGACGGCAACATCACGCGCCTAGATCACTCCAAGCTCGTCGACAAGAAGCAACAGGCTTTGGCTAACGGCATCAAAAAGATTGAGGATCCGCTCCAGATCAAGAAGCAGAAGCAAGAGGTACGTTCAAGCCACAATCCATGCATTCACATGCCGGTGATGATATCCATCCCAAATCTTTTAGCTGAGCAGACTCGGGCGCCGTCTTGGTTGCCTTCCTGCCCCACTGAGGCTCCATTATATCATAGTTACACTGAGGCATTACTTTGTTCAACTGTTACTTTGCAAGTTGTCAGTCGCAATGCTAACAGCTTTCTACAGGAGAAGAAGGCCACGGCTGGTTCACAATGGTTCAATTTGCCCAAGACCGATCTTACCCCAGAACTGCGCCGAGACCTGCAGCTGCTCAAGATGAGGAACGTACTTGATCCGAAGCGTCACTACAAGAAGGACAACAAAAAGAACGACGTTCCCGCATTCTCACAAGTCGGTACTATCATCGAAGGCGCCACCGAGTTCTACAGCAGCCGTCTGAAGAACAAGGAGCGCAAGCAGACCATGTTGGAGGAGGTCATCGCCCAGGAACAGGACACTGGCCGTTTCAAGCGGAAGTACGAGGATATACAGACATCCAAGGCGAGTGGCAAGAAGGCTCACTACAAGGCCATGATGGCAAAGCGAAACAAAGGCAAGGTCGTCAAGCCTTGAGATTTGCCTAGTTCACAGTCTGGCTCAACATATGCCGGATTGGTTCGTGTTCTGGCCAACTGGATGGATGGTATATTCTATTCTGGATATCGAGTTCACTCTCCTGGTGCTATGCCTGTCCGCATTGCTCACAGGGAAAGGCGCTGTCGCCTGCTGCTATAGCCACCTGCGACTGCCATCCCTTGCTATTGGCCGTGGAGATCGGACAATATCTGCTTGACCAAAGCCTGCATGTCCTTTGCTGCCTCCCGCCCGGCCTCTAGCACCTCCTCGTGGTTTGCCTTGCCTTGACTTAGATGTTCAGTCAGTTCTGCCCTGTTCATGGACTGAATCGCTGCGTCGTTTCCACGGGCGCCCGCCTCGAGAACGGCGACGTTTGTGACTAGACTGAATGCAAGAATACGCATCCCAGCGTGTCTGGCGACAATGATCTCCGGCACAGTCGACATACCCACAACGTCAGCCCCGAGCGTACTGAGCATTCGGCATTCTGCCCGAGTCTCGTAACTTGATGACAGTCAGCATTTGTCTGATACCCATAGCGAAGTAGAGGGGAGGAAAAGGGCATGAATGACATACGTTGGTCCTGCCACAAACGCGTATACACCCTCATGTAGCTTTCGTTGCTGCTTATCCAGTCCTAGTTCTGCCCAGGCCTTGTGCGTCCGCACCCTCAGGTCGAGGTCGTAAGCATCTGACAGAGGTGGGAAACGAACGCCAAATTCCTCGATGTTGGGACCACGCAGAGGATGAATGCCGACAAGTCCAGCCATGTTGAGATGCTAAGCAGAGTCAGACTAGGCTCAACGTCTTCAAAGGGGTTTACGTACGTCGTTTAAGCATACAATGTCTCCTACGCGGTAAGTCTGGTTGAGACCACCGGCTGCGTTTGTGACTTTACCTTTCGTTAGCTCGTCGACTCCATCCATTGCCTAGTTTCTCAACATACCAATCATGGTTTCGACACCAAGCAGTTTGCACACACGAGTGGCGAATGTGACTAGGTCCATGGAATGTCCTTCATAGAAACTGAAGATATCAATACCAAGATCTTTCGAAACAAAGTCTCCCCCCTCATGTTATGGTGACTCACTGTGCTCGTCCAACAAGAAGCGCGACAGGCGTCTTCTGAGGCCCGATCTGACCAAACACAAACTTTCCAGCATGTCCTACAACTGAACAAAGATGTCAGTACCCCGCATCTTGTGCAATCCGAATAATCACTTCTTCAGCGAGAGCACATTCCCATGTCTGGCACTCACCAGTACTCTTTGGAAAGTTGGGAATCGTTCCATATGCCAGTTCGACTTTCGGTTCGGATTCAATTGTCTCGGCTAGTCCGCCCAATCCAGAGCCACACACAATGGCTACTTTGGGGTATTGGAGAGCTTCTGGCAGTTGCGAACGCACGTACTTGGCCGTTTCCGTAGCGCGGGCATAGGCGTTAGGTGCAGCAGCCATGTCTGAAACAGTCTCCATCTTGTATTGTTAGGATGTTTATGAGAAGAAAGAAAAAAGTCAAAGTAAAGAGCGTAAAAGTGAAGTCTTGTATCTAAAGAAATAGTCTGCCTGGTACATGTGACATTTTCGTAGGTTACGACTAGGGTACAGAGGGAAGGCGGCGGCCAATTCCGATGTTGCCAAGACAGTAAGCGGAATCGTGACTAGCGCCATCGGCCCTGTGGAAGAAGTTCGATGTTGGACGTGGTGAGTGCGACGATATCAAGAATGGCCGCGCCACGATGTATGCGCTCCTTTTTAGGGCCGGCGAAGAGGGCGAAGGTATTTATACTTCAATCGTACTGCTTGTAGAGAGAGCAATTGGTTGCTAATGCGCTGCATAGATTGCCCACACCCCCCGACCATGCACACAGACTTTCTCGCGGGCGAAGAGTGGGAGAGCAGAAGAAGACAATGAGAGGGATTCACGAGAAGACAGAGATGTCAAGCTTATGGATCAGTTGAAGATGGACCTGGACAACAGTGCTATGCCACTTGACCAGCGGTTAGAGGATGCTGGGATAGATGCGCAGGAATTCAAGACGTATGCTATGACTGGAGTACAAGAACAGAAACATAAGAGGTTGCTAACAGTTCGGCAGCCTGTACGCAAGTCAACAAAAAGTCAGCCAGCGCCAACAAGAATGGGAGCCCAAGACACGCGAAGACGCACAGCGGCAGTGGAAGGAACTACAAAACACACCTGACCACTTGGGTTTACTCAAAGTGTACAAACGTGCTGGCGTAGAACCTATCAAGCTGGCAAAGTCAGTCTCCCTTCTCCCTCTTAAATTCTAACCCACAGTTCTCTAACAAAACCCCCCAGGGAAAACAACATCACCCTCCCCACCGACGAACCACCCCTCGACCCCAAAACCGCAGAAGCCCTCGAAGCCCTCCGAACACCCATAAACGTCCGTGCCGTACACCTCCGCCCCCTACGCCGCACCCCCGAATACGGTGTACCGACCTGCGACCTCCAACTGCGCACCTACAACGTCCGCAACCTTCTCCTCTTCGCCGATTTCGCCGTCCGCGCAGCATACTACATGGGCCTCTGCGCGCGGGGTCCCGTTCCTCTCCCAAGGATAACAGAGCGCTGGACCGTACCCCGCTCCAACTTCATTTTCAAGAAGTCGCAAGAGAACTTTGAGCGCATCACCATGCGCCGACTGATTCAGATTCAAGACGGTCATCCGGATGTGGTCAAGGCGTGGTTGGCGTTTTTGCAGAAACATCAGTACCATGGTGTGGGTATGAAGGCGAATATTTGGGAGTATGAGAGTTTGGAGGATGCAACGAGGGCTGGGTATGAGCTCAAGGAGGGTGATTACAGTAGGAGGAGGGAGGGCAAGGTTATGGATAAGGTGGCGGAGATTCTACAGAGGGACGGGTTCAAGGAGGCGATGAAGGGTCACAAGGACAAGGTCGAGATGAGGCCGTAGAAGAACTGGCTTGTACGATGTTACGTGGGATGCATTGGAGATGTTCAACTGATGCAGCAATGTACAAACATGTGTATAGAGGCAGATCCTACTTTCAAAGGAGGAATTGTATACTTACTTCTTCTAAACATCCTGCACGTTAAATCTGTGTGAGCCTACTACCGAGTTCACCACTCATCTGTTTCTTCCCCAGCATACCTCCCATCCGCAAGCAACAACTCCAGTATCGCGTCCAACAACCCCCTGTGCATCCCTCTACCCTGCAGCGCCCTCACTTTATTCAGCACCGGCTCCCCGTTGTTAACGCAATTCCAGTAGTCCCACTTCTTATCCATTTCAATCCAGGCATTGTCGATGATATCCCAAATCTTGGGGTTAGGATCGAGAACATCGAGTTGCGGACCCGTCGACGATGACGAAGATAAAGAATGAGACGACGAAGAGAGTAGTTCGATATGAATAGTATGCGAAGTAGGCACCGCATCAAGCGTGATAAGCGTACCGTTGCTTTCCTGAGTGACCTTGTGCGAAAGGGATTTCGCGTGTTTCTTCGTAGTAGGAGAGGTAGTGACGCAGCGTATCTCCGTGCCTTTCTTAGGCGTATGAGCCAGTAAGCGGACCTTCCAACAACGGTTCTTGGGGATGGCGTGGTTTTCAGGTGTAGTAGGACCAATTTTAATGACACCCGTGGATTGCTTGTAGGTAATGGGTGTGTGTGCGAAGCTCACGGTGTCGTCAGCTGATTCTTCGTGGCCTTCGTCGGAGATGATTGAGAAGCCGCCGTCGTCGACAAGGTGGCCGGTACCGTCATCTTCGATGATTGTGAAGGAGCCGTCTGCGCCTACGGCTAGTAAAATCTCGAGACCTTCTGGGTTGGGAGAGCCGGATTTGGGGCGGTAGGCTGCGTCGAGGGGGATTATGGATCCTTCTTTTGCGAGTACAGGGACGAAGTGTAGAGGGCGGTGGACGGTGAGTTCGCCGGCACGGTTGTATACGATGCCGGTGAAGATGTCGACATAACGTCCTTCTGGTAGCCAGAGCTTCTCTGCGCCGAGATGTGTGGTCTGATCGCGTGGCTGGGTAATGGGTGCAACAATCATTTCGGAGCCGAAGCGGAATTGGTTGGGCACGTTGTACGCCTCGTCGGCCTCGGGATAGTCCCAGTACATGGGCTGAATGAGTGGCTCATCATCAGACGCACTCCTCGCGTTCATCGTGTACAGGTATGGGATGAGGCGGTGGCGGAAACGCAGGGTGTCTTCCACGATAACACGTGCCTCCTCATTGAAGCGCCACGGCTCGCGCGTGTTGAATGGGTTGTTGTCTGAGTGCAGGCGCAAGATGGGTGACCAGCAGCCTAGTTGTACCCAGCGTGTGTATAGCTCATCGTTCTTGTATCCATGCGTGTGGCCACCGATGTCGTTGCTCCACCAGCCATACCCGATGTTCGATGCAGTTGCTGTGAACTCAGGCTGGAAGTGCAGGCTGTCCCAGGTGATGATAGCGTCACCGGAAAAGCCGATCTGATAGCGCTGTGCCCCCGGACCGCCAAATCGAGAGAGAATGAGAGGGCGCTGAGACCCACGACCACTATCGAGGAAATGAAAGTGGTTGAGCACCCAGAGAGGGTCTACTCCAGGGATTTTGGATGTGTTGCCTTGCTGCCAGTCCACCCACCAGAAGTCTACACCTCGCTCTTCATGCTCATGGTGTACAATGTCGAAGTATGCATCCATGAACTTCTTGTCTGTGCAGTCGAACGGAATCGTCTGCTTCGATTGGGGGTCGATTCCAAGATATTTGGCGACTTCGGGGTACTGTTCTTCGTGCGGCCTGAAGCCGTCTGCTGGGTGTAGGTTAAGCGTCAATTTCATGCCACGATCGTGCAGTTTCTTCATAAAAGCGTCTGGGTCGGGAAAGAGTTTCTTGTTCCATGTGTATCCAGTCCAGCCATTCACACCGCCAGGCAAATCCCATACCAGATGCCAGTCCATGTCCACAACTGCCACATTCATGGGTACATCGTCCCTATCGAAATGATCGTGCAGGTCGAGATATTCCTTCTCGTCGTATGCGTGGTATCGACTCCACCAGTTGCCCATGGCGTATCGTGGCAGGAGAGGCTGGCTTCCTGACACAGCGTAGAAGGCGCGCATGGCTTCCCGATAGTCGCGGCCATACATGAAAATGTATTGATCGGACCTATCGCCACCCCTGCGTCCTGCAATCCACCCATTGTCTTCGAAGAGCATGGACTTGGTGTCATCCAATGGTGCCATGCCCTCTCTTGACAGCACACCAGGACCCAGATTGGTCCTGCCATCTACACCGTCCAACGTGCGGTTTGTCCCACCCAAGTTGGAGATTTGCTGTCCATATGTCCATGTGCCCGTCACATTGCCCTTGAGATGTATCTTGAAACCGTCGGCACTGAACTTCTTCTTATCGTACACAACGTGGAAGCGCTTCGTTACGATCTCGATGCCGTGGCCGCGGTCCCAGACGTAAAAGTCAGGCACGGCTAGTTTGCGGTTGATAGCAAAGGTGCTTGCGCGGTCTTCGAATCGCCCATCTTCAGCCCACTCGAAGCGGAGTAGGCCATCTGTGAGGATGGTAAAGCGGTACTTGTCGCCCGCAACGATGGCGTCCGGGTGCGCGACTGGACGTGTCTTGAAGTCGTAGCGCGCTTTCGTCATGGCTCTTTGGTAACAAGACAGCAAAAATTCAGGTAACGCCTCTCGTGTACACCCTCGAGGAATGTTGTGGCATGGCGGGGCGCAGCCAAACACCGGCGGCGTCATTCATCTTAAGCACGTCCGTCCGGGGAAGGAAGCTCGGACGGTGTGCCTGGCTAAAGCACCATGGGTTGACGCGCGTGACCTCGGTTGAGTGAAAGCTAGACTTGTCAAGTAAGAACCCCAGAAGGCAAGTCAGGCGACAGCTCAAAATCGGCCCTGCTACCCCTAGACGACATACCAAGGTCATGGCAAACGACTGGGGAAGCAGACACCTAATGATAGTGTTACGAAATCGAGGAATGTAGTGGGCACGCGACGTCGTCATTTGAGCTCGGAGAAATAAATAGTCGACGCAGGCCCGCTGCAGGGTGGTTAAAAGCAACCACAACGCTGCTGCGACACCATCGCACCGCATACGGGGACACCGGGTGATCATCAACGTTGCATTTCACATGTTAGCTTCGTATCTCAACCAACGTCTCAAATTCTGACCTACCGTTAATGCGCGCGAGCACGCGGAGAGAGTATACACAAACAAATATACTCGATTGGGCGCTTCAAGAACCCGTCAAGTATGTCAAGGTACCACTGCTTTTATAAGTTAAATGTTACATCTTTGGGCGTACTGGCCACATCCTTTTTTGATGCAGGACTCGATCGCGACCGTGAAGACAGCTTTGGAGATCCTCTCGCAATGCCCATTCAGATCTGAATGACCCGTCTCAAGCAAGATTTAGCTCAATCACAATACACGCTTCTATACACCCGAAGCGTCTGAAGACCCTATTGTCTCCTCCCAGTCCTTCCTCCATAGCTCAGCATCCGGTCTATCGGTGAAATGCACGCGTTTCTTTGGGCAAAACGATCGAGCCATAACAAGGTTTTGCATTTCTGCAATGAGTCGTCATGTATTTCCGTTGCTGGCTCCTTGCCTAGCAGTGTGATAGCATAATGCTCGATCGAGAGGTTATAGCCTTCGGCGAAAAAGTAAATCGATACCAGATACCTCTCGTGTACGCTGGTACTCATGTTATTACGCGTGCACTATTTGGGGTACGTCATCATCGTTTTTTATTCTTCACCCTTGACACCATTGGAGGCGAGAAATGCAAGCTTCCAGTTGCGACAATGAATAACTCCTAGTCTTGTCAGTGACTAGTTGTACGAGGGGCGTTGGAGAGTGCTTAGATCCGGTAAGAGAAGTAAGGATTTAGAGCGTAAATTTGGCCATTGAGTTTACAAGGCTTTGAGGTTGGTACATCTGTATCACAGCAACTTAAATCTATTCCGTCGGGCTGTTTTCTTTACTCGTCGAGAGGCTGCTTGGGAGGATGTCATCAGCTCTTCGGGATACAGCGCCTACCTGGCTTGGTGGTGTTTCGGCCGCAAAATAAGCAAACACGCAATTTGATCTTGGAAGTAGATAAGCGACTCTACATGAACACGCTATACAACGTGGAGTACGTCAACACCATTTCTTGTAATCTCGATTCTCAGTCTCCTCGAACTTTTGCCTCTCGCACTGTTAACGGTGTTCTTAGTCTCCTCTTCCCCTTTTGCAGTGTTAACAGTTTTCGCAGTTATGCCGCCTCTTCGCACGAAAACACCAATGTTACACCAAAAGGCACTTTGCTAAACTGGGCTTCCGTGCAGTCTCACCAAACGGAGCATTAGCAGCCGCCGCGAGAGTAGTGATAGCTGCACGACCAAAATCACCTTCACACCATGTAGAGACAGCATCACGCTCGACTCAGGACTGACCTGCACCGTCAACTCCTCCTGCTACCCCAGCAATACCCTCCACTGTATCTGAAGTCAATGAAAATGAGAACTCTGGCTCCGAAACTGACAGATGCGGTATAGGGGATGAAGATATATGTAGTTGTTGCCGATTTTACGGACGTCAATGCCTCGCCGCAACATTGAATGACTCCTCGACCAGGCTAAAACTAGATAATCTCAAAACTGTAGATCAAGTGGAAATGCCACGAATGATCTGTACTGATCACTACAAGAGTTGCAATACAAACATTGAAGAGAAAGGCTACTTAATGGTATCTTTGTGAGTGACTGGATCCGTCTTATCTTCCTTCTTACAAAGCACGCTAACATGCTAAAATCATACGGGCCAGGTACCCGAGGAAGTAAGAGAGCAACATTATTTACCCCTTGGTGTGTGATTTTTCTCTTCCCTTTGTCCGACCTATCTGTTATAGCAGCTTTGGTTCTACCACACTACATGTCACTAACGCCAATCCAAGGAAAACAAGGCCTGATACGTATCATTCACCATCCCGTGGCATTAAAAACAATCACTCTGTTTGATTCCTGCAGTCTCGAGCTTCTCCTCGCTTTTCTGACTTCATGCCCATCACTCATCGGCATTATGTCATTCGACACTTTCCCAGAAGCCTCGGACGCAATAGCCATGATCGCCGAACATCCAGATTGGGCACCAGAGCTCGAGGAATTAACTCCATGGTGGCCTCGAAGTCTCCCCTTTCTCAAATACATCAACCAAACACGAAGCATTCGAAACCGCCTTGATTGCACTTGTAAATGCAAGACCGAATCTCAGTTTATATATTCTTGAGGGTACTTATATTGTGGTGTATGCCAAACTACTGAGCGAGACTATGATTACAGGGTACAAGCGACGTAGGGTTACGTCGGAGAAGACAGATATTAGGAGCGTTACGGGTCTTCCAAAAAATGGTGGGATGATTCACTGGTCACAGGAGGTCTTCAAACAGTGGGCATGAGCCTCATGCTACATCAATTTTGTAAATTACCATAAGACATCACTTGTACATGATACAGAGCAAAAGCAGTAACCAAAGCAATCGCTCCATAGTCATAAAATCTTGCGTCGGTACACACACCTACACGTTTTCTCTATGAACATTCCTCTCCTTCTCACCCAATGGCCCCTCCAAGCCCGCAAGGCTACTCTTCCTCCTCTTCTCATCTCTCTGGTGCCGACTTTGATCGAGGCTCTGCGCGAACTTTGATTTAGCTCTGATATCTGGACCTTTCCAGCACACGATGTAGATTGGGATGGTGACCACGAAAGCAAGACAAGCGAGGATCGTCGAAGCGTATTGCAAAGGTCGTCCAGGAATGTTCTTGTAAAGCGGAGTGGAGTACAGAGAAGCAATACCGGCTAGAGCGTCACGGGCAAGGTCGTTACCACCGGTTGCGGAGGAGGCGTACGGGCCATATGCGGCGGTTTGATAGTCAATTGAGGATTGATAAATTGCATACTAGAGAGTGTTAGTAAATGAAAATTCATGGTGAGCTCAAGGTCTTACATTTGCTATACCAACCATGGCTGAGAATATCATAGGCGCGATCCAGGGAATGCCATAGTCTGGCCCAAGTGATGTCCAGGCAAACCCAAACAAGCCTATAGTTTCGAGTGGTGCAAGAAATAGTAGCCACCAAAGTCGGGCCTCTGGTGCGACTGACCCTGGATTTTCCCGGCGCTTCTTCCGGAACTTGATGATCGACGGCATGTATGAAGCGTAAGCTAGGAAGTAACTGAGTAAAATTGGTATGAAGGCCAGGCCAGCACCAATGGTGCCAAAGCCCCATTGTTCGTAAACAGGGCCAAAAGACTCCAGGAACGTGAAGATCAAAGCGTCGCTGAAGCCGCTAAGCAGAGATAGCCATAGAACAATTGGCTCAGTGAAGAACATGTAGAATGGCCTTTATGCTCGTTAGCGGTGAGGCTGCCATGTCCTGAATCTGTTACATACCTCCAGAAGATAGTGCCGACCTCCTTGAAGTTCATCTTGTGACCGCCTCGAATCTCGTTTGGACCATAGATGTTCGGATCCTCACCCGTCTTACGTCGCCTCTTCGCCTCACGGTCGAGTAAGATTGTTGAGCGAGTTTCGGGGTTGCAGAGAAAATGGACAGCCTGTACGAAAGCTCCGATGATGAGCTGAACCCAGAATATCCACTCCACGGATTTATACCTGAACAGCTGGGTTAGCGCTTGCCACCAATGATCGTCAATGATATACTTACTCTTCTACGAAAGCTCCGATGATTGCACCGACGACAGATCCGCCAACAGACGATAGAACTAAGAAAGCAACAGCGAACCCTTGTTCATCCGGCTCCCACATATCGGCGAGTACACCAAGCGTGACTGAGCCGCCAGCCGTTGATAGACCTCCCAACGTTCGACACACTACATACGTCGCATAGTTCTTCGATAAAGCGCATGGAATTTGCCAGAGATTGACGAGGAACAAGCTGAGTTGTTGGATAGGCCATCGTCCGTACTCTTCTGACCAGGGAGCCCAAAGCTCGCAGCCGATACCGTAGGCGATTAGGAAAGCTGCTTGTGGGACGCGCGCTGCTTGCTCGCTGACGCCATGGTGTTCCGATACGGCGCTGACGGCATGAGAGTACATGGAGGCATTCGTGTTGATACTGATCTGAATGAAGAAGACCACAATCAGGATCTGCCTATCATGGAATCATTATTAACACCATAATTTAACCATCAAAGCGTGAAGAAAGCGAGCAAGCATGGTTGGTAGGCCACGATGCTCGTATTCCGCGGCAACGCGGCACTCGGACGAAAAATACAAGCTCAACTCACCATTTACGCCAAGTTGGAAAAGAGTATCCAAGCTTGTCCCAAGCATCACTGTCCTGAAGCTCGATCTTGTCGTCTTTGATAATTCGGTCCGTTTTCTCTTGATCCATCCCTTTGCCTTGGCCATAGTTGGAGTCACGCTCTGTGTCAGGCACAGCAGGCGGCTCTCCTGGTTCTACAGTTGCCATGTTTGAAGTTTGCGTGCACGCAGTAGAGAGGTGAGAAGATGGGTATGAAACGTGCGACACAAAGAGAGGAGACGAGATATACCCAACACCATCTCACCCACGAAGCCTACGTTCCTTCGCCTTTCGCTCTTTCCATACGACATCAGGCTACCTATTGCACCCGGCCTCTGATGTCAAGAGGCGGCTGGCTCTATGTGCGGTAAGCTTTCTCCTCCAATGTGAGGCTTGTTACTCGAAGCCAAGAGCTTGTCTTCATACACAGCCAAGAGCAATCAACTGATCGCGGGGTAAACAAGGGTGCATCGACCGATGATGGGAAACGCGATGTGCGATACGTTTCCCATCTTTGGTCGGTGCGCGTGTTGGGCCAAGAGAAAGGATGAGGCATGGCGTCATAGGCGTTCCGCATGCTGCTGCTATACGGCGCTGACCAGGAACTCGGATCCTACTCATTTACGGTCTTGTGCTGCAGTGTGCCCAGCGCGGTGTTCGACACCGGAATGTGATGTCATCCGATCCATGAGGTTGTTTGCAAGATGGTATGATGTGTGGTGAAGGTCGATGCGACATTCGGTCGCGCGAGGTCCGCGGCCCACCACGGGGACTTGCTGGGGGTACACGCGACCCGGGAGCCCAAGAGGATAGTAGGAAGCCACAGCATAAGTGTTATGAGGAGTTCCAAACACACACACGGTGGTGGAGTGAATAGCTATTATGATTATCACCGACGGCTCTTTTGCCGCTCGTCAGCTGGACTGTACTTTTCATCGTTATGCGCTGCTACCTTCCCTGCGGACTCAGCAGTAACGCCGTTATCGCGTCTACACAAGCATAGAATTTCTGCCCAACCTCTGGCTGGGCGAGGTACGCCGACGTCTTTTCCTTGATTAGATCCTCGTGACTCCACTCCTCCAGTGGTACGTCTTCCAGTCCCGTCACATCAAACCGAAAGTACTTCATCCAATTCCGCTCCATTAGCGCAGCATGTTCGGCTTCAAATTTCTCACCCCATGTCTTTGCCTCAGCCTTCCTATCCTCAACGCTGTTTGCCATCTCGGGAATCTCCTTACTTCGATTGAGACCGACGCCCGTACCCACCGAGACGATGATCATCATGTCGTTGGCATATCGAAACAGCTTTCTACATTCGTAAAGAATGTCGCGAACCGCATTGTTCTTTGTAGTTCCATGGTCGACAAGGCCTTTCTCAATCACGAAACGTTGCGGGACGCCAGGCTCAGATTGCACGTATCGTGGGGCTGCCGAAGTCGCTTTCATCGCTTGCCATATGGGCATGTTGGGTTCCAAGTCTGGTCCAGTTATGCGCCGCGTTTGGTATGATCGAATCAAAGCAGCTTTATTGGTGCCTTCAATTCGTTAGTGGAAGTAATCACGGTGTTTCATCGCGACGTGTACATACCGATATCCATCTGTGTCGTGATTGCGAAACTATATTTAGTGAGAATATGCTCCAAGAGCCAATGAACATGCTCTACTTACACGTCACCTGAGTCCGGCCGTCCATCTAGGAGTACTTCGTCCGGATTGCCTAGCTCTTGCTGGATCACGTTCTTGATCTCTTTCTCCAAAGCACTATCGTCAACGTCCCGTATTTGTGAATGAGGATCGAGATATCTGAAGTAGTCTCTTTTGTTCTCAAAAACCTGTTTCGCGATCTGCTTGTATGCCTCTCTAGCTCGGTGGGCTTGCATTCGAAGTCGACACAGCATGATGGCTATTATTCCACCAAGAGAACTGCCACCTGTCAAGTCGAAGATCTGATGGCTGTCCAGGCGCTGTCCAACTTTGACACAAATCGCATTGACAAGTGATTCGACTAGGAGGAGGGCAGATAGCCCTCGGATACCATCTCCATCAATTGAGAGCAGAATCTTCGTCTCTCTCGTCCTCGAGAGGATTGCTTGCGGGGCAGGTATCTGGTTTGCCGACTGATCACGCAGAGAGGGATCGATATACTGTGAAGACGACGGATGTACATTAAGTTGATCCGAATGAGTATTGTTCTCGGGAGCTGTTTCGGTAGTAGGAGCGGATTCTGGCGGCATTGGAGTAGAACCGATTGACGCGGTAGGTTGATACGCGTATGGAGAGGCATAGACGGTTGCAGTTGTCGCTGACGAGGGCGTACTGTGATCTCGTGGCGATGCCGGGGGAGCATGCTCGACTACCGTAGATGGTGAAGGCGTCATAAGGCCCGCTCCCGTATTCTGGTTGATATTCGGTAGTGATGGGATCTGGCCGTACATGGGGGCTAGCGGGGGAGCGCCCGTAGAAGAGGGAGGCGGAGACGGCCATGGAGTATATCCAGAGTAAGGATCCCGTACGAGTCGTAACTCGGCTTCTTCTGCGACGCGTCGAACATCTGGATCTTGGGCCTTGCTTGGACATGTTAGTTCCGAATACTGGCGTATCTGGGAAAAGAAGTGCAGCGTACTACTTTACGTAGCTAACGTCCCAAGGCTCCCAGCGACCGGACAATAAGAATTGGATCGAGGTAGGGAAAGTAGAGTCATGAAAGTAGTGCGTGCCCTCCACTGCTGAGTAGCGAACACAGGTAAAGTCCACCGGAGTCCACGACATGCCGTTGTACAAGTGGTTATAGCGCATACCAATGGACAAACCGGTAGGCTGAATGCCAGATTTGAGGCAGTAGATCAGCGTTGTACTGACATCTAGTGAGAACAGCGGTGGATCAGACGGCAGGTCCTAGGAAACATGCGGTAAGCGACTAGCTGCCGATGGGTGCTAGGCCGTTAATCAGGATGAAGTCGCTCCTCAAGAGGGCTATTGTATAGCCAATCGTTAGGCGTCAAATTGACCCGCCTGCAAGGTATGTGCAGCGCCAGCTCGTTAAAAACGCTGCTATGCGTAGCGCATCAACGACAATGCGGCCGCGTTTGACCGGCCAGGCGAGGCCGCTCGGTAAATGGGCAAACAGATGGATCTATGAGACAAGGGCTCTGGGATACCCAGCTCATCCCTGCTTGTGCGTTTGATACGGGAAGCTACTGTGGGAGATGCAATCAGATCGATCGACAGGCTCAACATATCTCTGAATGAGAAGATACAGTGTTTATAGTGCGCGGGTTGAGTTGATGGGGCAACTGCTGTGCATTGAGGACGAAGAAGGGGCCATTTGTTAGCCGCTAGTGCATGACGAGCGTTGGATTGGTCTACGCCCGCGGCCCGCAGCGTTCCGCTTGCTCGGCTGCCCCCCCTCAACAGCTTTTCACGCTTCAGCCACACATGGCACATTGGCGATACGGATCCAGGTCTGGCTTCTTGCGGCCTTGAGCTCAAGTTTAAGTTTTTCTTAGTTGGACTTCGTATGGCCAGCTGCACGGTGATCGCAACTTCGAACAAAGAAGCAAATTGGTGCCACCTGGACAGCGTTTGAGGAATCTAGCCTTTCAGTTTCTGATTCCATCTGGACACGAACACCTTTTAGCCAGTACCGATATGGAGTCAAGGAAGAACTCACTCGGCACTCTTTCGACTCTAGCAGTGGAACTGCGTGAGGCGATTTGGTCCTACGCACTCACCGATACCACGATCGTGTACCATGCAATCACAAAAACAGTGCCAATCCCGTTACTAGGTTGTTCAAAAGCCATTCGTGAGGAAGTTCTATCTACAATACTTCGAGAGAGGAGCGTCACATTCCAGACACATACCGCACTATCGGGCTTGCTTACGAATCACAAGACCGAGAAAACAACAGATGCGCCAAACCACGGAACACCTCCAGCACCAGATCAGACTAGGCTGCCGAAGAAAATAAGAATTTCGTTATTCTGTAGCGACCATCAGGCGTATATGGCAGCCAAAGTCTCCGCGGAGCCGGTTAAAGAAGACGTCGGACGTGTAAACGAGGAGGATTACGAATCGGAGCTTGACGGCTGGCGGGATGCACTCCAGCGGTTTCCCATCTCACATCTTACAACAGTGACCTTGGACTGCACTTTGAGTCCAAGGTACTATGGCGGACCGGGTGATGCACCTCCAAGTATGACTAGGTTCACAAAACGTGTGGCAATGCGAATTCGCATGGGGTCAAAGGGGAGATGCCAATGTTTATTAGTCGCGCCGTCAACAACCTTGCGTCAGCTCATGTGGCACGCTGGTGCTGGATCAAGTTTAAGGGAGTGGACACCGAATGACGATGGGTGGTCTGATAAGAAGATACATGCGTTTGACTTGTCTTTGTCCTCTCAGATCAAGAAAGTGGACCACAGACTTAATGAAGCTCAGGATGGTCTTCCCTCTTTCTCGAACATACGACGGGCTGCTGATACTCCATCTTTGTCCGCACACTTGACGGCATACCATTATGAACAGGGGCAGCCCAGGGCGCGAAAACGAAGAAGGACAGACCATGATTGAATGAACCAGTTCAAATTGTTGATGGACGTACGTAGCTAGAAGCTATATCCTGCGCTGTACAAAACAAAGCAAAGGTGTATGTTTGGCAACGTTAGATGAAGAGTTCCCGAAAGTTTTCATCGCTTCCACTGCGATATGAAGTGCTCGCAAAGACACGAAGTCGAATTGCAACCAACACTACTCTGAGTAGGATGTTTAGCTATCAGGCAAAACAGAAAAGGACAAGAGTAGTAATCAATATGGCTCAATGCTGGCGATCCCAAAAAGCGAGGTGATTCACCCCCTCCTCCCCCCTAGTCCCAAAACGGCCATCACGTGATGAAGAGTTCAAAAATCAAAGACAAAAAGAATACATGATTGTAAGGATACTACAATGCTCTCCAGCGGGGAATTGAACCCCGGTCTCCCGCGAGTTGCCTGAATGATGACAAGCGGAAATACTGACCACTATACTACTGAAGATAGGCCAACCTAGATGGTTGAGTAGGTGATTCGATGGAAGCATTTTCAGTAAGTAAATTTATATTCTCTATACATTCTTGTCCTGCAGGAACAATAGCTGACGATGCGTACCTAGTTTTCATTACAGCTTTAGGCTAATAATACTCTGCTGTCATCTGAGCGGGTCTCATTCTGTCGCACCAAACGTTGGCACCCTCATCTGACCAGTGTTTTACGCTCATACAACGTACTATCAGCCGCGATGATTATATGTCTCACGTCTTGCACATCTTTTGGGCTCAATCGTCAATGCACTTCATATAGCCTGGAAACGTATCTGAACAGAGTATATTTCTTCTCCGTGAAGCTCAAATCGCAATCGCGTAGTATATTGGATGCACAGCTCGAGTGGATGATACGATGAGCGTTTCTAGGCACGGGCTTGGTCTGATTAACACTTGCAAAACATCTTTCGCGGGAATCATGTCGCGAGATGATATACACGTCCGGCGCTCAAGCAAAAGGACCAGCATTTGGTTTTCGAAGCATATTCATTTCTCGCCGAGTCGATTCGTCGTGAAGACTCTAGCTTTATTCGTTCATGCAACCCATGCTCATTTCATTTCATGAGCTCCGAATCCCACAGAAGATGATGAACCGAATGAAGTAAAACTCCGAACCAATTCACATGCACCACGCTCTTCAGTATCTCATAATCTATGCCTCCTTGGACGCAGCCTGGGCCTTAGCACCCCTGACCTTGGCGGGCTTGGACTCCTTGACGGGCTTCTGGCTCCTGCGGATAGCGGAGGCCTTAGCGACGGCGTCCTGGCGGAGGTCGGGGCGGTAGTTGCGCTTGGTGGTAGAGTTGACGATGGCGGAGTATGTCCTGCGTTGGTCAGCGAGCGGTCCTACATTATACGATATTGATGCGGTGGATCGAACAGGGCCGAGGACCGGAAAAGACGTACTTGCGGGTGGACCTGCTGGGGCCGAAGGTGGTGGTCTGGATGGCAGACGCGGGCTGGTGGTGCTTGTCGGCCTTCTTGATGAGAAGAGTGACACCACCCTCCTTGCCGGGGATGACACCGATAGCCTATTCCAACGTTATCAACATCGTCTCCTTTTCCAATTCGCACTTGCGCGCGGCGCATTCGTGGTTGGTTGTGGCCGTACCTTGTTGGCGATGGAGCCCTCGTTCTGAGCAGTATTAGTCCATTGTCCTCAGGAATCTAATACCCATGCATACCTTGCGGCTGTACACGTTCCTCAGGTTAAGAGGATCGCGCGAGAACTGGACACCGTTCGCCCTCTTGACGAGCGTGGAGCTGCGTCCCTCTGCGATATGTCAACCCCAGTCCCTTCCCAATTCGCATCCCAGTGTTTCACTCACTGGTAACCTCCCAGGCAAGATCGTGCGAGATAGTGGTGGCCATTGTGTCTGTATGGAATGTGGATACGGACGATGTCGATTGCTTGACGTTAGGAAAGTTCGCCAATATTGAATGGATGGCCCTCGTCTGCATTACCGCATGCGCTTAGTGCGTGTTTCGGGGATGGATCAACATGCGTGCCGACGCCAAGGGCGGAGCGGGAGGTGTGACGACGCATGAACGCGATATGGGGCGGTGCAGCCGAGTGTCTTTGTCCGCGACTCCGTGGTTACGAACCATTGTCGTGTCAAGCTAACTCATCCTGATGCCTTCATCCTGAACGGCTCGCCTTTACATACAATCGCCAAATTCACTTCACGTCCGTTTCTTTTGTTTGTCATCACCAAGTCCCTTATTGCGCCCTCCAAGGTCTTTCGATCACTCCCGCAGAACTCCGCTCTGTCGCATACGCTATAAACCTTCGTGGAAGTTTCAAAAAGCATCTTCATCATGGCCTACATGCTCTATTCCATCTCACTCCTTGTCCTGGTAGTTGCGACAGGTAAGTTGCCTCGTATACCAACCTTGCGACACAGACTAAGACCGCGCAGCTGCCTACTTCACCCGGCACCGCTGGATACACCTCCTTCCCATCCCCGAACCCATCTACACGCGTCTACCATCCTCGTTCCGCGATGACATCGAAGCTGGCCTTTCGTCCTCAGCATTTGACCTGAGCGGAAACGTGGAAGCCGGCGACTCGCGCCAAGGCCTGGATGACGCGGGGAAGAAAGAAGTTATGCGCATCATGAAGCGAAGAGGCGTTGACTTCGACGAGGCTCGCAGAATATACATGCAGGACAGGTTCAAGAAGAACAACATCGGAGCGGACGGGATACCCCGCGACCCCAAGTTTGTCAGCTTCTCATAACTGCATCGATTGGGTGTAATAGGGAAGGGGCGCGTGTAATAGGGAAGGGGCGCGCGTTTTACAGGACTGTCTCGTAAATCGTTTCCTTTGTAGGAGTTTGGGCATATTACTATATTTCCTTTGTTGCCATTAGTGGCCTATCTGTCTGACATGCTCATGGCGGGTATCTTTCTGCGAGTATGGGTTTGGACGCCAGATATTCTCTGTATTCTGATCTTCCGAGTTATGCATCTCTTCATTCGCTGACCTTGGCAGCGCCTCTTCGAAATAACATTCGATGCTTTCTGTATCCAACCCAAGGCTTGGTGAATATCATGCTTTTCAATTGTGACCACGTCCTTTCGTGCTGTCCCTATCAGCCGAGTGCCGCTCTTCCCGCGGAGGCCTTTGCTACAGCGACGGCCCTGGCTTCTTAACTCGCCTGGGTTCCGGCTAAAGCAGCTTGAGGAATGCTCCAGGGTAAAACACCCATTTTCGTTGTGCAAAGTAGCAGTACTGTCATCTGTCCACTCGTCTCTCTTCTGTCTACCTCGGTGCCTGTGCATAGCCGGGAGGTCCCCCAAAGCCAGGTGGGCCACCAAAGGCTGGCGGTGGGCCATTGAATCCGGGCGGAGGAGGGAAGAAGTTTGTTGGAGCACCGCTTGGTGGGCGAGCGGGTAAGCCGGATGGGGGTGGTGGAAGACCTGGATGACCAACAGGAGCTGCGGAAGGCGGTCGACCGTAGCCTCCAGGCCCATTGGGAGCATAGCCTGGAGGTCCACCAGGAGGGCCATATCCTGCGCCAGGTCCACTTGGTGCACCAGGTACACCTCGGCCATCTACGCCCATGGCTGGCCCAGTTGGTGCGGCACCTGGAGGAAGCTGGAAAAGATGTGCCGGCAGAGGTTGTACAGCAGGCGCAACTCCGTGAGCCTTGGCCTGTTTCGCGAGCATACGCTCGGCTTCATCTCCGTGTCGTTCGCCCTTTCCATCTTTCTTGTACGCATACTGGACCGTGATCTGCTTGCTCATAATGTACTGGTTGTGCATGCTGGCGATAGCCGCGTCTGAGGACTCGAAGTCGCCGTACGAGATGAAACCATAGCCCTTGGATGCGCTCGTGATGTCGTCGCGCGCGACCTTTGGCGCATTCACCAGCGGTCCGAAACGTCCGAATGTGTCGTACAGTGTTTTCTCGTCCACTCCAGGATCAAGGTTACCAATGAACAGCTCTGCGCCAATCTCTACGTTCTTCTGTTTGTCTGCTGATGCCTTGTTCACGCGTATCCGGCTTCCGTACAAAGCGACATTGTTCATGATCTTGGGCGCGTAATCTGCTTCTGACTCTGTGTGGAATTCTACGAAACCGAACCCTTGGTGTTGGCCGTTGACGCGATCGACGGGCATGTTGACGTTTCGTACTCGGCCAGCGTTGAGCATCAGCTCGTGAAGAATGCGGGGCGTAACGCGCTCATGGAGGTTTCCGACGTAGACCGTTGCTTCCTTATTTTGTTCCCTGCGCATGTGTTAGCTCACGTCCGCCATGTGAAATGTTGCAACTTACCAGTGACGCGCACTCGGGGCCGACATTGTGAGAGGCGAATATATATACGTTTGTGGCCCTATATTCCGAAACGCAATTTATGCTCAAGCGATCTGGTAGAGGTCGTGAAGCGTCGTGAATGGAGTATGGTGTTGAAGACTAAGTGGATGTATCTCGAAGATATTGGAGCTCTAGTCTGAGCTTGCGCTAATACGCATGCGGCTAATCCCAAAACTTTGAGCTTTACGCATCATCGCAACCTCGATCGCTAAGTCCCGCCTTCACCCAGTCTTTCACACGCATCGACTTCCTCAACCCCAAGCCCGACCACACATTCAAGATGTACCAACTCTCAGAAGAGTCCAAGGTATGGCTTCATGCGCAAGTGCAGGCATAACGAGCCTCCGCTGACTCTAATCAGGAGCGCATCGCGCGCATCATCGATGTCTCCCGCGTCGCTATCCACTATGGCTACCTGCCCTTGATTCTATACCTTGGATACTCTCAAAGCGTGCCCAAGCCGTCTCTCATCCGGTGAGTACAGCTGTCATCCTCAATCTCTCCTATACAAGCACGGCCGATACCGCTCTTTGTGTTGGACAATACCACAGGTTGTGGACATGAGCCTGACCACTTTTCGGACTTCAAGAAGTGCCAGTGGTACTGCTTCTACGAGATCCTCCCACATGTGCAACGGGCAAGGCAAGCAGTGATCGCTGAAATGGGCTGCATAGGCGTTTACACGGGAAGTGTGGCCTTATGCTTTTCGAGATACTCGCTTGCATGCTGATTTCTACTTCATTGTTTCATCTTGTCTCCATTGAACTGCAGTGGCACAATTAGCTGACTGAATTAGTCTCTTCTCCCCACTTGCATAAGCACCAAACGATGATATGACAACAACGATTTGCGATTCACTGTACAATACTATACACTCTAGGCGCATGGGTTCTTGGGTAGGACATTGACCGAGATGGTCGGGAAAACGGTCTATAGATGTACCCTGGGTTCCAAAATTCCTCTACTCTATCAAGTCGTTCGGTAGTCGGCAAAACATATCCCAAGGAAGGTGGGATCTGTATATGTACATCAGAGCCTCTAATACAGATTGACGGTACCCTGCAGAACGGCTGGCGCCATGGCGTGCTCGGTCCGAGTGGTAGCCCGCTTTTTGAACCAAACACATCCATCTTGCGCATGCGTGTCACAATTGCTGGAACTTGTACAGTCCAAGCTTACGCCCGTATTGGTCCTGATCGAGCCCAGTGCCGTTTAACAGGTGTCGACAGCTACGCGGGGCAGATTGCCGGTTGTGTGGTCGACTGACAGACGCCAATGATGATGCGCTACCTGACCCACGTGGTATCCTGGTCGAGCATCGCAACCCATGCTCCTGCATTCTCAACCTCTGTGAACTGAAATATCCGGCCACCGGTCCCCACAACACAGTCGCTATGGAGTCGTATATCCAGGCGCATGGCGCTGGGCTTGCCCTAGGCTGTGTTGCGAACTTCTCCATAGCCCCCACGGCTCCCGCGCCCACAGTATATCGCGAGCCTCCCCCGGGTGTTCTGTTTCTAGCTCCTGGACCTTATGGACACTCCCAATCGCTATCGACATCCCCACCTGTGTATCGTTCACATACCTGGTTAACTACTTCATATTTGTGCATGACCCCTCAAACCCCGCAACCATGACCGTCCCCAGCATTGGGGACATCTTGATGCTGTCGCAGAAAGCATGGAAAATTGGACGAACCTTTTATGCTTGTCAAAAGAACGCGCCAGCGGAGCTCCACTATGTTGAGATGGAAATCGGTAGTTTCGCGAAAGCATTAAAACTGTTAGCAGAGGCGCTGCACACTGAGTCTGAAGGGGAACTATTTCGGGGTGCCCATCAGGAAACAAAAGATGGCATTGACACCATCCTGAGATCTTGCCAACGAATAATAGACGATATTGACTCGCTGATTGATCAATACCAAGTTATCAAAAAGCACCGCACCGTTGGCGGGTTCGCGATTGAACGATCGTGGAGCGATCTGGTTTTAGCCTCGTACAAAACGATGATCTGGACCACCGAGGGCGGGGACCTTGCCAATTTGCGAGAGATGTTACGGACACACACAAACTCTATTACCATCCTGGTCGAAGCACTACAAAGGCTAGTGATGCCATAATTCATACACTACGCTTACTGACGTGGTATAGCAAGTCTATGACTCGTCTAGAAAGCGTAGTTACGCCAATGGCAGAGCTAATTGATCATATGTATCATTCAATTGGAAGCCTAGATCAGCAGCTGGACGAAGTACATCGTATAGTAGAGAACCTGACCATCGCGCCACAAGATTCGCATGTGCCACCCATACCAGCAAGAAATCCTGCGCGTTCACCAACTACTGAAGTAGTCAACCCACTGAGTCAGACTCTCTGTGCTTCGACTCCACCAAACTCCCCACCCAGGGACCAAAGTACCAGAGTTTCTCTGCCTCGGGATCCTCAGCATCCAAAGTCGCCCAAGCAGTCCTTGCTAGTGAAATTCGATGATGATGCCTTTGTCCCATCATCTCCGATGGAAATCATGTTTACATCAAGAGCATCGTCACCCTCTCAGAAACGCGTATCAGAGTTTAGCTTCGGTGGCTCATCTCTGCGGTACTCTAGCAGTAGTTATGCATCGTCTGATGCTGGTACAAGCTCAGCCGGATGGCAGAGTCCATCACCATTGTTGTACGGCTCTCATCTCAGCCGACAACAATCGACATCGACTAAGAAAATGTCGCCTCTTCCGCGGACACCGGAAGTACTCGAGCCGGGTCAAAAGACCGACAATCGACATCTGACGTTGCTTCCACCTCCGGCTATGAGATTGGGTCAACCTTATGAGCTTGAGAGAACGTCAACGCAAACTTCGCAGGTCAAGCTAAGCCCGTTTCCTTCCTCGCCAGAGGTGATGAAGCTTCACAGAAGCTCCACAACTGCTAGTCAGAAAGCTGCTTTTGAGAAGGAAGCTTTTCGCAACTCTGCTATCCTATGTGATGTGTAAGTCGACTTCGCTCTGAGCCCAGCCTTTGTCAGTATGCGTGATTGGATTTGCTGACCACCACTAGCCGCGGTTCACTAGTGGAATACTCACATAGAATCAACCAAGACGACCCCAGAGACGTCGAGATGGTTCAAGTTTCCGAAGAGTGCAGGATCGCCGTTGTACGGAAACGCGTCACTGACCCTGAGACAAGAGCAGTGCGCGTCGTGACATCCGTATGGGCGTTTAGCGACGACAACACTACACGTGCAGAGCTGCGCATGGAAGATGATCAAATGTACATCCCGTACTCTAGCTACTTCAACCCGGCCAAAGTCTCCATCACCGTACCATGCGAGCTCAAGTTCCATGACATCAAGCACGGTAATCGGCCTGCACGTGTAGAAAAGACAAGCTGGGTCAACTACGTTTTCGACTCACCGCAAGGTAAGCTACCAAAACAGCATCTTTGTGAGAAGAACGCGACTGAAAATGTATCTAGCGGCAGCACTCTTCCAAAACGAACTAATGGGCCGCACACTCCTCGCCACCTTCCGAACAGAGAAAACAATGCGCATCCACGAAGGTCTCTCCAAATCCTTCTCCTATGCCGAGCAAATGTGCGGTCTCGAGAACCTACGCGTCTGGGAAGATAACGATACAGGCGCCATCATCGCCTTAATCCATTTCTCCGCCGATTTCAGAAACGGATATCTAGCTTTTTACCTCAATTCCTCCGTCAACCCCATCAAAGTGAAAGACGACGGGAACAGGGAGGTAAAGATCAAAGGTCTGAAGGTACCGATTGACAAAGGCGATCGCGCGATGAGAAAAGATAGTGTTGCGGAAGCGGCTATCAAGGGAAAGGGAAAAGAGAAAGTAGGGAGTGGGAAGGGGATGGAGAAGGAAAAGGTTATCAGTGGAGCGAAGATTGAGTTTGCGACGGATATGGAGAAGAGGGAGTTTTTGGAAATGTGTAAGGAGATGCAGAGGAACCTGATTGAGCTGCCAGATTTGCTAGGTGTTAATTGAGGAGGTGGTTGAAATGGGAGCGTTTGGTCGTAGGCATCGATTGATCGTAATGCACTCTCTATGAATGACCACACTATGGGTTCTCTTGATTCCGACCTCGATGGATGTACGTTTGCCTATAGATTTACTGAGCTCGTCCACTGCAACTCTGGTACTTGTAGCGATGTTGGCGCCCCTGGTAAGGGCTATTGACGTATCGAGTACGAATAGTGTAGTTCGGCATAAGTTTGTACACCGTAAGTCGCCATTCGGTAGGCAAGCCGAGGAATCGAAAGGACTGAGAGGTCGCGTTCGTCATAACTGCAGCAATTACTACCTGTTACAAATAGTGGTGGTTAAGATTGGCAAGCTGGTGATCGGAAGTCCGGTTCTGCTCGCGACTCTAAACAGTCGAGAAGGGAGTGTAGGGCAAACCCCAGCCTACGGTAGAAGAACTGCTTGAAGCAAGCTTATACTGCCGCTGGTTGCCCTAAATAAGATTGTACGTGGGTGCTAGAGAGAAAAACCTAAAGTAGAAGTGGATGAGAAAATTTGAGGTAGAGTGCGTGGGTAACGCAGAAGCGAACCTGTCGTAGACGAGAGAGATGGACGAGAGATGAAGATTGTGTTTGAGTGTAGACAACGCGAGACTATGGAAAATCCAACAAGAAGAGAAAGCGGGTGAAGTTGGGAGGTGAGAGAGAGGAGCATAGATGTGAGTAAGATATTCCTACCATGCTGACTACAACGTAAATGCGCCACGTGATCAGGCTCTTGGTCCAGATCTACGACGATGTGAGGATGTTGGGCAATATTCATCCAAACTGATAGCCCTGGGGAGTGATGACGATGTTCTGATGCTAATTTCACGTGGTGAAACAACACCAGTTGCCTTCCCATATTCGCTCTAGATACCGGAAGTAATCAAGACAGTAATTACGACCAAGTCCAATAATTCTTCCTATCTGCGTGGTATCCAACGTTGAACATGTAAGCGCGCCTTACTCCAAAGAGCCTTTCCATTCCTTCCTTGCCATTTGTACTTAATATCCAACAACGGGGTGACTCCAAAACGGCCACTATGCAAAACCAAACGATGTAACGCTAAAACCTCAACATCCAATCCATGCTATTATCCAGATTCTCCGTTCCTTCGGGCGCTATACAAACGCCGGGGTAAGAAGAACTCTATGCTCGGGATCGGTCGTATCCTACTCGCCGTTTACCTCTTCTGCAATGTTGCCATTGGTACGGGTGGCGCCCATGTAGCGCTGCATGTAGGTGATGTAGTCAAACTTAGGGATGTCGCGGTCTTCCTGCATATCTGGGCCTTGATGCTCGGGCATGGTGGAGAGCAGATCTTCAATGACTTCGTCGGGGACGAGGGAATGTCGGAGGTCGAGTTCTGTGACGTATGGCTACTAGAGTGTTAGTAGCTGTTATCAAATAAGAAACTGCGTGGATGCAGACTGACCTTGCCATCGGCAACCTCCTTGAAAGATTCAAAGACCTGTTCTGCAGTGTTTTGATCCTCTGTTTCATCTACCATGAAGCGAATGAACTGCTCGAAGGTAACATAGTCTTTACCACCACTAGTCTCGCGGAACCTTTCATGCATCTCTTCTTCATCGTATACCAGGCCCAAACTTGCCAAAGCTGCAGAAAACTCCAATTCGGCTAGCGAATTGGATACGTCGCGATCGAAATGCCTAAATACTGATTCAAACTCTTCGAGTTGTATCGGAGTAAGGTTGGTCATGTTACGTGCAACCATTTGGTTTTCCAGGAAGGCAAGCTTCTTTGACACGGAACTACGGACCAAACCTAGTTCGTATTCTAGCTCATCGTATGTATATGTTGTGAAGTCGTTCTCCTCAATGTTCGCTTCGGCGCATTGCGCGTCGATAGATGCTATGAGGTTGAGGTATTCGTCCAATGGCGCAAGCGACTTGCTGATTTCCTTGGTATGCTCCAGCTGGTCCTCCACATCGCCTTCCAACGCTGATATCGATGTAGAGAGTGTGTTGAGAGCCAGAGCAAAGTCGTTTGCTTTGTCGGCAAAGGATTTCCGCAGAGCGTTCTTGATGTCTCTGATTGTTTCGTTGATGACTTGGGAACGTTGCCGTTCGGCCTTCATCAAGCCTGTCCAAGCCGTATCTAGTGCTTCAAGACTCAGCTCTGCAGGAGGGTCGTAGGGCCGCAACCGGTATGTGGCCAGTTTGGTCCTAATGTTTCCCAACAGACCTACTAGATCCGATCTCTCAGCTACCCATGTTCGCTTGCTCTTGCGCTTCCACGCTGTGAACTCCGTTGACTGGTTCCTAGCGTCTGCGTATGTTCCGTCGAACTTGGCCTCCTCCCATTGTGTACGCTGCTTGGCGATCTGGTCCAGCAGCTCGCGCATGCGCCGTTCGAAGTCGTTCTGCATCTGCCACGCTCCCTGCATGTTTGCCACGAACTTTTCGACTCTCCGGCCAGCATTCTCTACGCGCTCCATCTGGGAGAAGGCGTGGAACCAGTAGGCAATGTAGGTCATGAGCGAACGCTCGTCGGGCTTCGCTACGTCGCACACATCCTCGACGTCGAGGAGGTCGGGAATACCAATCTCTTTCGAGGCAATGTCGAATGCAAGCTGCATGTTCCCGCGGTGGTCGCTTTTGTCTAGGCTGTCGTAGTCGATGAGATCGGGACGGTGGATATCGAGCAGGGCACAGCTTTGTGATATTAGCCCAGTTCTTTAGTATAGAGTGTTGTACCCACAATGCTAGTCCGTCGTTCCAGCTCGTGGAGAAGTCGCGGACTTCGACCTCGTCGTAGCAGGCCGTCTTCCTCTGACACCACAGCAACAGACCCTCCTTTGCACTGAGACCCTCTTCGTTGATGTCGCTGATGGTGAATCGCAGAATAAGGGTCCATATCAGACCCAGGATGATCTTGCTGTTGCCATCGACGACGTCCTCGGCACCAGTATTGGTAAGCTGGATCCTCCTACTGCGGATAAAGTCGAGCGACTTGTTGACGTTCTCAAACTTCTGCACCCGCAGCTTGGGTCGGGAGGCATAGCGGCCAAGGGATTCATTACTGAGGATCTCGAGGAGGTGTATGAGGATGATCTAGGGGGCGTTAGTGACTGGATGCGGGGAGAGGCCTTGTCGAGGGCCAAGCGGGGCACGTACACCGTCGGAGAGGTCTATAATCAGGTCGTTGATCTGAACCTCGCGGATCTTGAGCTTGCTGTTCAGCCTGCAGTGGTGTGATTAGTAGCGTAGGGACCCGGGGCAGCGGTGGGGGTGGCAGCAGCGTACCACTTGGTGAATGTCTTCTGCTGGACTTTGACCCATTGCTGTTCAAGCGGCGCCATGATTTGTGTGCATCAGCGCTCTCACACGTACTGGGCGCATGCAGGTAGGAATATCCAAGTTGGGTCGATACGAGATGCTTGCTGGCGATTGCTTAGGCGTGTTTTCCAAAGTAGTAATGGGCCAAAACAATGAATGGCTGACTGCGGGCGCGGCTTCGGCTGTCGCTGCACCCTGGTCCTCAGTAGCGGGGCCCCTGGATCCACACGGCCTTGGAGGCCCAAGTCTGCGTTGGTTGGCCGCGACTATGCTTGGTATCTTGGTAACAAACCTCCTTCGTCCAATCTTGGTGGCTGGCACGCAAACAATATCCAGAAGACGTCCGAGGTAGCGCGTGTTCTTGGTTTGGATTGCAAACTCTTGCCCGCCTGCATCATGGCTGTAGACGCGTCTCAAGATGCCGCGTCGCTGCCATATCACGAGCCGGGCATCGTCGTCATTCTGGTTCTCGCGTCTTTTCTTCTTTTCCTCAACCTTGTCAATGCTGCCCTCGATAGAGTGCTGTACTGCGGCCTACTGGGCCAGGTTTTGGTCGGCATAGCATGGGGTACGCCAGGTGCGAAATGGCTATCCGAGAGCCTAGAAGAGACGGTTGTGCAACTAGGCTATCTTGGATTGATTCTGCTTGTCTATGAAGGTCCGTTACATGCTACATGATCCAATTCACTTCCACACCCATGACGTCGGTCTGACCCGCGCAGGTGGTCTTTCTACTTCATTCCAATCTCTCAAAGCGAATCTGCTCCTCTCTTCTGGTGTCGCTCTCACTGGAATCGTAGTTCCCATCGGTCTTTCCTACACTCTGCAAGGTCTTCTGGATGCTACCCCGGTACAGGCTTTTGCTGCCGGTGCTGCATTGTGCTCCACTAGCTTAAGCACAACCTTCACGGTTCTCGGCTCGAGTGGCTTGTCTACCACTCGTTTAGGCGTTGTACTTACCAGTGCAGCTATGATGGACGACGTCGTCGGACTGGTCATGGTGCAGGTCATCTCCAACCTCGGCGGCGACAACTTTAACTGGGTCACCGTCGTTCGCCCAGTCCTGGTGTCGGTTGCTTTTGCTGTCGTTGCTCCTGTTGTTTGTCTTTTTGTCGCGAAGCCCTTGACCATGTGGCTAGATGCGTACCGCGATGCTCACCCGTGCGCACGACTGAGTGCTCTGCTACAGCGTACACAAACGGCTTTTACAGTCCACACGCTGATTCTCATTGGTCTCGTCACAGGAGCTACATACGCAGGCACGTCGAACCTCTTCGCTGCGTACATCGCCGGAGCTAGCATCAGCTGGTGGGACTCTGACATACCTCACCCTGTCAGCACTCCGGCTACGAAGGCGGTGGCTGAGAAGAGCCAGGCAGCTGCTGGCCCAGTCCTTGAGAGCCCTGACGGCGTATCTCTATATGTCTCAGAGACTCAAGGCAGGCAAACTCAGGGCGCGCTTCCATCCCAACCCACCAAGGTTGAGAAGGACGAGCACACAAACGCGACAGGTGGGGCAGTCATCTACCACCACTACTACCATCCTGCAGTATCCAAGATCTTGCAACCCTTCTTTTTCGCATCCATCGGCTTCTCTATACCAATCACGCGCATGTTCAGAGGCGCGATAGTCTGGCGAGGCATCGTCTATGCCGTCCTCATGGCGTTTGCCAAGGTAGTATGTGGTCTCTGGCTCGTCCGCTTCTCTGTTTCCACGGGCAAACAATCTCCCAGTAAGATTCTGAGCAAGGTGCGCCTGCCATCAGTGCCTCACTTGTGGGGAAGGAGCGACCGCGCAGCATCCTCTGCGCAGGCAGGAGCTACTCAAGTGCCAGCACGCCACGCAGCTCCATCAGCTAGCACTGAAAGCGAGGCACGATCTTTGCTCAATCCACCAAAGCCCTTCTCGCTGCACCCGCCACTCATGCTCGCCTTCGCAATGTGCGCCCGCGGGGAGATTGGGTTCCTAATTTCCGGTGTCGCTGAATCTCAAGGCGTCTTCGGAGAAACTTCTAGTGAGCCAACCGACATCTTCCTCGTCGTGACCTGGGCCATCGTTCTGTGTACGATCCTTGGCCCTCTGGCGGTTGGACTATCCGTTCGCAGGGTCAAGCAACTCCAAGCGCGTAAGAAGAAACAGCAGGAGGGCGCCGAAAGAGACGTCTTGGGCGTTTGGGGTGTAGAGTAGGTTAATCTCCGGTGGGTACTAAAGCTGCTAAAGTGTGATCGCTGCGCAGTCCGAGCAGACGCACTGCGGTTGGCCTTCACGTTGTGCATGTCCGCCGCCTGTGGTTATGACGTGCATCGTCGGGTGTCGGGACAGGGATAGCGGCTGTATTAGTGGGGTTAGAGGCGGGCATCATCCAACAGACGGTTGAAACATGGTGATTTGTACTTGGTGTATCGAGCGCCGTGGGACGTGAAACAATATAGCATGAGATATAGTGTAAGCGGTCGCTATACTTTCCTAGATGCACATGGCGATGTACCGATTGGAAGCAAACTGGGAACGGTAAGAATAGAGGCAGACAGTAATGACATTTGACACAACGTGGAATCCTCCAGTTTGGTAGAGCGCCCTTCTTCTGAACAAGCAGCCAAGCAGCCAAACACGTAGCGAGCGGCACGGGTTCTAAATATGCACATGTGGCGGCTGTGGAAGGTTTTTGGTGCCACGCAGAAGGGTTTCAGACGTTGACTTGCTCCCTCCTGAAACGCTGAGCGCGATCTTGTACTCACAGCCGCCGGGCGATCAAGCCGGACCCTCTGCCGTTGTCGCGCCTGTCCGCTGATGAAACGCTTGCAGCGAGATGATGTTGCTGGCGATCTCCTGCCCTTGGGTGTTGCAACAGCCAATGGGCGCACAAGGCCAACGGTACTGCAGCGGCGTCTTCCATTCAGGCTCGACGTCCGAACAAGAGTCAAGGCGCACGTGAGAGAAAGTCCCCTGCCGATTTAGCGCGCTCTCACCCAAGGAGCCCCAAAGCCAACCAGGAGAAAGGGCTCCACTAAAGACACTACCACGACTGTCTGTACCAGACACGACCGCGCTCTCGCCCGCAGCCGGCCAAATTCTCCTATTTACCCTGTTTCTGCAGTTCTCGAATGTGGCATTCTCGCTGAACGACTCTCGGTGCGACGCTTTGCGATTTGGATTGGCAGCAGCGCCCGCTCGCTTTCAGGACTGGTATCCCGCCGTGCTGCAGCCCGACCGACCTCGCATTGCTGCTTACTCGACGCGACCCCCATCCCAGGACTCCCCGCCCTCGACACCGCCGCCGGGGCTCCCGTCTCATTGAACAGACACTCATAACTCGCTGAGAGTCGCCACGCTACTTGCTTTCTCACTTGATTGAGCACGGTGCACCCCGCTATTCACCACATCCCCCGACTGCCTGGCCGCACTGGAGGCAGTGGAGCGCTCACGAAGCTATTGTAGCTATTGTATAATTCCCACTGCTGTTGTTTCAACGATAATCTGCTCACGTAAGTACTTTGGAGCTCTTCGCCTGGCTGTCACTTCTGTCTGCTACAAAACACCATCTTTTCACCCCCTCCCACACGACTGCAGCATCACCTGCGTCGTATCAATCAACCTGTCACCTGTCAACCCGTCCGCTGACCACGGTACTTCAGCATGTATTCTCGCGACCAATTCATGAACCCCGGTCCCGCACCGCGACCTCCCACCGACCGTCCCCGCCTCGCCCTCACCCCCAACACCAGCAACACCTTGCCAGGCAACATGGCTGGCCTGAGCATGCAGTCGCCTGCCTTCAACAACGGTTCGCAAATGTCGCTCATCCGCACACAGACCGAGAGAAGCGTCTCATCGACAACTACGGTTAAAGAGGGCATGGTTAAAGTCAAGGATGAGGGCTTATTCAAATCTTTTGTCTGGGCCGACCGGTGGCTGGTCCTGCGCGAATTCGAGCTGAACTTCTTTAAAAGCCCTAATGCGTCAAAAGTCTCCAACACAATCCAACTGCGAGACATTCTTGGTGTCGAGCGATCAGATACGCAGCCGTTATCCTTTGAAATCACTCGCGCTCTCAACAGCAGCAAAGGTTCCTCCCCACCCCGCGATGGCCCTACCAAAATCATTACATGCAGAGTCGAAACCGACGACGATGTCTATTCGTGGATCGACAGCATCTACCAGCGATGTCCCAGCATGGGCGGTGTCAGCAACCCCACCAATTTCACTCACAGAGTACACGTAGGCTTCGACCCCAACAGCGGAGCTTTCGTCGGTCTGCCAGTAGAATGGGAGAAACTGCTCACTGCATCCGCCCTCACCAAAGATGACTATGCGAAGAACCCCAAGGCCGTCCTCGAGGTCTTGGAATTCTACACCGAAAAGCTCGTCAAGCGATCTGAGGATCCTCAGCAATACTCGAGTCTCACTCCGACCCCACCAACAAATGCTGGAATGGAAAAGCAGCTTGGATATGGTGGTAGCGGCAATTCCGTTGCTCCCCCGCGCCCTGCGCCGCCAGGCAGCTATCAGCGCAAGGACAGTTATAGTCAGGGCTACGGCGGTCAGCAGAGCGCTCCCTCACAGCAGGACCGTTACGAGCAGGAGAAGCGGAGGCAGGAGGAGCAGGCCAGAATACAACGTGAACGCGAACGTGAGAGGCAAAGGGAGGAATACGAGCGACAACAACGCGCAGAACTGGATGCGTACAACGCTTCACTGCCTCAAAAGAAGCTCCCCTTGGCCCAGCAAGAGATCGGCGGGGGTGGTTACGATTCGCGAGATTCGAGCCCGTCAGGCCAAAGGTACAACCCCAGTCGCCCTGCACCGTCGACTCCGGGCGCTGCAAGAGACCCCCGGCAGCAGCAACAGCAGGCTCCACGTCAGATGGCTGCGCAGCGTCCTGCCCCTCCTGCCCCTCAGCAACAGAACGGTGGTTACAGCACTTCTCCTGCCAAATCATCGTCAACTCAGCAGCGACCGCCAATTCAACCAAACAACAGTTACAAGGGTTCGAGTGGCCAGGTCCCCAGGGTCGCTAATGGTCAGAGCCAACCGCAAAAGCAATACCAGGGTTCCGCTGCACCCAAGCCATTGAACGTTGCCAAGCCCCAGAATGCTCCTGTCAGTGATGCAGTGAAGAAGGCCGAGCAGGCCCTTACGGCTAAGCCCAAGGAGGAGCCAGCACGCAAGGATGTGCGCATGTCTAGCATGTCCGAAAGCGAGGTCATGGCGAAGCTCCGAGAGGTCGTGTCCAAGGAACGGCCACTGGACTCGTACAACAAGCAAAAGAAGATCGGTCAAGGTGCCAGTGGTTCCGTGTACGTTGCTCGCATCCGTGAAGGTGCTACTTCGCCCATGGCCAAAAGGGTCATGCAAGAAAACGGCCCACGTGCACAGGTCGCTATCAAGCAGATGGATCTTCGCAACCAGCCACGCAAGGAACTTATCGTAAACGAGATTATTGTTATGAAGGACAGCAAACACCCCAACATCGTCAACTTTTTGGATGCTTTCTTGCAAGAGGAGCAATCTGAGCTTTGGGTCGTCATGGAGTTTATGGAGGGAGGTGCTTTGACCGACATCATTGACAACAACCCCTCCATCACCGAAGATCAGATCGCGACCATTTGTTTTGAGGTAACATCTGTAGCATGCACTTGGGGTAATCCATGCTGACAATCACTAGACCTGCAAGGGACTTGAGTATCTCCACAACTTGAACATTATCCACCGAGACATCAAGAGTGACAATGTCTTGCTCGACGGCCGTGGTAATGTCAAGATTAGTATGCATCCACCAGGCATCCTCCATCCACAGCTTGCTAACCTTTGGTAGCCGACTTTGGTTTCAGTGCGAAGCTTACCGAGCAGCGCAGCAAGCGTGCGACTATGGTCGGAACTCCATACTGGATGGCCCCTGAAGTCGTCAAGCAGAAAGAGTATGGCAACAAGGTTGATATCTGGTCTCTGGGTATCATGGCCATTGAGATGATCGAGTCCGAACCACCGTACCTGAACGAGGAACCGCTCAAGGCTCTGTATCTCATTGCTACCAACGGCACCCCTCGTCTCAAGAAGCCAGATAAGCTGTCCAAGGAACTCAAGGCGTTCTTGTCAGTCTGCCTCTGCGTTGATGTCAAATCACGAGCGAGCGCAGGAGAGCTCATAAGCCATGACTTCCTCAAGAGCGGATGCAGCTTGGCCAGCTTGTCCCAATTGCTGAACTTCAGAAAGAACGGAGGCCATTAATACCCAGTCACAATAACAGAGGGCTGCTGGACCGAGGCCAAAGAAGCAGTGACAGGCAGTTTCATGAAGCGTTCTGGACTTGATCGATACCCTTTTCGTGTACATTTTTCTGGCTACGTTCCAAACCGGTTGATATTCGCCCTCGCCGAACGAGCGACGACATACCACGAAACCTAAGAAGGCGATATGTGCGTGGACAATATCAGCTTGGTCATCTGGAATCTCCACGGTTACTACGGAAACTACTTTCATTCGTCGCTTCTGACTCTTCACCCTGTTCTATGTGCTTTGCCTGCTTTCCGCTCTCTCGTCCATTTCCTGGGAACCGAATATCGAGCATCCTGCGAACTTCTGCAGACATGACTCAGAAATGATTCAAATTGGATATGGACAATTACTTACCTCAATGTGACATTTTTCTATCGGTTCGGATTGCACGCGCCGGGACCTCCTCACGTTTGTCTTTCAATGTTCACAGCGCAGCGATATCACGATTTTGCACTTTTGCAATTTGAGCATTCTGGCGCACTCTAGGGTCTTCGTAATCAGATTTTGGGGAGTAAACGTGGATACCGATAGATCGAATGACAATGTCAAAGAGTCTAACGCAATCCTTTGCTCTTTGTGCTGCGTCTGCTTTGTGTTCTAATAGGCTAAGCCTGGACCATGTAATCGATGCGCAAATAATCACCAAAGAACAAAGACGGCTTCTGGTTCCTGGAGATTCTATCGTTGACAGCTTCATCGAATGTAGCCTGCTTTATACCTGTTTTCGTCTTTTGGGGTGTTGTTGGCGCTGCGTGAGGCGTGAGGCGTAGACTAGCTGAGCCAGTTGAGCATGTTGTGACTCCGGATAGGCTTCATTAGTCTCCCGGAAAGGAGTGGCGATGAAATATAATGTAGCGCTTAGAAAGGAAATATGATGGAAGCGGGGCAGATATTCTGTACACTGGATAGTATGAGGACGATAGAAGAGCAGACTGTGGGATGAGCGAACTATTGGATGTGAATAAATGACATACTACCCAAACGTTATATCGTAACCAATTTGGAGATAAAAGGCGATGCGATGCTTGCTAAAATGCTGACATGTACCGAAATGAAACGATACAGAACGATTCGCTTGGATGCAATGCATATGATAGAATATTCAACATAGGAAGTAGATCCCAAGGAAAGATCTTGGAAAGATCTTATGATTTGGAATGGCAAAAGGCTTTTTGGGGGCTGGAAAGGCGTCATAGACCGAGCAAAGCAAACTTTGGAGCAGCTTAGCCCAAGCACAAAAGGTGCGGGCCCAGTGCTATCGTGCTAGAGCTGGGACTGAGCATCTCATCCCACCAGCCGTCGTGACGTTGGCATGTCGCGTCCTGATTTGCGAGCCATGTACGTATGCCGCTGATACGCTTCAACACTGCTGGAAGTGTATTCTTGTCGCCTTCTCGTATTGGCACGACGCGCTGGTATAGACGATCGCGTTTATCCGAGTTTGAGGTTACGGCAGCGACGAAGAAGGGCCAGATGGGATAGATGGCAGTGTAGAGTGGGCCTTCCACCGGTAACGAGAGGAGTAAGATGTGAAGCGCGTCTGAAAGTTCGAGTATGGAGGAATGGAACCTTGTGAAGCTAGATGCGGGTTAACGGGTAAGAAAGTACGAGGGTGTTTAGAAAGCCTACCCATAGATATAACAGCGCAGATAGATAAGCGTGGCAAGGCGGAAAGCTTCTGCTGTGGCGAGTAGTACTTCTTTCTCTGGGCCTTCTGGCTCGGGACTCCACTGCTTCAAATTTTGAATTTGCGTTTCTTGCGATTGAGCGTACATGACCTTGTTCAATCTATTCTGACTGGTCGGAAGTGAAGTTACGGATGATACGATGGAAAGCAACTGGGGTGAGACTCCAAGGGTGGTAGAGACTTTGGCAGATTCGATGGGCGATATACCTTCCAGCCAGTTCATTGCCTCGAACGAATATCGTCGGGTCCTGTTCAACTGATGGGTGGTTTGTGCTGTGCGTGCTAGGATGAGTTGAGCACGCAAGAACAGGGCGCAATCGGCGTGATGATCGATGACTTTCGGAGGAATCGCGTCGAGTACGTTGGCATGACAAGACCAGCATAAACGAGAGTCCTCCTGATTGATCGAACCATGATGCATCAGCAACATGCTAGTAACTAGCGCGCTGTCATAGTGATGTCCGTCACTGATCTGTGACGCTAGAGTCTGGAGTGCTTGCGTGGAATAGTATAGTTCGGCTTGGAGGTAGGTACCTTTCTCCTTTGGTAGCTGCTCGCAGAGATACGACGCCGAGAGGCTGAGTAAGGCGTATCGCGTGCTCAGACAGGAATCTGCCACATGCAACAACGATATGTACGCATTTGACTGCAACGCAACCGTACGGCCCGGGCAGATACCTTTGACATAAAACTCGATAAGGAAGTTTTCCATTTCTCCAGGAGCGGGTGCTGTGCTAGACGGGACATACTTGATGAGACTTGTGAAACCAGTCTCCTGGGACAAAACGCTGTCTCTAGAGCGAACAGATCGCGTCGGACTGCGAGGGGTTATTTGCAAAGCTTCTACGCTAAGCATTGGGGAATCAGCTTGCCATGTCAGCTAGTCATCTTCACAACTATCGTAGTGGAACGCTTACCTTTAGCGCCAACAAGATTTGACAACTCACAAAGAAAGTCTTGACAAGCATCCGCCTTGGACCTTTGGATGTATCGAATGCGTTGAACTATCAACGTCTCCCCATCCGTATCTTGTATCAAGGACAAGTATGGCTGCCATTGCTGGAGTGATGCTTTGAACTTATCAAACTGACTGCTGTTGAGCTCCCCCAACCGCCAATATAGCTGGCCTAGGACTTCAAGAAGCACGACACCAGGGCCTTCGCTGACCATCCACTGTCGGATGACAAGCAGATTTCTTCTGCTGTTCCTTTGGTTGCCCTCGGTTGGTAGGTCAACCACTCGTGCGAGTAGCCGATCGATATGCGTGCAGTCTAGACTACCGAAGTCTGGTGTTATCGAAAGATGCTGGAGAGCATCGTTGGCAGCCTCAAGAGCTTTGGTGAGTCGTCTGTCTGCGTCCATAGCAATGTGATTTGGCGGAGTTTGCGTCGACGTGCGATATGCAGTAAATGCAGAGATTCAATAGCGAGATACGGAAGATAGAGGATGGTATTGGTACCAGACGGGTGCAGCAGGCATGAAAACTACGAACAATGGCTATGTTGCTTCTATTCTATAGAGGAAGTGGAAGACGAACAATAGAGAATGCATGCACTGGCGTGAATGAACAAGGCGGTGGACAAGCGAAGTGAAGAGAAAGAACCACTAGAACCATGGTGTCTTGTTAAGTGATACATCTGAAACTCTGCACGCATACAGTACATGCAGATGAGGGTCCGCCTTGCTGACCATGACCAGAATGCAAATCAGAAGGCTGACTCCATGCGAGCTAGGTTGAAGATGAGGCCGTGTAAGTCCCCGATTTAGGTCACCACAACAACAATCGTTTGCGCGGATTGGGCGAAGACGGGACGGATGTAGCTCTGAAACAACATGTCGACCTCATCTTCGCTAAAACTCTGACAGAAGGCGGCGCGCTATGACTGGAGGATAGTTCTCATCAGGCTGGAAGAACTGGGCTGTTCAACGCACATGTGTGGCACCGTGCTTGCCGGCTAATCGTTGAACGTGGCATAGTGCATGTGAACAAGGAATTCCTCGCTATGGCGAAGAGAATACTTGTAGCTATGAGTAGTCTCTCGCCGAAAACGGACATGTTTGGCGAGGCTTTTCGTTGATGGGTTGGCTGAGCACAGGAAGGGAGAGCTTGAAGAAAGGGTGAGAGCCGGAGATCCACGCCGAAAGAAGGAAAGCGCGGTCTTTAGCGATGTCGAGGATCACTCAGCCACATCCCCAGCTTGAGGTCTCTCCAAGTTGGTAATCCCAAAGACCATGCCACTGGCGCTGCGCTTCTGCAACGTCGATGCACACTGTTGTGCATCCCGTCTTCTTCTTCCCGATGGCCCGAGCGAAACATTCGCTTACCGACATGAAGCGCGTGCACGTCAAGCTTCGGGTGCCGAAAGTTGGCCTGTCGGGAGCATCCGCTACTCGTGAACCTGAATAGAGCATTTTTGGACATTTTGCCCGTATGTGACTGGTCTCAGCGCAGAATTTCGATCCGACACTCTCCACACATTGGAACTCCGACACGTAACGAGCAGGCATCATCATCAAGCTAGGAACTATTTGATATTCCTACTCAATCTAGCTGAATTTAGAAGCCGACCAACAAACTTCGTTCCCTGGATCATCAACTGGCTGTATTTTCTCATAAACTCACAATAATGCGGCCATTGCCTCGATCTAAGCTTCTCTAGCTGCTGTATAAGGCGCTGCAAGGAATAGGGCATCACTACTGTGTCTACTGGGTATGCCTATCCAGAGTTCGCCGATCACCATACGCTAAACTACGATTGTGCAAATAGTAGAGATATGAATGAAATGTGCTTTTGACGAGTGTAGCATAAAAGAAATTGGCATTTATATCAACTCCAGTCCCACCAGAAGGCCGTGAAGGCTGGCACAGGACATGAACCCATTCTGTTTGTCAACGACCTGATGACGATATGAACCCTCAACGTAGTCTCTGCACTACGAAATATGAGCCAAACTACCTCAAACCACGGTTCCAGGCTGAACGACACGCTGGTATGCTGTGTTGTTCCACTCTTGTTCAGTGAGATGAACTGAGCTAGCCTGGTCCTCAGCGAGCTTTCCCATCGATCTAACGCCCTTGCCAGCAGGCACCCAAAGGTCAGAGAACACACGACCAGGGTGGAAGAATGTCAATGCAGCGACTGCAAGAATAATCATTGGCCCTTCGAAGATCATGAACGTGGCTTCGTGGTTGGCGAGGTCACCGCTGAAGCCGTCCCAAAGTTCAGCGACACGGTATATGCAGCGAACATAAATAAGTATAGTCGCAGCGAAAAGACTCCATTGGAAGAAAGTGAAATTTTTCGTAGAGCGAAGGTGGTCATAGAGCGGCGGCTGTGTAGACGACAACCTGCCGGAGATCTTCGCACGTCGTACCCGGAAGGCGAAGTCGGCCCAAAGTGCGAGGAAGAGAGTCATGGTGATGACCTGGGAGATGAGACCAGCGATCATTATATTCACGCCCCTCCTCGAGCCGTGTTTATCTTTGGCAGTTGCGGCCATACCACCACCAATAGCCTGGAGGACGAGAGCGAGTACGTCGCAACCCACAAAGATGTAGGTGTACATCCTGTGCTTCAGCCTCGAGTGCTCGGCATCGATAGCGACGGTCACGCGACCGAACGAGAGATAGATGCCAGCGGTCAGGAGTGCAGGTGCGATAGTGAGTGGGATGAGGTTCCTGACTCATGTTAGTCACGCCGGCACCTCGTGAACGCGAAGACTTACACGAGGAAATTGTTCATGCTGAAAGGATTCAGACTGAGCATGATGCGGCCAATGTATCCCACAGCCTCTCCAAGTACGCCAGCGCACATGGTTCCCATAAACGACCATGTCTTGTTTCGAACGCCGTACCACAACTGCCCACCGAAAAGCGCGAGGAAAAGCAGCATGTAGATTACGTTTCCTGCAATATTGGGTCGATACTCGATGACTTGCCACGACTCTGGACATCTGCCGACTTTGCAGTATCTCCTTGACATCGCGATTTTGAGTGGATCGGTAGTGTTCACGTCGATGTGATCCGGGTCAATGCCATTTTCATCGACTGCTCTTGCGATAAGATAGAAAGCTGTATCCATGATGGCTGATGTTGAGTGAAGAACTGCGAAATTGTTTGGCTGTGTAAACAAGAATGTGCGGAGACAAGTGATGTTTCAATTAGAGACTCTGGTATCTAAGTCGTCATGAGCAGCTTGGATATATATACAGCATTCATGTTCCGATGGAAAAGACGACCAATTCCTGATTGGTTCGCTCGTTCATGTTGACCCGACTAAGCTGTGCGGCCCGGGCGTAAGATGGCGGGCGGTGCAGGTTGTGGGCCTTATTGCTCCCGGCAAAGTCGAGTCTTACACATTGACATGGCTTCGCAATCTGTAGGTCATTTTCGAGTTCGAGTGGAGATATGATTATTGATACGCTGTGTGCAGTTCTGACTGATCCTGGTATCTCGTCGACTGAATGGTAGGTTCTTGAATGTCACCCGAGTACAGACAGGCAGTCGTGAAGTTTAGCACACGAGCATGCCAGAACACAGAATGAGTTTGGGATATTGCAGAGTGCTTCCTCCGCCATGAGAGTATTTTGCGGTGGTATTTCTGGAGGATGGAAGTCATCCGAAATCTGTCTCGAGCTTGAACCCAATCGAAGCTTTGCAAGCACACTGCAGTCCAACCCAAGAGTCCGCGTGATGTGCATTAGCTACCGCCGATCTCGCTAACGGCTTGCGCATCGCTGCGGTGAAACCCAACGTGTACTTGCGATTGATACATGACGTTTAGAGTAGAAGCGAATGAGGGTGGTGGAGGCGCAGGTTAAGGTAACCCATAACGCACGAAAAGCGACTAGGCGTGCAAAAAACGGTTGGTAGCAGGATGTGGCAGTCCAAGGCGATTGGCTCGTTGGAGTCAATTATCGAAATAGCAATCAGATATGAAGGGATGAAAGAGGTTGGTTGTAAGGCTGAAACGGAAAGATCTACCATGGTAAATGTCAACAATGTACGAGCGGACCAATCACGCACAGGATCGCTTCCCCACTGCCTCTCCAAATCTTAGGCCTCCCAGGCGCAGCGATCCTACTAGCAATAGCCACCACTACAGCGGTGTTCTCGACCCGGAGTAAGTCGGTGAACACTTTTAAGGTCTATGCAAACCTCACCGGCGCGCATAGGATCAAAAGACTCAGCCTGCTTTAGGATGTTCACTCTCTCGCCAACCCATTTGTGTACGTTTTCTCCAAATGTACCGTACCTTATCATTTCGCTACTTCTTTATGTTTATAGGCCTGTGTTCTACCTTTCGAAAGAGCGGCTCGACGGCTGCTGGGTGTATACGAGGGGCCGTCAAGTTGTCTTCTTTTCGTACGCTGTAGTCCAAGCGAGGGAAGCAACGAGTGATGCCAGGTTTGTATCCTCACGGTTGTGAGCAAAGCCCTAGATTCATCTCCAAAAGTTTGCTTGGAATTGCCACTTTTGTACTCCTCCCCTCACGTGACGTACGCTCATGCAACAACGCTCTAGTTTATACTTTCGTCAACCGTTGCGACCTGTTACATCAGCCTCATTGTTCGTCCTCTTCCACCGCAGTTCTCCCTGATCAGAAGTTTTCTTTCTTCTGGTTGCGCCGACCTTGCTCGTGGTCTGTGATTTAACTTCAAAAGCCATTATCGTGCAACGAGAAGCAATATGGCTAGGTCCATGTTCAACACCACGCTAACGGAATTATCGACAACAGGTATTACGCTATTGATGGTAAGGGCGACCATTCGGCGGAAGACGGGTTAGGGCTTCCTATCAACTTGCGTGAAGACGATATAACTATCGGGATATATCGCACAGGCTTTTGCACTCGGTGAACAGCTATATCACTCAAGGTGAGGCCCACATGCGCAAGACTATTGCGATAGAAAGCGTAGGAGTTGGTATGATGAGAGTAACAAAGATATGTTGTGGTTGTCTGAATCAGCTTCAGATCTAAGGATCAGAAACGCTATTGTTGGTTCCGCTCCATCCCAAGTCGTCCACGCAAACGCAGGCAAATCAACGCAGCCTAATTTTCTTGGCGGCGCGACTCGGACACGCACTTTGTGCGTAGAAATGAAGGCAGCTATGGCCGTTCACGATATACGCAAATATCACATTAAGTGAGATCTCCTCTATAAGATATCCTGAATCACCACGGCGATTACAGTACGAACATGGCACTCGACCCAGTGGCGTTTCGAGCTATACTAGGAGCCATAGGTACAGGTCGAAGCGGAGTTCTAGGACTCGAAATAACTCTTCAAATCGTTAGGACAGGGTTCACGTTCAGAGCAGGCATCCTGGGAAAAGGACGCCAGTCTCGTCGTCGAATGAAGCTGGAAGAGCGAGACACTATCGCCATCCCAGGACTAGATCGCCGCCAAACAGCGATCGCGATCGAGGATCCAGTAGGAGACTGCCGATCTGTGAGAACAAAATTTTGAATCTAGGTGACTTACCTTTCCTAGGTACTGCCGGACCTTCAGGTGGAGGTGAAGCGTCTCCGCTGCCTCGAGTCGTGGACACGCCAAATCGTGCAAACGACACGGAAGTATCGAACAGATACGAGCGATAACATCACATTGTTTTGCTAGCCAGGATAGCAAACAATCGCTTGCTGGAGATAAAAGGATTACAGTCGCGGACTGAGGTCGTAATCGACGAGACCGATGGTTCCTCGAAGCCGCCGTGGTTTTCATACGCAAAACAACGTAGATGTGATTGACTCGGAGAATGGCCGACAACAGGAACGCACCCCTCAGCGGCGATTATTGGAAGGGCACCATAGCATATCTATTGTTCCACGGCAGCGGCGTGGCCGAAGTTCAGGCTTGATGAGCAATGGTCCTCCAACTGGGTCCTCTATTGAGATGCGGATACCTCCAGCATCCAATGCGAAGTCTGCGCGTAAGATAAGGGGCATCATTGCTATTGGCGCTGAATACGCTTCAGGTCCGCGGTCGAGCCGTGGTTTGAACACGATCGCGAGGCAGGCGCATTCATGGTGTAATACTTCGTGGATACCTTTGATAGCGAATAATTGCTCATATCACAAAGAGGTGATCTGCGCGTATGATGGTATGTAATAAGCGCGGTAACGTAATTACTTTGATGTAGCATCAAACTGGGCGTCCCTCATCTCGGTGAATCGATGTTAATTGTCGTGCCTCGATTAGACAAGGACTTCTGATGTCAAAGTTTGATGGGTGTTCCGATCCTGACGTTTGTAAATGGCTTTGCTCACCAGGCTCTTTGGAGTGATTATGGTGATCGAGTAGAAGGCCGATTATAGGAAGATATGACCTTGCGGTGCTGTAGAGTGATATCTCAGCCTACCCGTATACCCTTCACAACTGTATGAAGAGTATATCCAGTCGTCTCTCAGTTTGCGACGCACTATAAATATTCGATAGAAACAGCAAGTTTGAACAGAAGCTGCTCGATTTTATGGCCTCAGACTAAGTAAATATCCTGTTCTTCTACATCCCATTCTACCCAATCTTTGCTATCATCGTGGCCCAGCGGGTCAACGAATTGAACACTACCTCCTGCTAATTCGTACCCCTGCTTCCCCATCAGATATGTTCCTCCAAGAAACTTATAGTGTTTTTCCTGAGCGACTTGTCGTAGAATGCAAGGTATGTGGCAACCGAAGATGATCCCACATGTATCTCCTGTTTGGGTAACAACTGGAGCTAAACCCATGTATCCGCGGTTCGTGACGATGAATCGGGAACCGCCCAATTTTTGCCCTATAGGATCGAGAAACTGCTCCAAAAAGCTGCTATCGTCTGGTGACAGGTGCTCATGGTAGGATTGTTGGCTGGTAGCAAACACCCCGTGCTCGGCTTCGATATATGCCATGAACGAAGCTCTCCATTGCCGCCACTGTGTCCACGGCCCGTAGTGTATACCAAGGGTCAAAGCATCAAAGAAGGCGTCCATTCTACGAGAAGACCCGTAAGGTGAGTTCTCAAGCATGTGACTCATAGTTTTCCATAGCGCACTCATTATTTGCGTTGTCGTTGTATTAAATTCGAAGGCATCTGAAATATATCGTACATAATCTGTAATAACGCCCTTTACGGAAAGAACCCCATCGTGCATGATTTTCGGCTCACTAAAGGATCCGTCGCGGGAACTGAGCGGTACGCCATAATTTGGAATCTTTGACGCAATAGACCACCAAACGATATCCCAGCGGGGTACCCATGAAGGTATATCAACAGAACCAACATCGAGTCCATGAGCAACATAGTCTAATGGTCGGGTACTCTTCGTTACTTGTATGTACTGTATTGCAAATAGCCGATACACTTCCGTAGGTGCTAGATTGTAGTCAGGCTGTGTGCTACCCACCCATTTAGGATCTTCTGACAATTCCACAAAAGCGTAAATTCTGTCGCGCGGATCTGACAGTTTCAGCACTCTCGCGATGTCAAGGTCTTCTAAAACGGATTGCGGCATGTAATCTTGCTCAGCTCTGAAGATTTTGTCCAAGATCTTATTGCGGTGTCTGAAAGCATCGTAATGGCTTTGAATTGACGTAGTGTGGAATCCAAGTGCATAAAATTGCGATTCTGCACGGCGAAACTGCCACGAATATACGCGCATCAACTCTTCCCAGTCAAACTCGCTTTGGTGCCAGATGACCAGACCATACTGCGCGAAGGCCGCTTCCCTGACAACCCAACCGCGCTTGAACCAATCTTGATGGAAAAGATGAAATAGAGATGTCCATCGGGAGTCCGACAAAATAGGATCGTTCTCCTCAGGATAGGGAAAAGAGTCCCACGACATGTCGATCTGCTTGCAAGTATCGTCTATCATCCGATTGACGTCGTCTAACAAAGAGCACAGTTGCGGCCCATGGCCATCATCGATGGATCCAACCCAGATCAGAACACACTTTGCTGAGCGGTAAATATCCCCCATGATCGCAACTTGATGGCCTTTCTCATCGAGATCATCTTGATTGATACAGATCCCATCAGCCCATAGCTTACGCCGTCTATAAGGAAGTCGGACGCGTCTTAGCACATTGGACAAACTCTTCGTGATCTTGATGATGCGGTCATCGCAGATGATCTTTTTGTTCTTCTTGCTCTTTCCCCAGACGTACGAAATAGCCTCAAATTTCGTTTTTGATAAAGGCGCTGTCCGTAAACTGCATCTGAGTGGGTCATTGCCTGTGCCACGGTGAAGGATAATGTAGCGGAAGGATCCATCTTGAGGCAGCTCTTTGTACTGATAAGACTGACTGTGAGAGCGCGAAGTTTTGTGGCGTTTTCGTGTCATGGTGAACGCTTCACCAACACTACAGGCAGAGGGTAAGTGAAGAGTTCTGGTGTTGGAAGTCGACCTTGGTTGGAGAGCCGAATGTGAGTAAAGACAGTAAGTTGTGAGGTTTGGGAATGGAAAGAGATGTTGGGTGAGCAGGCTCGAAGCGGGGAAGTTGACTTCCGACCACGTGCATATCATCTTCAGCCTCACAACTGCCAAATCGCCCCTACAGACATTGAAGTATTGATGCAGGATCCTGGCTCAGACTTGTATCGGTAAATTGTGTAAGCCTAGGTCACACTCAATAGTGCCATCGTACGCCGATATAGCTTCATGAAAACTATCAATCTTAGGGCCACTACTTCCTCGCCATATCCTGCGCCACAATCGCCCTCACGTACCCCGCCACCCTCTCTGCAACGGGCACTCCATGGCGAATACAAAATCCATGTGGCCAACTTTCCCTCTCATCAATCTCCATGATAGGTTTCCAATTATCGCCTTGCCCCTCAACCTCATCCACACCATCCCCGCAGCTAAACCTTCCACGACTATGAATCAGCGCATCCCTCGTTGCATCTGCGACCCAATGGTCTTGACGCGCAAACAAGAAGCGCAAGATGGGCCGGGGATGCGGATGTGTGGTTGCGGGTTCTGAAGCGGCGGCGCCCCAGATCTCTTCGTCCCAGATGTCGGTGTCGATCTGGAACATTTCGTCGCGCGCCATGTGCAAGGCTTGGTGAATGCCGTGCGGGGATTTGACAAAGGCCGCAGTTGTTTGAGCAGCGTCGGAGGGGAAATCCATGAATTTGGCTATTAAGTTGGCAATGAGGGAGATTGGTAACAGGAAAGTAAGGAAGTTGACGAAAAGTGCTGCAAAGGTTGCAAAGTTGGAGTTCTTGAGGAAGGGCTGCACGACATGATTAGCATATGCTGGAAAAAGCAGCGCGGGGATGTACATACGGAAGCTTTCATCCCACTCTCACTCCTCGCAATATCCACAACCGTAGGAAACAGTCCAATCGCTCCTACAACCCTCGTCTCAAAGTCCTCTCCCGCCATCCCATGCGCCCTCAACCTGCGAATAATCTCCAAGGAGATGTACGCACCCACCGAATGTCCCACAAGAATTACCCGCACATCCTTGGCTCCCTGCTCTTTAACTTCTTCAACCAAATCCGCTAGCTCGTCTTCAGAATGCCGGATCTGGTCTTGCAAGCCGTATGGCGGCTGTTTCCGCCATTTCATCGTCTTGATCTCGGCATTGTTCATTTCAAAACCAGATAGACTTCTTCCGTAGACCTGAAATTCGACATCGCGATCGGATGCCGTGTTGTGACTCAGTAGGCCGTACAGATGTGTTAGAAAAGTGCGGTAGTATTCTACGAGGCCAGGGTTGCCCGTTACAAAGTAGATGAGGTAGGTTCTTGACGTGGCTTTTTTGCCAGGCTCTGGGGGTGTGCGGAGATGTATTTGGGAAGCTGGGGCAACGGAAGACATTTTTGGTGGGTTGCTTTACGTTGGATTGAGATTGTAGAGTTGCAGAAGGGGCTGGAGAGCGATTTTATGAAGCGCGACTTTTGATATCTCGGTTGCGCTAGGTTCAACCTGGGTTCATGCATAAGGCGCTACACTTGGTGTGGTATAGCGCAAATCACAACCATCTAGAACGTTGGACAAGTCTGACCGACAAAGATCTACCTGTTGCCGCGATTCTGACAAGATATTTCTTGAGCAACATTGATCTCAAAAGATGCTGACTACATACTTGGAGATTGCGAATTGATATTGCCCAGGTACTGATCGGGTATCACTATATCCTTCTGCCTTACATCATTGTCGTTTGACTGTCACACTCGACCGCTCAATAACATCTTCAGTCCTGCTTCAGAAATAACTCCAATACTCCAACCATCCTCTCTTTTCTAGCCGCCTTATCTCTCTCCCTTCCTCCGTCCTTCCACTTGACCAAACAATCCGCAAAGACGACAGCATAGTTCCTTACAATAAGTTGTCGGATAGCCACTTCGGGCACCTTGCTTAATGTTTTCCTCCTAATCTTTGCCTGAGGACTGGACGGAAGACTCATGTCCGCGCTCACTCTCTTATTGCTATCCTCTGGACGGGGCTTGGATACCTCGGTAATCTGGTTCGCGATGTTCTGGAGGAAGGAGAGGATGAGAAGAAACGTAGCGTTGTGGTTGGGTGCTGTTGCCAGTATCTCTAGGATAGTCATCTTCTCATCGTCAGTAGAGAAGTCGAGAGAAGGTGTAGTCTTCAAAGCCTTCTCGTGGCGAGCTAGTGCTTCTTCCAACTTCTCCCACAGGCTTTTAGTAATCACGCCGTCTGTAAGGCTATTTAGGAAGGTAAGGAGAGCTTCAGCCAACATCTCGACACGCTCTTTGCTGCGCGTCTCTGGGTAAAACGCATCGATGAATGGCGTATCGCAATCAAGCGCGTCATAGATGTCAGCGAGCTCGTCCTCTCGATCATGGCCGTTGTCACTCCGACCTTTGACAAAAGGCCACCCTGCGTTGTCCTGCCACGGCGCCCTCTCTCCATCGCTCTTGGTCATATCCCACTCGGCTAGGGTTCGCTCCGTCAAGTCTTCTATCGCCTCGGTCAGCCGAAATACTTCCCTAGGCACGCTCCATTTTACCTCGCCACGGGCTGGTATCTGGTTCTGCAGCTTTCTGACACCGCCTTCGGGAATCTTGATCAGCTTGTCGATGGATCGTGCAAGTACGGACGGTTGCCAATGAGCGCGGATGGGAAGGAAGTGGTCTCGTCCATTTTCAACGCGTAGGACAAGGATTTCGTCAATCATGGCATCCCCTTCGTTGAGATTGCGTACTGAGTTTAGACTTTCAATCTTGAGTTTCAGTTCAACATTGAGAACGTCTGCAGGTGCGAGTGTGAAGTACTGATGGATGTCATCTGGTCTTGGCTTATCGAGCTTGTCGTGCGCTTTGTCAAAAGTGACGGAGAGCCAGGACGGGAACGGACCAGCAGGTTGATTTTGGTCTACCGGGCGATCGGCGAATCCGAAGGTAGCCGGTACACGTCCAGTGTTTGCGATGGTAATATTGCGTCGGAAAGACTTTGCAAACTTGACGTCGCCAAAGTCTACTCCTTCAAAGGTGCTGTCTGTTTTGTTCCGATCGTCGGGGGAAGTACCAGTCGCGCGTTCTACCACTACTGCGATCGACGGTCGACCTTCGTTCTCTTGGCGATCTACCTCGCGAGCCACCTCGCCGTGGATGGCAGTCTTCAGCTCCGGTATGACGGCGTCATATTGTAGTTTGAAGACAGCGTCCAAGGGCTTGTGGTCGGAACTGAGGACGCGCATGTGTGTAGTATAGTATTCGAGCAGTAGCTCAGCCTAAACCATAACAGTCAGTCAAGTATTCTCCCCAATGTCCAGAACCAGACGGATTGCAGTAAACTCACAGCAAGATCATCCTTGGTCTTGATTGGCTCAGGCTCTGGGTCATCGTTTTCCTCATACTCGTCGTATGTGTCGCCATCGGTGTCTGGGTCGTACTCGTACATGACGTCATACTCCCCTGGCACGTCGATGCCTTTCAGCTTCATCTCTTCATCATGTTGACGTGCTGCTTCTTGATCTTTGACTCGAGTGTCATACTGCTGTTTAGAGGCTCGCGTCCGGTAGAGGATGCGATCGCACCAACTGGGACAGCGGCGCTTCTCGCTCGAGTCAAAAACGCCAACCTTGCCGATGTCGTACTTGTAAGACGGCAGGAATCTAACAGGGCCTTCTTCCCACCCATCGTGGAAGGCCTTGCCGCCTTTCATCATCTGGTGTAACTCATCGTGGGGTAGTAGTGATGAGATGGTGGTTTGTAGCGAAGCTGGATCGAGCTCTGCTGGATCGGGAACTGCATCGCGTGTATCCTCAGATGACTGTTTCGAGCCATATGCAGAGTCGTCAGAGGTTGACGGCCGGCCATCGTTCCCTTCCTTGTCCATGTCTTTAGTGTGTATCGTGAGCAAGCGGCGAACATCATCGCCCGGCATGCCGTTGAGACGGTAGTTCAGATCGCCAAACCAAAAGGCAAAGTCCTCTTCACCCAAGCCTTCGCCGCTGTTTTGTGTAGGCCCCAAGGCATCTACGATAGGGTTGAACCGTGTTCGGGAGTTGATTTGAGCAGCGTCCCAGTTCCTCCTGTCCAGCGACGCCTTGTCTGCACCAGCGGCCAGATGCGAATTTATGAAGACCAGCCGAGTTGTCTCCCCCAGAACGATGCGCGTCGTCACGGCACCTTTGTTGCCCATGTATCCCATCAAGCCAGTGCCCACGCTTGTCGTGCTGACATTCTTGATCTGCGGGAGGACTTCTGGGGAAGCGTAGATGACTAGCCACAGGCCGATAAGTTGCTGCTCCGATACCAACTGATAGCCCTTGGGCAAAACAGCTTCGAGCGACGCTTTCCATTTGTTCGCCGTGGTGGGGTCGGTGTATGGTCTCAGAGCTTCTGCCGCGGATGTGATGTCGACAATCTCCTGTAGACCCAGCGCATAGATATCGATGTCTTCTCCACCTGGCACCTCGCCTGCTTCGTGATGAGGGACAGTCGGCTCCAATGTGCTGTGCCTTGCTTCCTGGGCTGGAACGCTCTCCCTGCCGCCCTTGCCGTGCTCTGCAGAGTCCGACACGCCTAGTCCAGCGAGAGACTCTTCAATGCCCTTGCCCTGGACGAACCACTTGCCGATGTCCTGTTCTGTGCCCTTTTGTGCGCCCGTATTCCACGTGCCGACTTTGATGCGCACATTGCGCGGTCGCGTGTATTCGGCTCGGCGCTCATAGAGAGCTTGGGAGAGGGACGTCTGGTGTGTGGTGATGGAAGCTATGCTCGGAGTGCGCGGATCGAGAAATGCGCCAGGAATACTCGCATCCAGGCGCTCAGTGGAGCGCACAGAAGAGGCTTCGGGCGCCATGGCGGGGTCGAGGAAGAAGGATGGCGGCGGGTGCGGGTGCGGGTGCGGGTGCGGGTGACGGGGACGTGACGGAGGTTTGCAGGCAAGGGATGCAGGGTCTGCGTGAGTGAATGCGCAGTCGCCCCATGATGATGGCTTGATGCGATTAAGCGGCAGGCAGTTGAGCCACAGTCCGCTGTTAGCAATGACGATGGTGAAGCCGCGGACAGGGCCATGGCGGTGCTTTGCTAGGCCCAAGCTTGCCTCGACATCCCACGCCGCATATGCAGGACCTCTCTACCCGTGCCTGACTACCCCGAACGCGACTCACGATCCATTTTCCTTGCCCTCCACCACCACCACCACCACAACAACAACAACAACAATAACCAACATCCATAACAAGACATGGCGCCACACCGTAAAGCCCGCGCGAATCAGCCCCAGCCGCCGCCCCAGCCGTCAGACTACGAGACAGACGCGCCGCCTGCCGTCGACGTGCCCCTCCCACCTCCGCGATCCAACGAAGAGCTCAACTTCGCCGTCCTCCGTCGCCAGTATGCCGATCTAGCATCCATTGAACACGTTACCCCGTATGCCGCGCTATATACCTTCAACCTCGAAACACAGTCATGGGAGAAGGTGGGCATCGAAGGCACCCTCTTTATCTGCCAGCTCACGCCCTCACCCATTGGCGCTGAGCGATACTGCGCCATCATTCTCAACCGTCGCGGTCTAGACAACTTCTACCAGGAGCTCACTAGCAGTGAAGAGATGGAGATATCAGATCCTTATGTCATCATCCAGGGCGAGCAAGTCTACGGCATCTGGATCTTCGCCGACCCACCACCTGCCTCGACCGCCAACTGTCGCGTCGAGACTGCCGCCAAGATGATGGACATCGCCGACAGGGCAAGAGCGAGCCGCGAAGCCCTTGAGCCCACTACCAAGGCGACCGAGCCTGCCGAAGCCGCTTCCTCTGCCCCCATGGGCCGCCAGCTGTCCCTGCGAGAGCTCTTCGGTCAACAACGCGAACAAGATGCCGGTTTCAGCATCCACAACCACAACACTCACCCTATGCCCAGCATGCATCAGCAGCAACAAGGATATATGCCGACTTCTGGTCCAGCGCAAAACGATGTGCTAGGTCAGCTCTTCATGAAGGCAAAGCAGAATCACAACGGCCTTGGCTGATGTGACCCTACTCCAGGTATCGTGCGGCAGAGATTGTCGGGCGATCGCAGATGCTCACTAGTAGTGCCGCAGTCAGACGGCACGATCGTTGCTTCATCGGAGCTCGACGCTCAAAACACATTGAAACAGCAGCCATCAAGGAGTGCTTCCGGCCATACAGTCAGCAGACGAGAGCGCACCATTGAGTGCGAGGAAGACGGATGGTCAGCCATCATCGGCCACCTTCTCTACGATATCACATGGGTGCTGTTGAGATCAATATCCATCTTCATACTGTATTGGCTTGCCACGCACGCGGAAAGCAAAAGTCGGCAAATTATCTATATTCTTGTGTCTATCCAGATACTGCACATTGGCGCGAGCCTGAAGGACTATTGGTATGGATCTCTCAAGAAAGGCTGCACATGTAGTTGCAGGTGCCAGCAGTCTTCTGAGCGCCTGTACGAAGGCAGATCAATTGTAGTATAGAGGGAGGACAGGATGCTATCCAGCCTGCGTTCTTGCGTATGTACACTAGTATTCGATCGATACCCCTTTTGAAGTTTGATCTTACTCTGCAATGGGATAGCATCAGCCGATTGACTTCCAGCTATTTCCCTATCTATCTCTTGTGAGCTAACGTTGCTCCTCCCGTACTTGGTAAGGGACCTGGTAGGGCTGAGGGTGACCTCACACTCCCGCAGATCCCTGCATGTCTACCCCACGGCGGGGCATCCGCTCACCCAAAAATTTCCAGTCGCAAACATCTTCAACATACAACACTCCAGTATACACACGCCACACACACCATGTCTGAATCTCTCCGCATTCTTCTTGTCGGCAACGGCGGCCGCGAACATGCCATCGCCTGGAAACTTCTACAATCGCCTTCGATCGAGCACATTTACGTCTGCCCCGGTAACGGCGGGACTGCAACCCTGAACAGCAAAGTCACCAACGTAACACAAGTAAAGGACACCGACTTCACTGGTCTCGTCAACTTCGCGAAAGAGAAGAACATCAACCTGTTAATACCCGGACCTGAAGCACCACTGGTAGCAGGTATCGTCGACTACTTCCAAGAAAATGGTCTCAAGAGCATCAAAGCATTCGGACCAAGCAAGGCTGCTGCGCGAATGGAGGGCAGCAAGACATTCAGCAAAGATTTCATGAAGCGCCACAACATCTCCACAGCCGCGTACGAGAACTTCAGCAAATACGATGACGCAAAAGCGTACCTCGACTCCATCTCACACAACGTTGTCATCAAGGCATCAGGTCTGGCAGCAGGCAAGGGTGTAATCATACCACAGAGCAAAGAGGAGGCACATGCAGCACTCAAAGACATCATGTTAACACGAGAATTTGGAACTGCAGGTGACGAGGTTGTCATTGAGGAGTTCTTGGAGGGAGACGAGTTGTCGATCCTCACATTCAGTGATGGCCGCACGATCAAATCCCTACCACCAGCACAAGACCACAAGCGTATCTTCGACAACGACGAGGGACCAAACACAGGAGGAATGGGAACATATGCACCGACACGCATTGCGCCGAAAGACGTCCTCGAGCGTGTAGACAAGGACATCCTCCAACCCACTGTTGATGGCATGCGATCCGAAGGCTTCGAGTTCAAGGGCGTACTATTTACCGGACTCATGATGACAAAGAATGGACCCAAGGTGTTGGAATACAATGTTCGCTTTGGAGACCCAGAGACACAGAGCTTGCTGGCGCTCATGGAAGGCGATCTCGCCGAAGTCATGGCCGCATGTGCGGACGGACGGTTGAAGGACGTGGATGTCAAGGTCTCGAGCAAGAGCGCGGCGACAGTGGTAGTAGCTGCTGGTGGATACCCCGGCAGCTATGCCAAGGGCACAGTCATGAAGTTGGATACTGTACCAGAAGGTTGGTTTGCTCTTGTATGCCATGATGGAGTTAACAAATGATGCTAACGCGGTGTAGATGTCGTTCTCTTCCACGCCGGAACCTCTTTCTCGGACAACACACTCAAGACCGCTGGTGGTCGCGTCATCGCTTCGACAGCTACTGCACCTACTCTGGAGGAAGCTGTTGCGAAGGCTTACAAGGGCGTCGAGTGCATACACTTCGAGGGCATGCAGTACCGCAAAGACATTGCGGGACGGGCATTGAAGAAGTAGAGGCGGACATTAGGGAAAAACATATGGCGTTCAAGATGGGCATACCAAAGACTTAGGATCAAAAGAGTGGATATGCGCAATACGATAGGCTAGAGTCGAACATTGGATGATTGACGAAGATAAAACATCTATATCTGAACTATACTACCAGCTGCCGAGAGTCAACGATCACGATGGATCGCCCTATCATTCTAGTGTGGAAGCACACAAGGTAGACTACACGTTCCGATAAAGCGTACTGCCTTTCTTGGACACATGCTTATCGGATGACATTACCTACTCAGCCTTCTCAATGGCAACAAGTGCCGCAACAGATTGAGAATTAAACGGTCGGCGAGATCGGTTGTTGGCGATTGTTACCGGAGCATCGGGCTGTAGAAAGAAGTCTTGATGGCCACCTACCTACCTACCTACCTGGCCATCGTCTACACGGACAAATTTGAGTCAGCTGAATAAATGCGCGTCGCTCAACAAGGCTTTACTTGATGAACAATCGTTGTGATCTCCCTTGACAAGAGACATCCTAGGAGCTATCATCGTCAGTCGCGATCTTGCGCTTTTTCTCCCTCTTCTCCTTCTTATGCTTCTTCCTCTCGTTTGATACATCCTCTTCTTCCTTTTTCCGCTTCTTTTGAAGAGCATCTTGGTCGTCTAGCACATTACCGTTTGGCTCTTTGGGATTGAGGGTCGCCTGATGTTCAGTGCCTCCCGCAGCCTTTTCCTTCTCTTCTTGTTCTTTCAGTCGTGCCGCTCTCAGCTCATTCTTTTGCCGTATAGCGTCCTGTAAGACCGGGCCGTTCCGCTTCAAGGCGTCTGCAGCCGCAGCAACACCAGCCTGCACTTTGTTCTGACCATCGCCACTTCCAAGCCATTCGTCTTTGTAGCCCCATCCAGTGAGGTAAATACCAATGTGGTAGCATTGCACGCTATTCGAGTCGTATGTCATAGGTCTCTCCTCTTTAGTCATGAGCTTGACACCTTTACCGAGGACAAGCTTGTTGAGCTCATCTCTGGCTTGAGGATTTTCGATAATCTTCTCCCTGAAGCCGAGGAGTTGTGGTGCCCAGAGCTCAGTGAGCCATGCTTCCGCGACCTCGAATCCGTTCTCTGGATCCGACAGCACGACTGCTGCAACATAGGCTTCGACGATATCGGCAACTACTTTCTGGTATTGCTTAGAGTTTTTGTCCCATACAGCCCGGTGCTTCAGTCGATCTGGAAAACCGTAGGCGATGGAAAACTTGCGCAAAGTTACGTTCTCAACCAGTCGTTCGCGCCACATGCATAGCTCTGGGACATCGACATGTGGGAAGCGATTGTAGAGGGCGCGCGAGGCAATAAGTTCAATGTAGGCGTCGCCTAGCAGTTCGAGTCGCTCGTAGTCTAGACTAAGATCCTCGCCGAGCGTCGAGCCTGGGATGCTAGGGTCGAATATGGCGGAACGATGAGTGAAGACGGCTTCGTGGAGATGGGGTTCTTTGATAGGCGGTAGAGGAGGTAGGTCCTGGGCAGCTCGTACTGTGCGCTCGACGTATTCGGGTATGGCGACCTTGACTGCCTTGTCAGGCCTCTTCTCGTCAAGCTCGCGCTTCGCTTTGGAAGAGGTTGAATCGTTTCGCGCGCAGAGCAGTCGGCGGAGTTGGTGAGCGTGATGTAGGATATCTTTGTCTGCACCCATAGTAGCCTCGTCTGCGACAAACCTGTCCAGCAAAGCTACCAAGCCTGTCTGCATGTCCTTCGAGGACAGCTCAGGCGCTGGTGGATTAGTACTATAGCCTACGCCGATGCGATGTTGCGGCAGGTGCTTCTTGGGGTGCTGATCGCGTCCATAGTGATTGAAACCTCCGCCACGTTTCTGGGATGCCATGGTGAGAGAGTGAGAGAGGGGTGAGTTTCGGATGTGTTATCAGTGATAGATGCGGCTCGAGAAAGTTGGTGACATCTTCACTCACGCTAGTCGGGAGCGCCAAGGGCACCTCCGCGACATTTCAGATTCGCCGCAATGCCGCAGACCAGCATCGCATTCATAATGGCGGTTCCACGGCAGCGGGTATTGGACCTGATGAGGGTAGGGGATGCTCATTCCAGGACATTGTGCTTGAACCACTAACTCGTGCAGGTCCAATGCAAAGTCTTCAACACCACATACAACCCCGAACGTATCCGTCTAGGATCGCGCATCCTTCACCAGCGACTCAAGGGTCCCGCCGTCGCATCGTACTACCCGCCGCGGATAGGAACGATTAGTCAACTGCGAAGCCTCTACCCCGAACATCAGATCATAGACGAAGAGGAGGAAGACTGGTTAGAGCATCTGAATGTTGCAAAGTCAAGAGGAAAGAGTGCGCCCAAGAAGAAGAGGACTGCTGCTGGTAAGAACCCTGTACTCGAGACACCTCTTGCGAGATATACTGACCGCGCGCAGAATCGAAGAAGTTCAACAAGAGGAAGTAGGCAGACGTTAATTGATACCATTTTTGGGGACACTGATGACCGTCCGAAGACTGTTGATAATGACATAGCGTACGACGAATCAAGTATGCAAAATGCATGTCGCGGCGTTGGGCCTGGACAAGTTTATCATATTTTACTCTTGACTTCTTCCACACCTTTCGCTTTCCATTCCCTCGCGAATTCTTCATCCCACGCTGTTCTTACATCGAGATGCTCTTTGATTACTGGCACATTCACTTTATGGTGCTCCACTGTACAATATGTCGTCTTTCCATCCAGACTGGTCATGTCGCCTCGGATCATAGCCATCTGTTTGCCGACACTCACCACCTTGCTGTTGAGTCGCACCTTGGTGTTGATCGGCACGGCCTTGAGATAGGAGATGTTCAACGAACGAGTTACGCCGCCCATAAATTCCCAGAAGCCAGGCCGAGCAACAGGACAGAGTGCAGTGGTCGTGGACATGTCGAAAATGACGCCGGCAGCTCCTCCATGCATGACATCTACGGGACTTTAGTTTGAAGCGGTGGCAGATGCCAGGAAACAGCACCTACTGTTCAAATTCGAGAAATTAGGACCAATGAAGAGTTCATAAGTAACAGTACCTTGAAGACTTGCATCCACAAGCTCCAGATTCAACATGACCTCCCGGTCAAAGTCCTGGCGACGATTAACGACAGCTAATCCAGGGGCTCGAGTAGTCTCATACGATGTGGTTCCTGGGTCTACGAGCTGCAAGTAACTTGTACTTCTCGAACATTGCCTGTACGGCCGCCATTGCCTTCTGCCGATTTACTTGCGGATCGCCCATAGTGAACCTGGAACAAGGTAGAATCTGGCTGAGACTATCGCTGCTATGAAGAAGTCCGGTTCGTTTAGGTTGTAGATGGCACTAAAGAGTACCTTGAGGTGTTTGCGGTGATCTCCGTCAGCATTCCACTAGAATGAACAACAGTGTGCACCTTTAGGGCACGTTGGCGCGTTAGAGATACAAATCAAGAAAACGAGCTTCTACGTAAACTACCCAAAATCTCGGAAGCCTCGCCGTCTACAGTCGAGCTATCGGCTTGGTCGGGTGATGCTGAGGGTTGGTGATCGACATGAAGCTCCACGTTGCCTCGGCTTCGCACCTAGAGCTTCCCACCCAGGACCATTTCTACAGCCATCGTACGCTCAGAGAAAACACTTCTCCTTTTCACGACATGCCCATACAATGACTCTGGAACATGTGGGAATCAGTGCCTTGATTGCCTCACATACTTCCTTGTGGTGTTTCATGCATGTGGTTCGTGCCCACATGTTCCACCTTGCGCTCACGCGTTGTTTCACGAACGGAGCCACAGGCGAACGGCCAAACTTCGTCATGACCCTAATACACTTCGGCGCTTGCCACCAATGACTATAACTCGCAACCTGTTCTATTTCTAGTCAATCAATAGATGAGGGCTTGCAGTCCGAGCTGACCTAGACCTTGCCCCCTCTATCCGATCGCTGCGCTGCTTTTAACCAGACAGCTGCCGCTGATTACTTGTGTCCACATCTCCATTCGCTACTTTGGGATTCTTGCGACTGGGCTGGATAACCATCGCACATCGTCAACATGGGCTCAGAAACAACCCCGGTATCTGCGACTCTGCGGAAAAGGGTCTTGAAAGTGCTGTTCATTTCACTACTGCTTGACTTGGTACGTCATCTTCCGTCGCGTGTAACCGCTCGCGTGGGCTGACTACCCCTTACAGATATCCTTTACATTTATCCTTCCACTATTCCCCAAACTCATCGAGTTCTACCGCAACCATGAGACTGGAGACCCCAACACGATCCTCTCCAAGATCCTCGCCGGCCTCAATGCATACAAGAACTCGTTCGCGAAACCGATCAACTCGCGCTACGACATAGTCCTGCTCGGCGGCGCACTCGGATCGCTCTTCTCTCTGTGCCAGGCTATCGCTTCGCCCTTTATCGGCACTCTTTCAGACAAATATGGCAGGCGCACAGCTCTTCTGTGGTCGATGGTGGGTAACATCTTCAGCGTTGCGCTGTGGGTCGCAGCGACTGACTTCCGGACCTTCCTTGCTAGTCGCGTGGTAGGAGGCTTGAGCGAGGGTAACGTGCAGCTTGCAATGGCCATTGCGACTGACATCAGCGACGACAGCCAGAGAGGTGCGACAATGGCGCTCGTAGGCGTGTGCTTCAGCATCGCCTTCACCTTCGGACCGGCGCTGGGCGCATACCTTTCCACGCTGCAGGTCATGGACAAAAATCCCTTCGCCATGGCAGCAGGCTTCTCTCTATTCCTCATCGTCTCAGAGACCATTTATCTGTATACCAGCCTGCCGGAGACGCTACCTTCAGCGAACAAGGCTCAGAATGGCACCACAAACGGACATGCTAAAGGCAGTGAAGCTCCGAAACCTCGCGCTCGAACGAACTCGCACTACCTACTCAACGCTACGCACTTTGCCTTCATACTGTTCTTCAGCGGCATGGAATTCTCGCTCCCATTCATGACTTACGATCTCTTCTCCTACCAGGCAAAGGACTCTGGTCGATTGCTTGGGTTCATTGGCCTGGTCGCTTCCCTGCTACAAGGGTCGGTAGTGCGACGAATGCACCCTCTAAAAGTGGTTCAAATGGGAGTCGTCAGTTGTACAATCGCATTCCTCATGCTGGGCAGGGTCCAAACGCAGGGCGCACTGTATGGAGCGGCCGCACTTCTTGCGGTTACGAGCGCGACCGTCGTTACTGGTCTAAACAGTCTCTCATCTTTTGAGGCCAGCGCCGATGAGCGAGGCAACAAGCTGGGCAACCATCGAAGCTTCGGTAAGCCAAATTATCGCAGTACTCAGTACGTCTGCTAATGTATGTCAGGTCAAATCGGTCGCTCCCTGGGTCCTCTCATCTTCTGCACCTTGTACTGGTGGGCGGGCCGCGAGACAGCATATGCAACTGGCGCTGCCGGCATGGTCGGAGTCTGCGCATTGGTCTTCGGAGGACTGAAAGTTCCTCCTGGGACGGAGAACATCAACAAGAAGGAGAAGAAGACGGTCAAATAAGAAGACGAGTGTAATTATCCGGAATATATGTTGAAGATGTGGAAAAAAAACGCACCCTACGCTGAAGACCATATGTCGCAAACGTGTCGTTGTATCCTAAAGTCCCATGGATGAGCACACGCGCTTTCCACCTGAGAAGAAATTACATCAGTATATTGTTATGCAAGGGTTATCCCGTCCTAAAGTTCTCGAAGTCATCATTGATAAACTGACTATAATATGCAGTCAAAAACCGCTTTAACAACAAGCTCTTATGGACCAAGCACACTCGTTCATAACCTCGCTCCATGTCTCGCAAAGCTTCCCTCAAGACATCTAACCGATGTACCATTCAATTGTCCGACACGCTAGGTCACCCCGCACTCACTACGCGTCGTGGCGTCTAGCCGTATCCACAGTACTGACTCGAACCTCGGCATCTCATTAGCTCCATGGTTAGCAGTAGGACCGACGACGGGCAATTGTGAAGATCACAACCAAACATTGCGCTCCCTCCTTAAGCTGGAGCTTCTTACTCTCAGTCCTTCGCTCGCGTCCCCATCGACTATTATAACACAGAAAAAAAGAGATTAATCAAGAGAAAATGGATGCAACTGCGGCTGCCGCATCTGTAGCAGCTATTTCCGGGCTAGCAGCATACGTCAACGGGAAATACCACATTGCACAGGATTTGAAGGCATTGAGGTTCAAGAAGAGGGCAGGTAGTTACTATGAAGAACTCGGTATGTATCGTCTTCCACGAGCCTTGCTAGACTCTTGCCACACCATGGCGCAAGCAGGGTACCTTTTCGGAGCTAATCAATATAGTGAGGACTAAGCGGCAATCTCTCTGGTACTCTTTTGCTCCTCACGTCCCACTTTATAGTAACAACCTATGCATCTGGTCCCGCGATAAAACTTACACATGGCAAGAAGTCCACGATCGCGCCGTTCTATGGGGAAACTTCTTTCTATCCCAAGGCGTGAAACCGGGAGACATGGTCGCTACTTATATGATGAACAGTGCAGACTTCATGGTTATCTGGCTTGGTCTCTTTTGTATCGGATGCGCACCAGCTCATTTGAACTACAATCTTAAAGGAGAAGGGTTGGTACACTGTCTCAAAGTAGCGGGTGTCAAGATTGTACTTGTTGACGAGGAAGAGGGGTGCCTCGAGAGGTTCGAGGGCGTGAGAGGAACAGTGGAAGAAATGGGTGTCACCGCTTTCAAGGTCGATGAAGAGCTGTCGAGCAAGGTCTATCAGGGAAGCACTCAAGTACCAGGTGACGAGTACAGAGAAAATGTAATCGGGACCGATCCGACATGTCTCCTGTACACATCAGGAACCACGGGATTGCCGAAAGCTGGAAAGTTCATGGTGAACCGTTATCATGAACGAGGAAATCCACAAAACCTTACATTCGACCAAAAAGCAGGTCCAAACGGAGATCGGTGGTATTGCTGCATGCCGTTGTTTCATGGCACGGGCGGCTTAGCAGTGATGGCCGGACTGACGGCTGGAGTCAGCGTGGCAATCGGACGGAAGTTCTCAGTCAGCACATTCTGGGATGACATCCACGATTCTCAGTCTACAGTTTTCGTCTATGTTGGCGAAGCAGCGCGGTATCTGCTCATGGCGCCACCACATCCAAGGGAGAGGGACCATCGTTTACGCGCCATGTACGGCAATGGTATGCGTCCGGACGTCTGGAACAGGTTTAAGGAGCGGTTCAACGTCCCAGAAGTTATCGAATTCTTCAACTCCACCGAGGGCGTGCTAGCTATGGTTGTCCATAGCAAGGGACCCTTCACAGCAACGACCGTTGCGCAGCATGGTGCTATCATCAGGCGAGCTCTTAACGACATCTACGTACCCGTGCCCATTGATCCGGAAACTGGGGAGCTTCTACGAGACCCCAAGACCGGGTTCGTGAAGCGCAACTCGTACAACGAGGGTGGCGAAATCTTGGTTGCGGTACCGAGTGAACAAGCATTTGCAGGTTATCATAACAACCCGAAAGCCACGGCGAAAAAGTTCGAAAGAGACGTATTTAAGAAGGGCGATCTGTATTATCGATCTGGCGACGCGCTCAGACGAGATGATGATGGACGGTGGTACTTTCTAGATCGACTGGGTGATACCTTCAGATGGAAGAGTGAGAACGTGTCGACTGCCGAAGTAGCGGAGGTCCTCGGAAAATACCCCGGCGTAGGCGAGGCTATCGTGTACGGTACTCTCGTTCCAAGGCATGATGGCCGCGCGGGCTGCGTAGCTTTACGGCTTGCCGATGGCGTCAGCGCCGATACGTTTGATTGGAAAGCACTGCTGGAGTACTCGAGAAGTAAACTGCCGAGATACGCGGTACCCATCTTCTTACGTTTAGTGAAAGAAGCGAGCAACACAGACAATCAAAAGCAGAATAAGGCGCCTTTGCGTGAGGAGGGCATGGAGATCGATAAGTTTGGCACTAAGGTTGTAGGGGGTGGAGACGATGTAGTTATGTGGATGAAGCCTGGCGAGGATCGTTTTGTCCGGTTTACCATGTTGGATCTGGAGGCGTTGAGAGCTGGGAAGACTTTGTTGTAGGAACCCAGACAGTCGATGAAAGCAGAGGTTTCTTTGTACTGCATATTACCGCTGATGGTAGAACGCCATGACGCTGCGTTTCCATGACAGCTCATGTGGCTATCATGACCATTTGAATGAAATCTACTAGCCCGTCCATACCTTCAGGCTCGTTGAGCCAATGCCCACCGTCATCAAAGCATTCCCATTTGACGCACATGTTCATCTCTTCGAGTCTTTTCTTAAGGTCGTCCCCATTTTCAACCGGTACAATATCATCGTCTTTGCAATGCTGCAACAGCACCGGCATCTTCAACACATCTTGGACCCTACCCGGCACTTTCGTGATACCTTGCACCTCATCTGCCAGCGGCAACCACCCGTTCAGTCCTACAAAGCCTCCAACCCGTATCCCAGAAGCTAACAGAGCAAAAATACCAGTAGCACATCCCTGACTTATACCCACTAGTATCACGTTTTGACTTCCTACAACATTCGCTTCTTCCTCGACCACCAGAAGAATTTGCGCGACGCTATGCCACAGTCCACTCTTCTGTATTTCGTTGTTCTCTTGTGGTCGCTGCACTGATGACATGTCGAACCATTGAAACTCGCCATCGCTCATGGTATAGGATTCCATTGCGCTGGGGAATACCCATTTGACAGTGGGAAAGATGTCGACGATGAATCGGTCGGAGCTATCCTCGCTTTCGAAAAGTTCGTCGCAAAAGACACTGCCATTACTACCGCGTCCATGACGTAGGATAATGGTGTGGGTGTGGGGCTGGGGCGCAGTGGGAGCGACGATCCGCGCAGAGGTGGCCATATCGAAATCCGTATCGTGATGCAAGAAGTGATATTTTATCAGCAGTGTTTCGCGTAACCGGTTTCCATTCGCGCTTCTAAGCTCCTTGTATCAAGCATCATACCGTTTGAGCATGCGCACTCCAATGATCCGTGTTTATGGTGATTTATGGACGGACCTGCGGCCTAGGCACACTCGTCAGTGTCAGCCATGGCACTCGCATCCAATCCGGGCGAGCGCAGTCGAAAATCATTCGTTCAATGCCTACACGTGCGAACCAAAGGTTTTGACTATCACAAAACCTTCACTTCTGCAATGGCGGAACCTTTCAACTGCTTAACAAAAGCTGCACCGTCATTGGCTCGCTAGTGGCCAACAAGGTCCCATTGCTTGGAAATGCTCCACTTCGCGTTGTCTCTGATCGAAGCCATGAGGATGCAACGGTCATGCTTCGCTCTCATTATGGTCGGGTTGATTATTTGCGTTTAGACAGCATGGCAAATCTTGAACAGCGACTGGTTCGTAAACTTGGTACGTCAAAACGACCTCGCAAAACCCAACGCCGAAAATCTAACTTACAGCAGATTGCTTTATACTGGTTGGAAGAAGATACCGATACATTTGACGGCAGCTAACGAAATTCCAGGTGTATTGCTGCGCCGCATACTTCTTCAATTACCTTGATCGCAGTGCCTTCGCCAATGCCTATGTGTCTGGGTTGAAAGAGTCCCTCGGACTTGAAGGCGATCAATACAGCATCTTGCTTTCCATGTTTACTGCAGGCAGCTGTGTTGGGCAGATCCCTCATGCCTTGATCATCCAAAAGCTTGCACCTCGTTTTTGGTTGCCCTTCACGTTACTAGTATGGTCTGGCCTGACGATGAGCTCTGCGGCCTGCAAAACCTACGCCCAGCTATGCGTAGTCCGGTTCTTCCAAGGCTTTTTTGAGTCGAGTCTCTATAGTGGCACCATCTACATCCTCGGTAGCTGGTACAAACCGTTGGAAATCGCCAAACGAACAGCTATTTTCACTGCTATCGGGCAGATAGGCAGCATGTTCGCTGGTGTGATGATGACAGCGATGAACGAGAGTTTGCAGGGACAAACTTCACTTCAAGGGTGGCAATGGGTCTTTATTATCAGTAAGTATCACCTCCGAAGCGAAGCGCTATCACTGACCAGTGCAAGACGGCGCGATGGGAATCCCTTTCGGTATCTTTGGACTCTTGTTCTTTCCAAATTTGCCCGAATCTACCAACGCTCCCTATCTCAGTAAGGAGGAGATACAGCTGGCGATAGACCGCCTACCACCAAAAAAAGACTGGAGCCATGACATTAGCCTAAAGTCCCTCGTTAAGCGACTGTTCGCAAAGCCGGACGTCTACATATTTACACTTTACTCTGTGGTAGCCTGCGCATTGGAGGCGATCGTTCTACAAGGCCTTTTCTTGCTATGGATGAAGGAGAACATCGAGCAGTTCCCCTCGTATGCTACCACGACCTTCCCGTTAGGTATCCAGGCCGTCTCTATTGTCTCCAACGTCGGGGCAGGCTACGTCATTGATATGACCAATCGTCGCATACCGATGGTCATATTAGCTGGACTTTTGCAGCTGATTGTCGCGATCCTCTTGCTGATACCTAAGCTTTCGACTGCTGGTACATTCTTCGCCTTCTACTTGGCAGGTACCTCGTATATCGTCAATCCTATCCTATATGGGTGGGCTAGTGTGATCGCTCAGCGCGGAGGTGACGATGCTTCCCGATCGGTCATTCTTTACATCATGAGCATGGTGCAGTCGATATTGTACACCTTTTGGGGCATTGCACTGTACCCTGCAAGCGACGCGCCATATTGGAAGAAGGGTTACATCACGATGATTGTAGTCGTCTTTGCTTTCTTCGCAGCGACTGGAGCTGTGAATTGGGTAAGTTTCGTATTGTTTCTTTAATAACGATCTACTGACCAAGCCAACAGTTGGACCAGAAATCTCAGAGAAGTGGGAGCGATGGAGCTGAAGAATTGACTCATATAAGCGAAAGACTGAACGATCGTAAAGAGGACTAGACTCAAGGAGATCAGGAGAGGAGGGCAACTGGTTACAATGTACAATGCTTTACCAAGTAGCAGTCCAACAAGCAGCACATCATCTCTCAGCGCTTATAGTTCAAGATGCATGCTACCGCCGTGCAACCCCCCAGTCATCGCAACGTCATTGAGGGGAAGGTCGACAACCGTGTACATAAACACGAACCAACTGTCGATGCGGCCAAACGTGTGTATTGCAGAATCCATGACTCTCTTTAAGTTCTCACAGTCCGTTACATCCGCTTCATGGTACTTCCAAATCGTGCAAGTCTTCTTTTCAAGGGCTTCGAGATCCACGGACGGCTGAGCAGAAAGATCAAGCAATGCTACATTACTGCCAAACTCAGCAGTGGCTTGAGAATGTCCCAACCCAATGCCGCGAGCGTCACCTACAACGTGTCAGTATCTCTGTAGAACTGTACCATACCCGACAATAAAGGACGACTCCCCAGTTACTACAATTACTTTTCCATGTATGGAAAACATATTGGATATTGGCTTGCACGATTCGGCTGCCATTCTAAGTTATCCGAAGGAAGCCGAAGAAGGCGAAAGACAAGAATACCAAAGTTCAGTCTTTTATATGCGACTACACTCCTCCAACCGACATCCGTACAAACAGTCAGCGACTAGGAATCTCGTCATCCCACGAGCGTTTCCCACCTCCGCGATAAGAAAAGTTCGCGATCTCTATCATGAATTTCATCAAAAAAGTTCTGGACGCATAGTTCCATATCATGACACACATATCATGTGCAGCTGGGTGGGAAACCATGCGGACGGAATGCTGAGTACGGTAAAGTGTCATTAGGCGGACCATCTCCGATGTCATCTGAGACTTGAATAATGATTAATGCGGATGTCTTTCGAATTGATAAGCTTGACTGCGACATGAAGCACCCTACCAATCTCCTGGACGTCTCTCCCCAGTGGCGCATAACGTTAGCACGCTACAATTTGGTGAAGTCAGAGTGACAAGAATGGCCGCTATAGTTGGGTTGCGTATGTGCAATTTCAGCTGACAATTGTCATCCGCATTACTCCCCCTTCCTCAATAAGTACTAGTACAAAAATAGCACCCATACGACTGACGGTCCGAACATCCAACCCTATCAAGCTGTGCAACTATCGCCTAGGTACTCAAAATCGAGTGGGGTGTACTCGGGAAACAAGTATCCTACGCTTCTGTAGACAACAGTCATGTTTGACAGCTCACCATGAACAGGAACAAGTCTACGCACAAAAAATTAGTGACCATCTGGGCGAAGCGTGCGTCGGGTACTTGCAGAGCTGACTTGGCGACACGGTGCTTTACCATGGCATTGATAAGCTGGCTGAGCTCATTGTGGTCGTTGTGAGTTGCCATCAGCTGCGCCTGGACAACGTGATCAGCGTCAAACACAACAACAGTGCTATCCTCGGTGGGGCAGGCAGGCATAATAATGGCGACACTATGGTCTTGGGCATGAATACTACCCTCGACATGGATAAAAGCAGCCCTGAAACCGCTTGTCTGGACAATGTAGGGCGCGCCACGCCTGAGACACGTTAGCGCTTCGTCTGGTAACATCCACAGATGCTCACGTACTCGTAAGTTGCAAATACAGCACCAGGAATACCGGCATAGTATGACTGCGCCATCTTTGGAACGACAGCCTCAGCCCCATTCTCGACATAGTTCCTGACACCTAAAGCGTGATCATGATGATGATGCGTAGGCTGCGCAGAGTTAAAACGAATCAAGAAACGCGAGTTGTAGCCATGTGAAATGGGATCTCTGACTTACCCAAACCTGCGACACCGGCTTTCCAATGTTAATCCTAATCCACTCCTGTAGGACCTGCGCTTGATCACCTGGAGCATCCAAAACAACAACATAGCCCTCGCTCTCAAGCAGAATCTGTCGATAACTAGCAACACCAGGCATTCGGATAACCCACACTCCTGGCATATCCGTATACGGTTGCTGGGCATCGAAGTCTGCAGCGGTGAAGTTGAATCGACCAAACCATAGATAGTTGGCGTACTTCTCGCCAATGTAGGCAGTTAGTGCAGAATTTGTAACGGGAACATTCAAATCTCCACGTTCTGCCGGAACGTCGAAGAATGATGGTTCGACGTCAAAGTTCACAGATACCCCATCCGCCAGAAAGTCGGTGATCAGAAGCTTGTTGTTGTACATTACTTTGAAGTGACGGGGTATCATCAGTCCATCGACAGGGGTGTAGTCGTATACTCGGAGGTCATTCGTTGAGGGGCCGAAGAAGGGATGGTTTTCATATGTACGGATAGCGAAAGGTAGGTAAGTTTCAGGATCGAAAAGAATGGACGTGTTCAAAGATTGGTCGAAGACTAAAAGCAAATTAGGGGAGCCGTGGTTTGGGTGAGGAGCAATGACCCACCTGCTGGAAGCAGCAAACCACCTTCGACTGGTTCGAAGCGAAGGGTGGAGTCATTTGCGGATATCTTCCTAAGCAACAGTGGATCCCACTTGCGACTATCGGTGATCATGTACGCCGCGAGGTATCCTAATTATTTTTAGACCCGAATATCAAGATCGCAGAGGTCGACTTACCGTCCAAGTAGCCTTCGGGGGTATCCGCTGGGTCAAAGAGGGAATAGCTACCCCTAGTGACGGCAGCAAATCCATAGTCGCCATCTTGTACTATTACCGAGTAGTCCATTGGCTCAAGTGCTGGTCGTGCAAAGACCCAAAGTGCTACGATACACGATTAGCATTTGGCTGGAAGGTACTAAGAGAATCCACGAACGTCCCAAGCCAACAACTCTATCAACACGTTGTTTCAGGCCGCCTTCCTCATACGAGTATGTGATCGTCTGACTTCCATGTGGGACAACTGTCGAATCCATGCCATCTAGAGCTATCGTGGTAATGATAGATTTAGTACGGAGTTGAGAGCCGGAGATTCTCACGTTCCTCACGCTAGTCGTGTTGCTGTTGATGCCTATGGCTTCCAAGCCGCGTTCTACAAGGTCGCGAGGGGTCTCAGACTGGCGAACATTCAAAGCTACCGACTTGAATGGTAGGGAGGCCAGCATCAGGGTTGGTACTACTCTGGTCGTTAACATCTTGTTGTAAGTCTCCTGGTTGGGAGAGCGCGTCTCAAGCGAATGTACAAGCAGATGGTACGGGAAAAGGAGTCTGGGATATGGATGTTCAGTCCAGAGCTGCCTTTGTAACGTATTTTATATAAAGCGCATGTTCATTTTAGAAAGTCGTCTTCTTTCAAAGCTCTTATGTCATCCTCCGTTACTTACTCCGGCAAGGCGGATCTTCGTCGCCTTTGATCTCGTACGACCTTACCAAGGCTTACGCAGGGCTGTGTATCGAAATTGATCATCGAAGGAGCCAAGTTAAATTGTCGGACCGCACGACGTCTAGTAGACACACTTCCAATGGAATTTCCCGGGTGTCTTGCCATTGTTCAAGGTTTCGCTGTTTAGATACCTGGATTGTGTGCCCGCCCTCTAAGTCAGCTACGACGATACCCACATGTGCAAAGGTTAATATTATTGAATTCATTACCTGACATCGGCACGGGAGGTTTAGGCGTCGAAGAGCGGAACGGAACGAGATTTGTTTTGCGTATACCGACAAACGGGCCGACTGTGAACGTGAGGTGCTTAAGTCCGCAACGAACACCCCGATAAAGCCTTGATGGCCAGCCATTGCTACAGACGAGTCGCACAGTAACGGACGAGTGTTTTCAATTCATATTGACATATTTGCTTGGCACTACGCGTGATACAACAGCAGATACACTCTGCACCGTGTAGATCTGAGAAGACTCCCATTGTCCTTTGACCGACGACATCCATTTGGTGCCGGAGTACTTTTAGCCTTTGTGGCTCAGATTCAACCGTTATGGCCCAATTCACTCTCGAAAGCGCGCTGTCACACGATGTCCTTGAGGATATCTCGAGCTTCTGGTTCCGTCATCTCGAACATGACCACGTCATCATACCTGGCATCGAAGACGTAACGCCATGGTTTTCACAAAGTGACGCATACGATCAAGAATGTCTGTAGGTGCTTCAGACCATGCTACACCTGTTGCTCGTAATTCCAAGCTTACGATACTTTAGTGAGAAATTTGGGGCCCAGCTCAAAGTAATCCAATCGATGCAACCGAGTGGAGCGAACATTCTAGCTGCCGCAAATCCATCCACGCCTGTACACTGGATCAGCCTGATCATTCTTTTGGATCAGCTTCCATGGAACTGCTTCAGAGGCGTTAAGGCTGGAATCGTCTTTACGCTTTTTGACAAGTTGGCGTTCGAAGTTGCTTCTCAGGCACTTAAACTTGGTATACCAACCGATCAACAAGTACGTTTCCAGTTGGCTCGTAGATTTTGGTTCTTTATGCCAATGGAACACTCAGAGAGTATGGAGGTACAAGAATCACTGACAAAAGCTCATTCTGAAATGTGGTATGATTATGAGATGCTGCTGGAAAAGGCTGTGCAAGGATGGGACGGTTCCTTTGCACCATGCCGCGCAGTGCTTCTCAGGAGAAAATATGCCTTCGAAATGTTCAAGGGTACCATGCAGGGTATTTATGAGAGTAAGAAGGATTTGCTATATCGTTTCGGGCGATTCCCGCAGCGCAACGACGCATTGAATCGGCCTTTTACCGAGGAAGAGGTGCAATGGCTGAATGAAAGATGATGGCTATACGATGGTGCTCGCAGAGTTGCTTAATATTGATTCCATACCGTTATATGTCTCAGAGGGCACAGTTAAAAATAAGGAAGGCAGTCGATGAAACATGGGAATTTTATGGTTACAGGACTATTCGTTCCAGCTAACAACAATGGGAGCAAAGCAAATCCTGTATTTTGCATCCTCATGTCTAACAAAGTGGGATTCGAGGGGAATGGCAGCCACTTTTACCATTCAAGGCTGTGAGCCGACAGAAACACGAAGCTTTTATAGGAACATCGGCGGAAGCCATAGCAATGTCTCGCTGGAGGCGGATACTTCTAGCCTTTTCTTCCTTTCCATTCCGTATGAAGCATTCGTGAAGGCCATGTAAACCCCATACGTTATTGATGCGTGCCTTTCGACGAGGATGGTTATCACTGAATCCCAGATCTTCCAAATAGAGTTGCTCGGCTTCCTCAGAGTGGCCTTGTTCGAGGAGAAGAGCACTTAGAGCATGTCGAACGGGTTGCATCCAGAGCGGTGGATCCGCGTAAGCGAGATTATCCTCCAAATCGATGCCGTGGCGTAAGACAGAGAATGCCTTGATGTGGTTACCCTTACGATATTCCAACTCTCCCTCAAGCATAGCTGACGCAACAGCTAACACTGGCGCTGCCGTCGAAGAAGGGCCGTACATATGATATTCGGGTACAGCCAGACGAGCCTCTTCGAAGGCGTCTCTTGCACGGCATGCCTCGTCAATTCGACCAAGTACTGCTAGAGCGATACCTTTTGCATAATGCACTGTTGCTGTCGAAATGTAAAGCAGACCCGCATTTGCCGGCGTTCGAAGCTCAAGAATCTCTTCCCATTGACCGAAACGGATCAGTGCATGAGGTAATGTCACCAATTGCCACTCAGTCCAGTCTACCATGCGTGGTGTTTTAATGGACATGAATTCCAGCGTTAAGACTTCAGGCAAACGTCTTGCAGCATAGAGCGCATCAACAGACCGGCCGGACATCATTGCAGAGTACGCCATAGCGTGGATGTTGTGTGATCGATAGGCGTTGTAGATGAGAGCAGCTGCATCTCCGCTCGAGAAATACTTGTCATCCGCACGTATGGCGTCGAAGTTGGAATCGACAGATCGACGATAGTCTCCGCAGGCGGTGTCGATGTGTGTCGCCATGTGTTGCATGTGCGACCCATCTGGTACAAGCCGTCGCAGACTGTCAGCTGCATTCAGTGCCAATTCGGGAAAGGGCGACATTTCCATCATGTGAATGTACAAATGACACAGGCCTGGGTGGTTGCGTCCGTCGGCGCGCGCCAGGCCTTTCTCCAGCGCGGCTCTAGCTTCATCTATGTCTGTCCCAGTAGTCTTTCCGGTGTTAAGGTCCCAGAGCCGACGCGGACGAGTGCACATGATGGCATCGGCGAATAGGGTCATCACGTCGAGGTCTTCTCCATGCGCTTCATAGACCGAACGCATAGCTTCTGCGTAGGCATAGTCGAACCGAGATAAGTCGTCTGGGTTGCCCACGTTACTGCGTGGAAAGCGAACGGTGAGTGCGGTGATAAGTGCTTTTTCCATAGGTGGTACATCGACCTGAACTCTCTCAGCGTGCTCTAAGGCACCGTGTATCTTTTCAAGGGAGCTTCGGCGATCGTCCAGAGTAAACATGCGCCACGATTTGTTGTAGTTGGGACCCACAGCGAATGCAATCCCCCAATAAGCCATTGCGCAATCGGGATCATGTACAGCTGCCGTCTCAAAACACTGCGTGGCCGCTTCGTGGTTGAAGGAGTAGCACCATACGAGACCACGATTGAACCACGTTCGCGCTTCTTGGGATGTCGTCTGGATTTCACGTCCATATTCCCCCAAGTCGTAGTACAGATTCGCACCACCCGAAACGAGACTGTCCCTGTGTTGGTCAGCAGCAAAACGCAGCATGGAAGGTGGAGAGCTCACTTCATCTTCCGCTGCTATGGGATTGCTTCCTCAATTTTCGATCTTGCTTGAGGCTGCTTGGTGTGAGCCGCTGGAAAAACAATACGCGACCGTTACTTTGCGCGTGCGGAATGTGTCGATGTTAAAGTAAATTTTTATTCTTATCTACAAACGATGAGGTCGAATAAAAGACTTTACTATGCTATCTGGTTGTTCAGCAGTAGTCGTGCTTCTGTCGGGGTTCAGGTCCACCTAGTCGGCGTTTACCTAACGGAAGCGTCGGGGACTATCAGCCGTCACTATCAAAGAAACCCCGTGATTCTCCGTTGAGTGTTCCGCACCACTCACATTGAGATCTACTGCGTCACTAGGGATAGGAGCCGCTAAGTTAAAGTGCATTATCGGACGAATAAGAGACGAGTCGGATCGGATTTAAAGTCAAGCACGCCGGCCCGTTAGGTGACTAGCGTACCGCGCTCAAACTGACACTACCCTGATACAACAACATGAGGGCCGTCTAGCTGCTGACCAAGGATGCTTGGCTGTTTATAGCATGCTTTGCAAGACGGACAAAATATGGACGTCTAGCTGGGTAGGATGGCGTCGCATAGTCCGAAATATAGATTCTATATATATTTACTGTCACAACCTGTTAACTTTATTCAATTCATTCATCTTCTGGGAGTCACGAGAACAAATCTTCGACACAACTAGAACAACTGTGTATCGGAATATCAACAAAGATTACACACGAGAACAAGTATCAAAATCATGTCAAGCACCATCACCAATGTTGCACTCACAGGCGTAAGGTTATCGTTACAAGACGGAAGAATGCTCAGTTAACATCATGCAGGCGACTGGTAATGTCGGATCGCCCATCTTGACTAGCCTTCTTGAAGCTGGTTTCAAAGTTACCGTAATCGCTCGAAAGGAGGGTAAAACGTACCCCTCGGGCGTGTCAGTCAAGATCGTCAACACCGATTCGGTCGCGGCGATCACCGAAGTCCTTCGTGGTCATGATGCCGTCGTGGATGCAACTTCTGGTCCTGACCCTACCCTCCCGGGACGGATCGTTGAGGCTGCTGCCTCCGCAGGAGTGAACCGTATTGTCCTAAGCGAGTTCAGTGTCGATCCCGAGGATCCTATAGCTCGCTCGCCGCTTGTGCATCACGGCAAGAACCAAGCTTTCCAGCAGGTCAAAGAACTAGCCGCTAAGGGAAAGATTACATGGACCACTGTATCCAACGGAGCCTTCTTGGATTGGAACTTGAGAACCGGCTTCATCAACGTTGATATTCGCAGCAAGAAGGTCCAATACATCAACGATGGCACGCTTCCGTTTCCTTGGACAATGCTTTCTTCGGTCGGTACTGCCGTTGCAAATGTACTCAAAAAGGCACAAGAGACGGAGAACCGCTGTTTGTACATCTCTAGCGTGATCAAGAGTCAGAAGCAAATGGTGGACCTGGCGAAGGAGGTTCTAGGTAGTGATGGGTGGGAGGAGACAAAGCAAGACATGGATCAAAAGTTGAAGGGCGCGACTGAGTCCATGATGGCCGGCAAAGTCGACATTGGTGTCATCGGCGATATGATTCGGTGGTCTGCAGGCACGGTACCGGCGCCACGCTGGAAGCAGTTGAATGACAACAAGTTATTGGGTGTGGAACGAATGAATGACGATGAGGTGCGTAAGCTGATTCGAGACATAGCTTCGGAGAGCTAGTTGTCTTCTAAACCGAGAGTTGTGAATAAGTGCGTAGTCAGATGAGAAACTGGAATCAGATCAGAGGCTTCCATTATCCATCAGCATGTGAAGTCGCTCTACACGTACGATATAACCAATACTACGTTTGCGACTCGTGTGTACGATTAACGTAATCGATGCGAGCGTCTCGTCGATAGCGGTTCATGTTCGGCGAGAAATGCGAGCTGAAAGAGAACGATTTGTTTGATGAGGATAGTCAATCCCTCTTTCGAAAGAGCCAGACATCCCATAACTCTCACTAAGTTGAAATTTTCAATACTGGATTGTTTATCGTCGTCATGAACATAGAAAATCGGTGACCGGTCCTGTCCCAAATGGTTAGGGTCTAGACGTTTGCTATGATGCTTGACGAGGGTCTGTGCGGCAGTTGAGCCAGGAGGCCTTATATCTAGTTCGACGTTGTCTATGATGCTAAATCTCTCTCAGTCTGAAGGACCGGATAGGCGCCTGACAGGAGTCATCGAGTCAAGGCCAGAACCTAAACCGATGATGACCGGTGGGAGCTTGGCTGATCTGTCTATACAGCCTCCTGACCTGAACACTGCAGTCATATCTGGATCTAATGCAGTCCATGCAAGGAATAGTGGCCACCTAGACACAGCAGCAAATTTCATGAAGGTTAAGTCATGATGTGCACAAATTTGGTGCAGCAGACTGCTGTCTCTGAGCAGGTACTAAGATCCATCCCGAGGTTTGTGGATGTCATAGTGTCGCGCATATCCAAGCAGTATCTGGGGGTCTTGAAAAGTGTTTCTCATATCATACGGGATACTAAAGACTAACGTGTTTTATAAGCGAGTCGTCCTTACAAGCGAGTCGTCCACCCCACCAACTTTGATCACCTTTGAAGATCAAATCAGTTATGCCTCAACGCCAACAAGCTCTATTGCGCTCATCTGAAGCTGATATGCAGCTTACTATATCATCTCTTAATAGCCACCAGATCAAGACTGAGAGAGCTGCTGCTCGCGCGTTTAACGTCCCTCGAATGACGCTACGCGACCGACGCGCTGGCAGGCTTGCACGACGCGATTGCCAGCCCAACTCAAAGAAGCTTACCCAGCTAGAGGAGGAGGTAATTATTAGACATATACTCGACCTTGATCAGCGAGGATTTGGGCCTACGTATACAGCTGCGCGCGATATGGCTAATAAGCTGCTTGCTGCGCGTGGCGCAGGTCGCGTTGGCGTCCACTGGCCGCGCAACTTTGTCAAGCGTACAGACAGTCTTATGACGCGTTTTAATCGATCGTACGATAGGCAGAGAGCTCTATGCGAGGATCCTGTGCTAATCAGCCGCTGGTTTAAGCTGGTAGAGGAGACAAAGGCCAAGTACGGCATCTGTGATGAGGACGTCTACAACTTTGACGAGGCTGGCTTTATGATGGGCAAGATCCAGACTCAGCTAGTTATCACAGGGTCAGAGAGGAGAGGCAGGCCAAAGACTATCCAGCCTGGCAACCGCGAGTGGGTGACGGTAATTGCTGCAATCAACGCTGCTGGCTGGACAATCCCACCGTTCCTCATCTTTGCTGGCAAGTATCACCTGTCAGCCTGGTACGAGGAGGATATCCCACGCGACTGGGCTATCGCAGTTAGCGACAACGGCTGGACAACTAACGAGATAGGAGTAGAGTGGCTAAAGCACTTTATTAAGCATACTGAGGGCAAGGTAGTTGGAGCACGCCGCCTGCTTATCCTTGACGGCCACGAGAGCCACCAGTCTCTTGAGTTTCAAGAGCTCTGCAAGGAGAGCAATATCTACACGCTCTGCATGCCAGCTCACTCATCTCACCTACTGCAGCCTCTTGACGTAGGCTGCTTCTCGCCTATGAAGCGCGCGTACAGCCGTGAGATTGAGGCTCTAATGCGCTACAATATCAACCATATCACCAAGCTCGAATTCCTGCTAGCCTTTAAGGCAGCCTTTGATCGATCGTTCACCTTAGCCAATATCTGCTCAGCTTTTCGAGGCGCAGGCCTAGCCCCTCTCCAGCCAGACGCTGTTCTATCAAAGCTCAACGTGCAGCTGCGTACGCCTACTCCACCAGCTGCTCTCGCAGAGCCTCCCTGGGAGGCTCGTACACCAAGCAACGTACGTGAGCTTGAGGCTCAATCAACGTTAATACGTGATCGCGTGCGGCAGCATAAGAGCTCATCACCAGCCTCAATTATTGAGGCGATTAACCAGCTTAAAAAGGGGGCTGAGGTGATGATGCTCTCAGCCGAGCTTATGCGCGATCAGATTACCTGCCTTGAGAGAGCCAACGAGGCAGCAACTAAGCGTAGGCAGCGCAAAAAGAAACGGATACAGAAGCGTGGGACCTTAACAAAGGGAGAGGGAGAGGATATACTAGCTCAAAAGGAGGCTGACCAGCAGATTGAGCGTGAACAGCGTCAAGGTGGTGAGCGATCAGGCCTTAGCCGCCAGGCTATTGCGCGCTGCAGGAGGTGCAGGGAGACTGGGCACAACTCACGAACGTGCAAAAAGGATGCTGTAGATACTATTTAATCTACTATATTAATCGCTTTGTTCTACCTTATTACGTTGTTGCGTTGCGTAGCTTTGAAGGTGATCAAAGTTAGTGGGGTGGACGACTCGCTTGTAAGGACGACTCGCTTATAAAACACGTTACACGCGAGGATCAGAGGGCCATATGCCCTGATTTGTAGCTAGATGCCTTAATCCCACCTCCAAGATGATCGCGCGCATGCGATAGTCAGTTCCTCGGAGCACTGCCTCGACAAAGGACCTTGACGTGGTGCATCAGCATAGGAAAAGTTGTCACTTTAATGGAAAGAGTCGACAAGGCTAACGAATGCATTGTTTTGACGCAAAGGTGGGGCGGGACGGAAGAAGTCGAAAACACCGAAGGCTTGGTATCGGAGCCGCTAGCTTAAGTCGTCGTGGGTGGCATGCAAGTTCCGTCATACCCGCACGTTCTTGAAGAACAACCACAGCGATGGAGTCTGGGCGACCATTTTCACACTACTCGCTAAATATCAAGCCGCGACCCATCTTCCTATATGTCATTTCCTTGCGCACTTGGTATGTCTCGGCAACGGTTTTAACCGGCTGTTTGTGTGGGATGCGTCAAAGCCCTGAGCATGAAACGTGACATGTCGCTTGTGCGTTCTGGACAGCCTCATCCCCACCTGCTGAGGCAGCAAACGTTTGCCTGCTCACGGTCGCGTTCGCGCATCGTCTCCACTAAATGATGAGTCCCTAGCGATGTCGATCTGCCGAATCTGGCATGTCATGTTTCATTTCCTCGTTCTGCATTGACGCTCGAACATTCTGAGTCTCGGATGAGGCCTGAGGCCCTTCCCGCTCCTTTACATCTCATCCCAGACGAGTAATGTTCCCTGTTGTTAACCACGAGATGAAGCTATATCAATGACAATTAAGAAATACTTGACGTACCAACCCTGGCAAGATTAGGAATGTTTGTGGAGCGGAGTGGGCCTCAACGAATGGGAAGAGTTCAACGATCAGGCTGGCCTCGCCTCTAAAGATTAAGGACATGATTGTACATCATACTTGTACCCGGCCCGTTTTCGCGACAACTTTCGAATCTGCTAGCCATGGGTTCATACATGGGAGGATAACATGGCAAACCACCTGATCGTCACCTAGTATGGGTTAAGAATGGAGCTCCTCCTGTCTTCTCCAGCTTTGCTGGTGATAACGTCGATCGTTCCTCTCTGAGAGCTGGACTCTGACTCTGTCGTTACCTTCATATGTAGTGGTGCAGGCTTTCGTTCACGTACGCATTCTCAGTCACTATCTTGTGCTACTCCCACTTTTCCCACTCTTTTTGATCTTCGCACCTTTCGAACATCGAGACACGATACACCAAACACCAATATGGAGCGAACTGCCTCTCAATCTGTACTTGCGCTTAGACTGCCAGACCCTCGCTTCAGCGTCGACTTTGCGAACTACGCTGTCGATGCCAAAGCAGTTGCCACTTCCAAAAAGTATATGCAGGACTTGTTCCCCGGTCAAAACAAGCCTTTACCGCCGCCAAAAGTCCAGGCACCGCGTCACCCTATCGGGCGTGCAAAGCGTCCATGCGAGTTACAGGAACGGCGTAGTCCCATACCGATGGCCTCACAGATACCGGACGACAAGTGGGACGCGCATACAATAGAGTGTATGATAATGCTTGACGAATCTCCTGTCGGCATGTTAGATCGATCTTCGGCTTCGTCGGATTCAACCACGACCTTATCTGCCGCATCCTGCTCTACCATCACTATATCTACCAGTGCCACAAGTATCCCAGCACGTACACCAGGAGCTATCAGTGGTCGGCAGATGTCGACTCGTACTTTTCTTCAACTTCCGTCAACGATCGTTAACCACATCCTATCATACGTCTTCGCTGAGGAGCGGGCCGTCTCCATCACACCATACCAGTCTCGCATCGTCCCCCAGCAACGTCGCCGTCATCGTCACGGTCCAAACGCTGTTGACATACGATCTTTCATGATGCAACCTGCACTGATGGTTTGTAAGCAGTTTCGTGAGCTGGGATTGGACATTTTATATCGCGACAGCCTGTTTCTCATCGATCTATCAGAGGTTGGTGGCACCAGTTCTTGTCGCGAGAAGGAAGATGGCAAGTACTGGGGATGCTGGACGAGTAATGCATCTCCGCGAATGGTCCGGACAGTACTCACTCGTGCTTCGAATATTCGCCTCCAACTTCCAGTTCCTAGTGCAGAAGCTACAATTGTACGAAGCGCAACAAAGAGAAAGAAGGACGCCCAGGAAGAGACATCTATCATTGTCGATTCCTTACGCGCGGTTACCAGCTTGATTACTGGTCTGAACAAGATTCAAACTTCGCAAACCGAGCTATCTCGCTCAGCAAGTCCACCAGGCCCGAAGATCCTGCGCCGCAAGCTCAGCTTTCGATCCGCAAAGCGTCCTGACTCACTAGAATTCGTATGTCGTGGAGATTCGCCACCGCTACAGCCGCGACAACCCTTGGATACATTGGAGGTCGTACTCGTAAAGAGTATTGCAGATACTGAAGTAAACAGCCTGACGCTGGACATGGTAGCCATATGTAGCAGCATCCCTGTATCTGGAATCCTTGAATACCATCTTGAAATCGACGGAATGCGGAGGCTTTGGGCCAAGCGAGAAAAGGGAAAATGGCTAGGTAGTGAGCCTGATGGAAACAAACTCCTTTGTGGTATGTCGCATCCAGCTCTCATAGACTCGACAGAAGACTGACGTGTACCAGATTTGAGGGCCTTAGGACAGTCAAGTCCAAAAGTGGAGGTCGCGCAGGTTCATGAGAAGCGCAAGCAAATCAGTGAGCAGCCTAGGGTACGTGCGGATGTGATTCACAGGGAACGCGCGCTGCCCGTCCAACAAGCGTCTAGCGGCAGGCCCAGCTTAGACGGACTATCACAACAACGAAATGTTCCAAAAACGCGACCGTCCAACGATGGCATCGTTGCAAGGAAGATTAAAGAAATGGAAAGTCTGTCCAAAATCAAGCTTTTGAAAGGAAACAAGCAGCCGCCAACTGTTGAGGAGCTTCAACAGATCGCTGCAGACATTAGGAGGGGTGTTTATTAGGAACTTCGTTTCGGCCTGAGGCCGATGGAGCCAGGTGCTCGACCGTGTAATATAACTCGTTCTCTTCGTATTGTGTCTAAGTTTGATGTCTATACTCTAGTTACGTGAAACGAAGTACTTAGGGTCCGAAAGGTCTTGTTGTTTAGGCCTTTCCGTCCGAGAATTGGACGACAGCCCACTTGCCACTCCATGCCCACTTTCTAGACCCACTGTCTCCACCACCCCCTTCTAAAGCTTTGATGCGTTCATCCTCGCCGTCCGCCAGTCCTACTACGACATCGGCCTTGCAGGTGCGGAGCGCGAGAACGCGGAGACCTGAGCCTAGGCCCATTGGCCCAATAGCGTCGGTAAAGGGCGTGGTAGCCGGCCAGGCAGCCTGTTGTATATCAGTAAAGTGTATGAACAATAGAGACGAAAGTACCCACATCAGCAGTCAACTTGCGATAGTTCAAATCGCCTTTGAAGATGACGAGTTCACTTTCTTTCAGATCCTCATACAACTCCGGTTCCGTCTTGGGAAGTCGCCAGTAGCTACCGCCTGCAGTCCAAAAGTCATTTGGTCGCAACATCAACTGGCCCTCGGCATGCAGACTGCTCCAATGCTGGAACAAAAACTGTAAAGCCGCGCTTTCCGTATCCGATAGTGGTACGGATTTCTTACCAGCGTGCTTCTCGTCTTCGGATAGCGCACTGTAGAAACTTTGGGGATCGGCTAGTGCGGAGAGTAAAGCGCCGAAATCGGCTGGCAGAACATCTGAGACGAACCAGGGAATGGACTTGGGGTGGAATACAACGTTTGTCGCTAGGCCAGAAGCAATAAGATAGCCGGCGAGGATGAGATCGACAAAGAGCTCGAAACCAGCGTTGTCCAGGACGATGTCAACACGTCGCTCCTTCTTACCCTCTTTTTGAGCAGATGTGAGTACCTTGAATGCTTTGTCTAGATCGTTGACCAAGATATTCTTTTCAGAGTTCTTACGCGCCTCGGACCCTTGGAGTTTCTGGATGTCCTCGTACGAGAGGTTGGTCAGAAGGGAGAGATCCGTCGCATTGCCCCAAAGACAGATCTCGCACATCTCGGTGAATAAGACCTTCTCTGCGGCCTCGAGTTGCTCCTGCGTCTCGGCACCCTTTATCGTCTTCTTCTGCTCAAGCTCGGTGACAATATCTTTGTAGCGCGCGGCGAGTTCGACGACAGCGGGACGGGAAGATTTGAAGGTGGCCATCTTCTGGCGGGCGAAGAGATCGTACGAGCGCCAATTCTTGGTCTGTTTAAAGATGCTCGATATACGTCTTCCTATAGCCATGAGCATGAGCCATCGAACGACAAGAGTCGACATACCTGTAAAGGTAGCACTCTGAGTATAGCCAGGGTACGTTGTGCCACTTGGGATTTCCCCTCGCGGCCAGTTCCTTGTTGTAGGCCTCGACATCGCGCTCGCCGTCATCGGGGATAGGAGTCAGCTCGCGGTCGTGTTGAAGTTCGTACTTCAGCTTTGCTAGCTCTGCAACAACCCATTTGCCTTCGGTAATGGCCGCCTCATCTTTGGTGCCGTGAAGTGAGCGGTGCACGTCGTCAATGCCTTGGGTGATGATGATAGGCCACCGCGAGCGCGCCGACGTGTGCGCAAATGATGTAGCGTCGTTGGTGCTGTACTGCTCTGATACCTATTAGTTTCAGAGCGGTTCGTGACGGCCAGTATGTACTCACGTGCCGGGAATGTATCGTACTCCATTTTGCTGCGCAGTTGTTGGGTATGAGGGAGGCTCTTTATCAATGCTTGATACATGACGATTTCTGCAGGGGTCCGGGAGCGAATGTCTCGCCAAGCCATGACGCTACCCCTCCATCCATCGCCCCGGCCACACTTTTCCCTCCACTACCGACGAACATCCGCAATTATCAGCCTCACTGCCAATAAACAATGCTATACACACTCCAGCTGTAGGCTTGACTTCGACTGGCAGAGGCCTGATATATATGGCCGTGTGAAAAGGTTGAAGCGTAGTTTGCTCGGCTTTGAGGAGCATGAGTTGCAGTTATAGATCGATGCTGTTGCAGAGGCCGATGCATTGTTGAACCATGGGGGTAGTTAATGCAAGAGTCTTCCTGCTTGAGCCATGTCTATAGAAAGGAATACACCGTTCTTCATCAACTCAGCTTTGCAGTGCAGCGTGTGCGTGTGGCTTTAAAAAGATTTGGCAGCCATTGGCGTCGTCAAGGACATTCTCATACCTAGCGCTACGTCGTCCACTACACAGCCATCGCCTATCGACCACTCAGACCCGGTTCAACCTTGACGGCGCCCAACTTGCTTGACCGATTATACCTATGCAAACCACTGGAAAAAGGAAAACAAAGGACGCAAGTGAAACAAGACCTGGTGTTCGAGTTCTCGATAGAGAAGATTCATCGGACAGAAGTTGGCTGTGAGGCAAAGAGCAGAGCTGCACCATGGAAAAAGTCTACTGATTATGCTCGAAGGTCACCCTCATATACCATGATGCCTACGATCGTGTAACCCTGGTCGAACGCAGACTGCACCTTAGTCCAATGCAGGTAATGGTACTTCGTACGGGACTTCAGGGTGCAGGCTACTGACGCAGGGTCTCCATCGGGTTCTCGGCGAATCAGCGGCGTAGAGTGACATCCAGACCATGACGTGTTTTGCTCGACATGTTCTATGTTTCTGCACTATCTGCTCGTCAATAAGCAGTTGTCAACGTTATCTCTCCACAAGAATGAAACCCTGCATATTCGCCATCTGACACGACTCGATCGCAACTCCGCGACATTCATTGCAAGACGTCAATTGTGCATGCCCATGAACGTCTACAGCTCAGTTGCCCGCATCGGTATCCGCAGCACCATCGCCGCAAAGCCTCAGCGCTCCGTCAAACCTTTCATACGTACAATGGCCGCGACACCAAATGGCGACCTTAACAACACTTCAGCCGAACGTGTTCGAGCTGAAACTGCGATTGATCCTGCGTACCAAGATCTCTCACTTGCGATACCTCCCTCAGAAGACGATTTCGATATTCGAAAAGCTTATCGGCCATTCATACTAGAAGGAGAGGATGCAACACAGGACTGGATCGCTCAGCTGGAGCTCAGTACTGTGCTAAAAATGGTAGATACACAAGTGCTCAAACCGGGGGATGATAGGCTCAGGGTAGTTGTCTTACATGGGAGCATGCGACAGAGGTAAGAATTGCATTCAACCGCATCATGCCCTCAACGCATTCGATCGCATATGCTAAGCTCCAGTAGATCCTACTCGCGCCTGCTAGCGTACGAGGCTAGCCGCATCCTCTTCCGACTCGGCTGCGACGTGCGCATGTATGATCCTACTGGTCTTCCCGTCAAAGATGACGTTCAACATACACACCCTAAAGTGCAAGAGTTGCGCGAGCTGAGCAAATGGAGTGATGGACACATATGGATATGCCCCGAGCAGCATGGAACCTTGGTGAGTAGTCGCCGGTATTGTTTTGGGATTTACTGAAATTTGTACTGATAATACTTCTCTTCCAGACAGCCGTCTTCAAGAACCAGATCGACTGGATACCCCTCTCAACCGGCTCTGTTCGCCCAACTCAAGGCCGAACCCTCGCAATCGCACAGGTAAATGGCGGATCGCAATCGTTCAACACAGTCAACTCTTTACGAATACTCGGACGATGGATGCGTATGTTCGTTATTCCAAACCAAAGTTCTATACCCATGGCATATAAGCAGTTCACTGAGGAGGACGCTGGAAGTAGGCTCATGCCTAGTGGCAATAGGGATCGACTTGTCGACTGTATGGAGGAGTTTGTCAAATACACCATCATCATGCGTCCGCATTTTGATCTTTTCGGCGATCGGTATAGTGAGAGGGAAGAGAAGCGGGCGAAACAAGCAAAAGAAGCGAACAAACCGGCCCCGGACACCCAGCATGCAGCATTATCAACTAGTGCGGGTCCTTCGAATTGATTCGACTGGTCGTCCAGGTATTATGCGAACTTTTCATCGAGTATAGAAACATCATACATGTAATCCAGACAGAGGTTGCAAGGTGCCAAAGGAAAGAGAGGCTCCGAAACAAGCTTGGACTAGCGTTGTCGATCATGCTGGGGTAGTGACACCCCGCAAATACACAAGTGACATACCGCTTCCGGGTATAAATGTCGGTGCCGCCCCCATGAAGAAGCCATGCAACGAACCGCATTCTTAGCGATAGCCCAAACCATACGCCGTTTTCTAAATGCATAGCCAGGCTTCACCACCCACTCCTTTTGATGAACTAGACGGAGCCGAGCACGGCGTTGCTGTAGAGCACGCACCTCCAGATGGTGGATATGGCTGGGTTTGTGTAGCAACATGTTTTACCATTAACTGTTTCACATGGGGGGCTGTATCAGTAAGTCAAAATGGTTTACACAGACGCCCCTCTGTTTCACGTCGCCTGCTATGCTGATAGTCGTACCAGGCCTATGGCATCTATTTGTCACACTACCTAGCCGACAATGTCTTCCCCGAAGCATCAACCTGGGACTATGCCTTTATTGGAGGCTTCAACTTTGCCATCGCTATGCTCCTCGCGCCTTTCGCTACCGTCTTTTGCCGCAGGTTCGGGATCCACGTTGTCATGTGCTGTGGCCTAGTCCTCCAGCTTGGGGGCTTCATCGCAGCATCATTCGCAACTCGTATCTGGCAGCTCCACATTTCGCAGGGCATTTTGATCGGTGGCGGAATTGGCTTCTTATATATACCTTGCCTGCCAGTTCTATCACAATGGTTCGATAGACGACGAAGCCTGGCCAATGGTATCAGCGCGGCAGGATCTGGCGTTGGCGGTGCGGCGTTTGCTTGGGGTACCGAGGCCATTATCCAACGCCTGAGCATCGGCTGGGCGTTGCGCATCACGGGCATCATCGCCTTTGTTGCCAATTCTCTCGCGATAGTCTTTATACGCGATAGGAACAAGGCCATTCGTCCGTCACAGTTGGGATTCGATACCAAACTCTTGAGGCGTTACGAAGTACTACTACTGCTCGCATGGGTCTTTATCAGTATGCTGGGATACATTGTCCTGCTATTCTCGCTGTCTGACTTTGCTCTGTCCATAGGACTTTCTCGATCTCAAGCTACTGACATGATAGGTCTCCTCAATGTCGGTACTGCTATTGGGCGACCGATAATCGGAATATTGAGTGATCGATGGAGCAGAATAGACACAGCAGGAACATTGACTTTGCTATGCGGTGTCTCCTGCTTCGCCTTTTGGCTACCTGCTACATCTTATGCACTTACGGTCTTTTTTGTAATTCTTTGTGGAGCTATTGTGGGCGTATTCTGGATGGCAAGTGAGCCCATTCATCTCATTCAACTTTCGAACCCGTCTTCTGACATGGTCTTATCATCAGACAATCGGTCCGCTCTGCGTCGAGGTGGCAGGCATCAAAAATTTGCAGTCGTTGTTGTCTTTATCATGGACGGCTGTTATCATTCCAGTAACAGGTATGTATGCGTATAGTCATAATGATATGCCTGCTGACTGACTGGGTAGTATCTGAGGGGATTGCACTAAGGCTGAGACGCCCGACATCTTCGCGCAAGTATCTCTATACTCAAATTTTCGCAGGTCTTTCATACATAGTGGCCAGCGGCTTCATGTTCCAGCTTCGCAGAATGAAACTGCGCCAAAAGTCTCTTGCTCAGTAATATGTTAGCTTAGCTTGTACCTCATACAATATCCGCAAGAACCTCCAACAAAACATAATTCTCAATGCGACACCCTTCTGGCGGGATCGCACTGAATCGATAGCCCGCTCTAAGCTTGAGGTCTAAGTCTGTTGGGCCATAGCCTTTCTGGTTTCCCTGAAGTACAATAGAAATGGCCTCCGCACAAAGCGTAATGGAGCTTAGAGAGACTACTTGTGGCAATTTTGTTGCTTGCGATTTGAGAACTGTAGAACCTCCCAAAATGCCGTAAAGACTGCAAGTCTCATTCGTAGCAACCAATGAAAAGGCATGCTAACGCAAGGATCGTATAATGTCTAAGGAGGTATCGCATTCAGCATATTCGACTCATCCGGATCTTGTCGCATACTAGAGCGCGGTGATCCAAGGTCCGTATCGGAAAGCATCAGAGTTGGCTGCATAAGCCTTTCAGCGGTTGAAACGGAAGAAGTCAGCCTACTTGAATTAGGGTGCGACAACTTTGGTAGTGGACAAGCTCATCACACTCATGGACAGAGCGTCTAGAAGATGCGAAGATGATCTAGGTGCAATTCTGCTCGACGCGGTCTCGCCTTGCTTATGCGCCAAAATAGGAGCAAGACGCTGGGCTCTAGTAAAAGCCTGGAGAAAGCTTCCATCAAGGCCTAATCAGTGCAGCAATCCTTTGAGGAATTCCGCCTCCTGTGTGGCCCTCAGAAGCTCCGCTGTTGTACATATTTGGCCGGATTCGATGTCATATTGACGGATCTTGGCCTCGAGCTCGGCAACGTAGGCTTTGCGTCGGGCGCGACTGCGTCGCTGGTCATTGCGCACGCGCTCAGCGTTTGTAGGCGTGACGAATGGTCAGCCCATGAGAAAAGAGTCATTACGAATAAACAGTATCGTGAGACTAGCTAGTCTACTCGTCATTGTCCATGGTCGGGTGATGGGCAGGGTCGAGATAAAAACGTTTGCAAGACGAGTGTGACAGGATTGCATTGATGCCTGGTAGCTGGTTCGTGACGTCATCTGTTAGCCCCCCATATCCTTAACGCCCAAGGAGATGACTTGATGGCGCACACGAAAGGGGACATACAAAGCTTGGATCCCTGCACCAATGCTAATTATCTCTCATCCATTAGTTCCAGGACAAGCGCATTCTTGACACTACATTCTTTGTCGCCATGACAGCCCAAACTTGCTCGTATCCGCTGTCTATCACCATCGCCGCGCATTTCTGCGATGATTGAAGCCGCCGTCTCGCAAGATATCAGCAAACCAGAGTCAAGTGACTGTTCTTGAGGTACAGAAGGGGGAGGGCAGAAGCAACTCGCGGTATTGGGACAGTCGGCATCTTCCCTTCCGCCAGGAGACGAAGAAGTGATATGTTCGAGCATTGCACCGTCTGTCTCACGAGAACAGCTGGCTGCAGTAGGTTCGATTGGTCTACAGCAGGATGGTGGTTTCGAGTTCAGTATTATATTTGGCGTGTGTGAAGCATCGGGTGACGACATGGTGGCGACATTCTCTTTCTCTGCATCACACGTTGCGTGCTGAATGGTACTGGAAAAAGAACGGCGAGCATTCTGGAAGTCTGTGTAAGCCAGAACGGAAGGCTGACGTGGAGGATACAATGGCTGCTGGATTGTCGCTTGTGCAGGAGCTTGTACTTGAAGTTGCGCTGAAGTTATTGCACGAGCCTGGGAGACAGGCAACGCCGCATATCTGACGGAGCTTACTCTTGGGCCGGCAACAACGGGTGGTCGCGATGCCGGTAGAGCATAGAGGTTTGCAGTCGAGTGATTAGGAGCACTTGCAGTATCAAATGAGCGCAGATACGCCTCTACTTCTTCGTGCGCCACCCCGCGACTGGACAACAGACTCCTCAACCGTGCATTCTCGTCGGCAACTTTGCGCGCAGCGCGCTGCATCTCCTGGGTCGCTGCAACGCCTCTTGCTTCATACTCCTGAACGCGACGCTGAAGGTCCTGGATGAGTTCTTTGCGCTGATTACGCGAGCGCCGCTGGTTTTCCCGGATCCGAATGGAAGAAGGCGTGTCACTGCCCTATAAACCGTTTAGTCATGCCCTGCGTGCCTAACAACGATGCATTTGTGGAGACTTAGTACCAACCTTCTTCGACATCGTCTGTTTGCTTTTGATATCGGATTCGTGATATGCAGGAACTGATATGAGCCCGTGTTGGGCGTGTGGAGTTTTGCGGATCGCAACCCCTGAAATTATTATTAGCGCTACGACCTTACTCAGGCCTCGGCGTTGCTTTTTACCCCACGCCTGCGATCGCCACCAACAACGAAGGAGTCTTGTAAAACGTCTGCTTTGTAGTAGCGGGTACTGCGCTACAATAAGGATTATTCTAGTACGATGCATAGTTAAAATTAAGAATATAGTACAGATATAAAGTTTCACAGCACTAGCTATGTAATAGGCTGGAGGACAGTAAGTGAATCCTCGACGATATCTAAGTCACGTGCGCAAGAGCACGGCTTACGTCCTAACGCGACCAAACGACGCTCTAAATAAACCCCTAAGCTCTTAGATATAAGATATCCTAGAGCGCCCTCTGAATATTCTTTTGTTCTTTAGTAACGTGTTGGATAAGCGAGTGACGCGGGCAAGCGAGCGACGCACCCCAAAACCTACCAAAAATCACGAACTGCTGTGATGGGCTGGGGCCCAGGGTGGATCCTCGGTTGTACCTCGGTGGTACGCCTCACGTTACGGGTCGCGGCGGCGACCTCAAGTATGAACTACGCAAGACAACGCACAGCTCTGTTGTCTTGTGCCAGCCTTTTTGTGAGGAGTAGTTGGGCAGGCACTGAGATATCGGTATAGGCTTGTATTGAGACGAATCCTTGAGGAGCTATCAAGCCTCTCAGAGGGATGATATATACCTACGTCACGTGATTGTGGCTGGTGTGATCCGACGGTGCCCCGAAGGGTTCCTGGTGGCTCACCAGTCTGTGGCTGGAATCCTGTAGTAATAGAACATCGTGACAATAGCCCCCCCCCTTCTTAAGAGTCGTCCTAACTCTTACAACGGTCTTTGCAATG